AAATTACTGTTACTTGTAAATAGTCCTACACGTTAAATAAGTTATTTAAAGAATTGATTCATCTATGTAGATGAACCTGGCAAAAATAAAAATATAAAACTGAAGATATTCAGCCTTAAAACGGTTGGCTAATTTTTGGCACCCTTTTCTTGTCTTACAAACCTTTCTGACAAATACAGCATTACCGTGCAAGACGATTTACAACAAGATACCTTGAAAAACCTTACGTACTGAACAGCAGATAGTCCGACTTGAGAAATTGAAAAAAACGCCGGCAATTGGACAGCGCTATCGCGTTAAACTTTCGTTTAAATTTGTCTTAATTTTTGTTGGGGTCCTCGTATGGACCGTCAAAAATTGCAAAGCTGACTGTATTTCAAGTCGTCCTGCGGGGTATTGGGAAAAGTTTTCAATCAGCAATAACCGCGCCTCGGATAATCCTCACTGGCTACGGTAATGCCACTGCGCAAAGCTGACTAACGATTGTGAGGAAAGAGGGTTTCTTATCCATTTAATGGTCTTCCATGTGGTCATGAGTGAATAAAATTTATATCGCTTAGTAGTGCGCATGTTAAGCTTGCATTTAATGTCTCTATTATCTCCCTATTGGTTTTTAGTAATTAGTAAATATATCATCAATTTCATGTTCAAAGTCCACGCACCGGCGGGATTATTAATCAGCAGTTCGAAACTTATCTCATGATCAACTCGAGTAGATTTTCTCGAGCGCGGGCTGAACTACGGCTGGTAATTAGCACACTTTTCGAGAGGGTATAGTTTCCTTTTCTTCTACAAGTTCCTTTTATGAAGTTACTATTTGGGGTCGTTCATCGATAATGGCTTGAAAAACCGAGGGAAAATTGCTGACTGAGTTAGTGCTTTAAAATCGATCAAATACTCCGCTCGCGCGCGAGAGGTTCAGACGCACTTTAAAATGTCTCAAGTAAAACTGAGGAATAACCAATAATATTCTTCTTTAGGCATTGTCTGTACGTTTCAAAAACCTCAAAGCTTTCCTTGAGCTACGTTGTCGAGAAATTTGTCGTCTCTCGGAACAGACAAATACTGTGCAGAAATCTACGGGCATATTTTCTCGCCAAATGAACATTCTTAAACGACTGCTCAATTCATACAGAAACAAATATTCCATGGGAAATCAGTTAGATGACTTATTAGATGCAAGTTACTCTTTTGGTTAGCATCCCGAAAAATTTCATATGAAGCTTGCGCCTTTACAGAGACACTGCGCAAAGCTAATAAGCAAAGGTGAGGAAAGAGGGTTTGTCAGACATTCAGTTGTCTTCCATGTGGCCATAAGTGAATACAATTTACACTGAGTTGCATTGTAGTGCGCATGCCAAGCTTGCATTAATGTCTCTCTCCGGGACTGCTTTAGTTTTGCTTTACTTCGCCCTGTGATTGGTTCAACAAACTCGCGTCACCCTCTCAACCAATGAGATGCGTGTTTCAGCGCTTTAGGTAGTTTACTTCTCTATACTTAGAGTTTTCATTGGCTCTTCAGGTATTTCCTTTCTTCTGATTGGCTGTTGTAATTACTTTGGTCAAGTTGATTTAACGACACCCATTCCAAAAGAGATTTATACTCAAATCGCGATTCTCTTCAGTAATTGGTTAATGACGGCTCTGACTGAGCTACATTTAATTTCGATCCTTGCTGTTTTCATTGACATCTTCGTCAAAAAGATTTATTGTGCTATAAAGCTGCACAACATGTTAAAACAAACCAAAAAATTAAAAAATTTAATGGTCATTTAAAAATGTAATCTCAACAGAACGAATTAGGTACAATTAGTCATTAGGTTTAATTTTATTCAGCACTAGAGACAATTTTCATTTCAGCATTACAGACGAAGAAACTAGATAACAAGAGCATTTAGCACGAGCGGCCCAAAAATAGATATCTCTGCAAATATTACAGAAATTACTGTTACTTGTAAATAGTCCTACATGTTAACTAAGTTATTTAAAGAATTGATTCATCTATTTAGATGAACTTGGCAAAAATAAAAATTAAAAACTCAAGATATTCAGGCTTAAATGTTGGCTAATTTTTGGCACCCTTTTCTTGTCCTACAAACCTTTCTGACAAATACAGCATTACCGTGCAAATCGATTTACAACACAATACCTTGAAAAGCTTACGTACTGAACAGCAGATAGTCCGACTTGAGAAATTGAAAAAAACGCCGGCAATTGGACAGCACTATCGCGTTAAACTGTCGTTTAAATTTTTCTTAACTTTTGATGGGGTCCTCGTATGGACCGTTAAAAATTGCAAAGCCAACTGTATTTCAAGTCGTCTTGCGGGGTATTGGGAAAAGTTTTCAATCAGCAATAATCGCGCCTCGGATAATCCTCACTGGCTACGGTAATGCCACTGCGCAAAGCTAACTAACGATTGTGAGGAAAGAGAGTTTGGTATCTACTTAATGGTCTTCCATGTGGTCATGAGTGAATAAAATTTATGTCGCTTTGTAGTGCGCATGTTAAGCTTGCATTTAATGTCTCTATTATCTCCTACTGGTTTTTAGTAATTAGTAAATATATCATCACTTTTATGTTCAAAGTCCACGCACCGGCGAGATTATTAATCAGCAGTTCGAAACTTATCTCATGATCAACTCGAGTAGATTTTCTCGAGCGCGGGCTGAACTACGGCTGGTAATTAGCACACTTTTCGAGAGGGTACAGTTTTATTTTTATCTAAAAGTTCCTTTTATGAAGTTTCTATCTGGGGTCGTTCATCAATAATGGCTTGAAAAACCGAGGGAAAATTGATGACTGAGTTAGTGCTTTAAAATCGATCAAATACTCCACTCGCGCGCGAGAGGTTCAAACGCGCTATAAAATGTCTCAAGTAAAACTGGGGAATAACCAATAACATTCTTCTTTAGGCATTGTCTGTACGTTTCAAAAGCCTCAAAGCTTTGCTTTAGCTACGTTGTCGAGAAATTTGTCGTCTCTCGAACAGATAAATACTGTGCACAAATCTACGGGCATATTTTCTCGTCAAATGAACATTCTTAAACGACTGCTCAATTCATGCAGAAACTAATATTTCCATGGGAAATCAGTGGAATGACTTATTAGATGCAAGTTACTCTTTTGGTTAACATTCTGAAAATTTCATTTGAAGCATGCGCCCGTACAAAGAATTCCGAAAAGAAAAATTCCGACTCCTCAACTGTACAACTTGGCAATAATTTGTAAATATTTCCATAAGGTATTCAATTTTCGCATCCTGGGGTGTCCTCAAGGAGAGTTTGAAAACTATCAAGAGCTAGCTATTTGAATTAGTGATGATTTCCTTTAATGTCATGATCTTAATGTGTGATTTGGTAGTGAAACTGAAACGAGAAATTGGATGTAACACACCACTGAGGGTTCAAGGGTTGAGCGCAGGCAAACGCCTTTTGATAATCTTATTGGTCAACATCTTTTCACTTCCTCCAGTAAGGTGATTATAATCCAGTGGAGCAAGTTTGACCCTCACTCTGCTGAGTCCGAGATTAAAGCTGAGTTTTTAAACGTTTACTTCTTCTGCATAATCATGAAATCCCTCCTATCTGTAACTGCGCATGTGCTTTTTTATTCTCAATGGAAAATTTCCAACGATCATTTAGCATTTTTCAGCTCTTCTCTTCAGAATAATCAGAAATTAAGAAATCACTCAATCATTCAGGTTTCATCATACTTGGCAGAGAACGACTTTCAAGTTGACAAAAAGTCATTTTCAAAACCAACGCGATTTTCCTTTGGATCTGATCAATTTTGAGGACAAAATCTACCACACGAACATAGGAAATGCAAAAAAATTTGCACACAAAGGTTTGATAAAGTCGGCAAATATTTTGAAAAAAAGTTAGGGCATCTGCCACAGATGAGCCTTGTAAATCGATGGTGAATCGAATTGGAAACCTCGTTAACCCTTTAAACCCTAAGAGGGACTAGCATCAAATTTCTCCCTACACTATCACCCCTGAATCACACATTAAAGTCCTAAGAATAAAGGAAACGATCACCAACGAAAGAATATTTTGATTGGAAACCAAGTTCTCCTTTTCAGCACCTTAGGAGATGTATGAAAGGCAGTATGGAGAATATAAATACTGATTTTAGGGTGTCAAGGGTTAATCCAGGGAGTTACCGCTGTGTCAGGTTTGCCTTCCGTCGACACACATTAAGTACCAATGTCATGCACCGCTGACCTCTTTATCGGTCAAGTTTTGATTCAATCGGTTTCCATGAAACGCATACACAACAGAAGATAGCAGACTATACAGAGGGATGAAATCACCTCTCTGCAATTTATTGAGGATAAAAAAAAGCAGGCCAGGGTCTGTTTTTCTTCGAAGATACAGCCAAAATATCTCCAAGTCTTTTATTCACAATCCGTGTTAATAAATCTTCATCTCCTTGTTCATATTTATTAAATTCCAACGTCTTGGATATTTTCCTACTTTGGCATACAGTTGCTTCAATATTTTTAGCTATTTCAGGGAAATTTCACTGTGATGTTAAAATGACTTGCACACCCTCCACGCAGCTCATTTCTGGGCGTTAGACTACAAGTCCTTCTGGGAATCAGTGTCCGCGCAATGAACGAAACTGAGCAAACTGTTGCACCTCTCTGGATTTCAAACGGCTGTTAAAAGGAAATTACACATGCTATTTTTCTCCTACGTTGCGTTCGTGTGAGCTGTTTAGAATAAAGCACATTTCGACTGAGTGTCGTAAAGCCAACGCCGAAGCAATCGCAATGACCAATCAGAAAGAGGAGTACATCCTAAGGAGCCAATAATTTAAGCAGGTAATTTAGTGTTAATAACTGGGTTGAAAACGTAAATTAGCCACCGTTAAGGGTAAAAAAGCTGACGTTTCGAGCGTTAGCCCTTCGTCAGAGTGATTAGTCGCTCTGACGAAGGGCTAACGCTCGAAACGTCAGCTTTTTTACCCTTTAAGGTGGCTAATTTACGTTTTCAACCCAGTTGTTAACACTAAATTACCTGCTATACTCTCCCACCGACGCAGCACCACAGTTTCTTTAGAAACTTACCCCTCTAATAATTTAAGCAAACTGTCTAAAGCGCGGGAAAACGCGAGTTACCAAGCTGCAACTAGTTTTAGTCTTGAATCTGATTGGTTAAAGGAATGGGCGAATTTGCTGGACAAATCGCTGAGTATTACCTACATAAATGAGGGTGAGGCGCCATAAAAATGCAGATTAATTAAACAAAAAGTACTTTTTTTTCGGTTTCATGACAAATTCCAAGTTAATAGATTCAAACTCAAGATTTTGAGTTCTTGTGATTCACTATTTTTGCGACTTGACTAGCAACGTATTCATAAGCTCCTCTGCCGATTTGAACCATGTCTGTTAGTTAACATGTCTTGATTACATTTTGCTGGAAGTTCTTGAAGATCATGTATTCGTCTCTTCTAGCTCGTGGAGAACACTTGTAATCTTGTTCATATTATGGTCTATTGCCTTGGTTAGAAAGTCGAGCCAAGAGGAGTCTGAGTCCAGCGTAAAATGAGAATCCCTGAACAAAAATAATATACGAAAGTAAAAGTCAGCGATATGAGCCGCATCGATTCTTGCCCGGGTTGAAAATGTTTTTTTGACCAATTAATCCAGAAACACCGTAATCAAGTTTTACTCTTTACCTAGCTTTGTTCAGTATCTCTTTTAACTGGTCAGACAGCTTAGAGGCCTGTAATTGCATGAAGTACATACATTAGTAACTGATCAACAGGCCACAAGACTTGGAAACAGGACAAAGGAGAAAGTCGAGATTTTACATAAACATTGACTTACTGATTCGGAAACATTGTGATGATTCATAGGACTGTAAAGACTCATGACCACATCGTCAACACTGACACAAAGAAAAAAAAGTTATTTACATTTACCATTTAATCTCTAAGATCTAACACGTAATTCTTTCCTATAGCTAACATATATTTCCCTTTAAAATAGTGTGGAGATTTTGGTGTCCCATCAAGGCAGAAAATTCACTGTTTGCCACATTGAAAAAAAGGGAAATTTTTTTACTTTGTGGTAACTTTCACCCTAAGGAGCCATTTACTTGATGCTAAAAAAAATATTTGGTTCATGTACACTTAAACATTAAATGTCCATTCACCTTGAACTAGTTCTCTGGATTTCATCTGCCATTGAATCAAGTTGCTGAATATTTTCCACTGATGTGACTTGACCTGAAGTTTGAATAGCGCTGGAAATTTTCTTTAGACAAGACCTACACGCCTGAAACATGAACCAAACTTTTGTTAGAAGATAATGGACAGATGGATATTGAAGAGGCTTACCTACATTAGACAGTCATTCAGTCAATCAATCAGTCCACTGAGTAACCACTCATCAGTTAGTGAGTCAACCTGTAAAACGGTCATGTGATTGAAACCATCTGTTAGTTTGTCAGTTAAGCAGCCAATCAGCTCAGCAAGTAGTCGGTTGGCAAGCCAGCTGGCCAACCAGCTGGTGTGTCAGTCACTCAGTAGGTTGGTTGGTAAGTGAGAGGATGAATGAGTAAGTCATTCATTTGTCAGTCAGTCACTCAGTAGGTTGGTTGGTAAGTGAGAGAATGAATGAGTAAGTCATTCATTTGTCAGTCACTCAATCAGTCAGTCAGTCAGTCAGTCAATCTATCAAAAAAAATCCATTTGTAATTTAGCATTGCATACCTTGACAAGCCCTATACAAGGGGGAACCAATAATTTATCTTCACTTGACCAACCATCTTTGTTTGTTGCATCATCATCTTCATCACAATCATTTTCTTGACATCCATTACATTTTTGAGCCTAAAAACAGAGGAAAACCTACCAAGTAAAATTAATTCAATTTGGCTACAGATGTGATTGAAGTCATTTGCAACAAGCAGTGGAAATTTTTCTGTTTTTGCTTTAAGGTTCGTATAAAATTGAACTGATCGCAACTAAGCAGATTCAATAAAATCAAACTTGTAAATACCTCATTTAACTCAGTGAGGGCATCTTTGATCAACTCTGAACTTGAATGAAATACTTGTAAAACTGCATGTTTGTCATCTGCAAAAAGTTCCACCACAAGGGTTCTTTAGTGCGCATCAATAGCATTAAGTGACTAATCATAACTGATGATAGAATAATCCATTTTGTTCCCTCTCTTGAAAATTCAAAGTGCTCATGGGTCAATGTGTGGTCTTCTCTACAGCAGATAAGGCAGTTGTTCTGACAGTTTTGCAGACAGCCCACAGTGTATCTTTTGGTAAATTACTGACTTTCCACAAGCTTTTTAATTTAAGTTTTTTTTTAAATTTCCTACCTGCTGGAAGGTGTTGAAAACCATCACAATGTTCCCACAAAGTTCCTGTTGATTTTGTCTTTGCACTGGCAACACTGCCAAACAAAACAAGTGTTAATTTAAACTTAATTGAAAATCTTGCATATGGCCTCCTTATTGATTCAAATTTAACCAATCTTCACAGTTTACTTTTGGTCTCAGTATTCAAATGGTGGATAATGCTATCCACTTGATAAATCTCTATCCAGTGGATAGAACAGAATGAATGTTTTGTCAATATTTGCTTGCTGAATGGCAATTTTGTTTGAACATTGTCATGTGTACTTTAAACAACTGAACCTAGACTTGCTACATCACCTTGAACAGCCTTCCTTGATAAACGAAGCAGCAAGAATTTGACAGTCATCCACCACAGTTAGAACAGATTCCTGAAGTTTCTTATAAAGATATTTCCCTAAAATAGTGTAGTAAGACTCTGTACTTGAATTTTGACAGTTAAACCTCTTAATCCACTTCATGAACCACAAAAGTAGTCCTCAGTATCAGTATCAGACAGGGTTGTTCAAAGGGCAGATAACTCAATCCAATAGATAAATTGCTATCCAGTGGATAAATGTAAACAAAATGTATTGCACTATCCAATGGATAGAGATTTATCCAATGGATAGCCTTATCCACCCTTCAAACAACTGGGGCCTGATTGTCAGCACAGTGGTGTTTGAATTAAGAAGCCTGAGGCAGAATCATGACTGGGTTATTGTTTAAACTAAAGTTCTTAGGCAGGACACTTAACTATCACAGTGTCTAACTCCAACTAAGAGTGTCACTGAATGCCAAAAAACTATTTGACAAAGCAAATGAGTCACTTAAGGGTGACAATCTGATGAACATTCATCCTTTGCAGGAGAAGTAGTGATACTACTATTCACTTCATGACAGTGAATATGACAAAAGTTCTAGATGTAATGGGCCATTGTTTCATTAACTTGCTAGTTCAGGTGTTAACCAATATTATAAAATTTACCTTGGGATATTGGTAAAGAACGAAATATTGTCAACATGGCCACAACTGATGTCTCAAATCCAGTCAAGAGGCATTGTAGTTCCTGAAAAAGGGAGCATTTTAATGAGGCAAGTTTTAACAATAGTTGGCTTGATCAATAAACTGGTCTAAAAATGATTTAAAAGTATCCTTAAGCAAGACCTTAAAAAAAAAACATTTCTAGCTTGTTTGATATAGACTCACATCAACTGATGGTACTGGAGGCTTTGAAAAGGAAATGGTCAGTTTAGTTGCTTCTTTAGAAACAGCCCTGAAGGTCATGCCTGAAGGAAAAGAGCGTAAAATAGCATTAAAGACTCTCCCAGGAATACAAGGTGGGAAAGAGGGAACACCTCTCCCAGCCACAGAAATCTAAACTGCAGAGAAAGAAAGGGCATCCATGATTGATACTTTCTCAAGTATTCACTGTGCATGCCAGTCATGCGACCCTAACAAACCAGAAGAGCAGTTCTATAATCATGTATGCATGGGTTGCAGTCCAATTTTTGCACAGCCCCCACTCTGAAGATACCCAATGTGTTTCCTTATATCCTTTACCAATAATTATAAAACCCACGCTGAGGACCTTTTGTGTAAATATTTGTCAAAATACCACCTTAGTTGAAACTAGTGGATGGCCACAGATTTTAATGACCTCATTTATTTAATCAATCCAACAGGCAGCAGAAACTGGGGGGAGAGAGAGGCTTTAACTGGTGTGCTTCATCAACCACATAATGAGCTGATTGTACTGATGACAGATATGATTATGATGATGATGATGATAGGAACATCCTCTGTTTTGTAAAATAAAATCTAAATCACCTAGTTTCATCCAAAATTCTTCCAGAGAGAAACTCAACTCCAAGTCCTCCATCACTTGTCCTAAGCTTCCCTCTGTATTGAACACAAAGAGGAGAAATAAGATTCTAGTTTTGATAAGAAAACTATAGTTGAACTGATAGATTTTAGACAAGTCACTTGTACAGCTAGCAGCATGGAAGGACTGATCGTCATCGTAATAGTTTCACGAAAAAATTAGGATGTTGCAAAGTGAAAATTCCATGCGAACCTTTTATTTTCTCGGCACAAAGTCCAAGAGTGTCCATCAGAGACTGCAGAACCTCTTCAATTCCAGTAGCCGCCATTTTGAAAATTCCCGTTTAATTTACGGGAGTTTCCGAGTGTTGCCGAGAATTGTAAAACACGTGACTTTGGATTTCAACATGGCCGCCGCGAGATCGTTATAAATATTCATGATTTTGAAGAGTGATTCGGAAACTAGAGAAGCATCTCTTAAATGGAATGATAATTCATAATGACAAGTAGACATTGGAAGAAGCGTATAATTTTATGTTGATACCCTTAGGAGAATGTTTTCGAACGCTTCGAGGAATCGGTGAACGATGTTAAACGTTACTCACCAGCTTAGGAAGAAGGTAAAACTGTAACATTTCTTTATCGAAAGCGGCTGAAATATAGCTTAAGAGTTTTTAGATTTGCGAGAGAGTTTTGTTTACTATGATAGCATTGCACGCATGCCATCCTAACGTAGATCGTATTACGAGTAAGTAGAGTGAAACCTTGACTTGTTTCGAGTGTAATTTAACTGACCACAGACCCGTGAACAACTGCTACAAGTAACAATACATCCGTTCTAAAACGATAGCAATGGTTGTCAAACCATATTATGTTCACGTTGTCGTGTTAACTGTCACAGATAAGCTCCAATTTCGGGACTTACTAGACTTATCCCATTTCCATTTCCTAATTCTCTTCTGAATAGCTCTTTCTGGGAGAAATCGATGATAAAACCGACAAGGTGAAAGATAGAAGTAGCTCGAAAACGAACGAGATGCAGACTTCTGGACTAGCAGAAGACAATTCACCAATAAACAAGCGAAAGTCTTTGCCGGCTGTGCCATCTCCAGAGGAAGAAAAGTCGATGAATTTATCGGTTGCAAAGCAGAGATCACCAACAGCTAATCCTACTCAGGTGAAGGCGTATGGGCCATATTTCCTCGAGTACACGCTAATGGCGGAATAGTAAGTTTTCGCTATTACTTTAATTGCATTATAATCGTGTGTACAATGCGCGAGTTTTGACGCCGTGAATAATTTACACGGAGCTGACAAATGTAAGTCTTATTAACTTACATGTTTATAAAATATTTCACTAATTGCTTTAGCTAGAGATTCAAATTCCTTCAGATTCCCTTTATGTATTAGTGTCTGGGCGCTCATTATATTTAGCTCTTGACCATCACAAATGAAGCTTGACTGTTAAAGCGATAAGCATTCAATGTAGCAACATGGGGTCTTTGCACCGTATAAACTTTTATGATCTTACAGTTAAAATTGGTGAATTACAATTTGCAATGATATGGTTTGACCATAAATTCATTACGATGGGAATGCAGAACTTAAGAAGCAAACTTAATATCCTTTAGAACTTTTATGGTGTTTTCATCATTCTGGCTCTGCTTGTTTAAAGGTTGGATAATGCTATTCACCAGATAAATCTATAGCATGGTTATGTTTTTCTTTCACTCATTTACTGAATAGTCTTACCTGCCCTTTACACAACTGGGCCCTCCGTAATGTGATATAAGTGGTATTTGTATAGGGGAGGGTTTATTGAAGCACAAAGCAGATAATATGAGAAGAGGCTACAGTGAAGTCTCTGCACAGCTGGGCAACACTCTTGATGGTTCAAACGAAGTTTCATTCCAATTACAGGACAAAAGGTTTCTGAAAAAGGTGTTAATAATGTTTTGAGTAATTCAGTCACAGTAGAATGTTTGGATACTTAGGCTAGTTATTTTTCAAAGAAAAAAAAAAGAACCATAAAACTTTTGGAAATAATAATTCAAATTATTTGTGTGCATTCATAGTGTTCAAAACATCCAAGTCCAAATGAAAACCTGACAACTATATCAGCCATGAAAGTGTGACGGAACACATGTTGTATCTCATTTTTAATACTTATTTTGGTTTTAAATCTGTGATCCTTGCATTAATCAAGTGGCTTATCTCATCCTCTTCACAGCAATCAGCTTAGAAGTCAAAGACTCCCAGGTGTTTATGTCCTTCCAGCTGCCAAGTCTCCTCTCAGTAAGGATTTGTTATTATTTCATTTAAAACATGGTTTACCACAGTCTTTTTTGTTCTTTGCTTGTAATAAAACAAAGAAACATCTTTCTTGCTTGGAAACCTACAGCAACTTGTCTGTTTCTTATGTCTACTCTTTCAGTATGGTTTGGAGTTATTTTTATCAGGATGGGCTCTTACCAAGATGGTATATTCAAGTTTGTCATGAAAATTCCAGAAAATTTCCCAGATGGAGACTGTCCTGTAAGTAAATAACCATCCAAACATCGTACAGCAAAAACAAGTCATTAAATACTCTAGCAATAATTGGTGATGTATTAAATGAAATAATTCCACAGAGCTGTTCATTTAATTTATTTAGTTTGTTTTGGGGGCATTTGGCCACAAGTTTCCCTTAGAGTCTTTTTCTTCTGGACATAGATTGATTATTAACCATTTCTGACTACAATACTACACAGGCTGAATTACTTGCAGACCAAGAAATCACTCTTATTTCTGGCATGTGGGGATGCATGGTTGGAAAATAAATGCTCTGCAAAGTCATTTTACTGCTCTTCAGGGACTTGGAAATGAATAATTTATCTCTCACTAACTACTTTTTCTCTGTCTGTACAGTTAGTTATGGACTAAGTTTTTCTGCTTGGATTTATGTGCAAAGTATGAAAGGCATAAAGCTGAGTGGAAAAAAATGAGTCTCCATAACTTACAATAAGGACTGAGAAATTGAGTTTGTGGGCTCAATTTGAGGGGGGAGATGTAACAAAGGGCTGTGCTCTTGCAGTGGACAGAAGCCACAGGTGACTGTCTTTTTTCTCTGTGCTGTTTGTGTCTATGAGAGCTGAGAACCTCAGATTTATGAGACAGGAGTCTTGAGGCACCTAACTTTTCTTCTCAGAGCGTAGTTGGGGACTGAAAATTTGCTGTTTAATTGATTTGCAAACATTGTGTGCTTTATTAAAATGTAAAACATTTTTTTTCACAGAGTGTTGTATTCAAGCCCCCAGTTTTTCATCCTGTTGTAAATTTGGAGACTGGAGAATTAGATGTTAAGCGAGCTTTTCCAAAGTGGAGGTAGTGCATCTTTTTTTGGATGAGGGGGAGGGGGGTGGGGAGGGTGTTGGGTGTTTTTGGAAATTGTTGTCAGTTGAAAGAAAATCTTTGATACACCAAAGAGACAGGAATGAACCCAAAAGGGAGCAAGGATAGTGAAGATTCACAAATAGAAAATGTGAAAAATTCTGGCTAAGTACTTCTACATAGTTCTGATCTAGTTAATTATTATGCACTTCAGTCTATGAACTGCAGTTTGCAATGTATAAACTTAGGTGATCAGTTGATCTGGTGAAAGTGTCCCAAAAACTGTTTTTATTTTTCTTCTTCTTCTCTTTCCTTTTTTTTTTTAAATTTTTTTTCATTTTAAGGAGAAACATAAATCACTTGTGTCAAGTGTTGCTGTATGCTAGAAGGATATTTTATAAAATTGATTTGAAGAATCCACTTAATCCTGAAGCTGCCAACTTGTGAGTACCAGTCCTCCTCTTCTTCTCCATGTATTTACTTACAACTGTGTGTGTAAGATAAAACTTTGATTTCAAATTCTTGCAGTATTTTTTCCCAACATTTCTAACTGTGTTGAAGATTATGGTAAGTTGTGAAGGCCATTTGCAAAAGTCTTTTTTTTTTTTCACTCTCAGGTATGAAAATGATAGAGATAATTTCAAACAAAAAGTTAACATGTCACTGAGAGCTTGCCTTAATGAGCTTCATTTACCTCTAGCAGATGACCCTCATGCAATTAGGTGGGTGGAGCTTATTATCTTTTATACATGTACCAATGTGTATGGTTCAGTGTTGGCAAAATGTAATCTATCAATAGTGGCCCAAATCATTTTGGCTGTCAAGTCACATTTTTCTAAATTTCTTTAGCAGAAAAAACTCACTTGATACTGTTGAATGGTGGATAAAATTCCAGTCAACAGTAGTTTTTGAAGAACTACAGTTTTAGTGGTAAATTTAAATTGTTTTTAATGTGGTCAATAGTGTCCAGTGGAACATGCATTTGATTGGGAGCATGGGTCATTGGTTTTCAATAAAATCAGTTGTACATAGTCAATCAATCAATCTGTTGATCCATCAATCGGTTGATCTGCCTGTGATATGGTCAGTCAGGTCAGGGGAGTAAACAATGTTGGAATGATTTAATAAGGACTGAATATTCCAAGACTAGGAAATCACATGGACATTGAATAAATGTAAAAGGTTTTTTTGTGTTTATGTTATGTTCAAACAGGTTTGTTGAACTTAGCCCCGACCAGCATGATGAGATAAAGAATCAAATTATTGATATTCAGGTAGAGTAGCAAGTTTTTTCCTCCATTTTACATTATTAATAATTTTATTATAACTAATGTTTGGCCAGTCTGGCTGATTTTGCATGCAAAACATTGTACTTTTAGCAAATCAGTCTTGACCAAAAACCATAGGTTGATTATTGTGGGTGTTTATTGTAACAGTTTTTGTTTATTGCCACTGCTTGTTTACATCTCAACAGAGTAAACCAGAAAGTCTTCCTACAGCCAATGCACACAAGTCTGGTTTATCATGGATGAAGAAAGGTTCCAATCAAATTTTTAGCAAGCAGGAGAGCTAGCACAATGATGTAGTCTACTAGATGGAAATATGTAAATAACCAGACAAACACACACTGTACAGGAGTTCCAGATTTTTTTTATGTTTCTGGGTTTTCATAGGAAAAACAGAAGATGGATTAGAGAGTGTATGAGAATAGAATTATTTGAACTCTTAACAGTGCCTTGGGAAAAATGCTTGCAACTTGATTTAAAAAGATCAACATTTTCTTCACAGCTATTTTTAGTGAAAACTGACTTAAATAGTTCAAAGCAAGTCTTGTGACTTCCAGTCTCTGCTGTTACTAGTAAATCTCTTGCATTGAGGTTATCTTTTCACTTGAAGTCTTTCACATTAGTGGTCAATGGTCTGGGTGTATGTCTAGAGGTCATTTTAACAGTAGGTGATTGGTTTTATTGTGTTTCATGTCCAAAGGGAATAATTCAATGATTATTGTAAGTAATAATTAAAAGTTATAAATTTAGTCACAAGGAGATGAAAGTTGAGGTTGATTAAGTGACATTCAAAGAAAACCATCTTTTGTGGATTAGACATTGATGTTGGACATCCACTGTGTTTCAATGTTGTGAATTTGCTAGTGAGCACAGGTATGACAAACTTAGATCACATTCAAACACAAAGTAAAGATTATCATGACTTCCAAAAAAAAGTTGGATAAGGTTGCCTGAATCTCTTGTATCAGGTTATGGTAGCTTTCACCAGTGATAGGATGTTCCTTTTTCTTGATAAACCACAAGTAATGAGCCTGTGAATTTCTGGTAGTAAAAGCAAAGAATAAAGTGAACCTCTGACTGCAGCCCTCATTGCTGTTCATGAGCTCAAATGAGGGTTGTTGTTGTTTTTTTTTTAAGTGCTCTTTTTCATCCCAACGAAGTACCTTTTCTTTAAACTAGAAGTGCAGACTAAGAACAGGTCATATTTATATTTTTCATATTTGCAAAAATCCCTCAAGGCACAAAGTTATTGTAAATTGTAACTTTGAATCCATTTCTCTTTCCTGGCCACTCCTGGCTTATATTTAGTAAATGGAAAATGGAAATTCAAGGGTTAGTTCACAGGAAGGAGTAATTTAGTTTTTAATGTCTTACTTTGAGTCTTTGGAGAAGAAATATATGAGTAACTGCCACATTTGAAAATCAAAAGGTCCAGCAAGCAGGCCCAGCAAGCAATTATATGATCAGTTTTTCATTGTGACATTAATGGCAACGTATCATTTAAGAAATAACAAAAACTGTAATTTTTATCTCTGTAATATACTGAAATTATGAATAAAATTAAATGAATTTGTGTATGGCCATTGCTTTTGCAGAGGTTTCAACTTAAGAGTCCGATAATTCAACTTTTCTGTTTTTCCTTCTCATGAAAATATTAAACCCACATTTATTATGATTATCTTCATTAAAATATTGTTTTTGTCATCAATGTCATTGTCTTAAGGATCTAAGTGTAAACAATAATAAATAAAAAAAAAAGTTCTACACCACAAGGTTACACTCATTCCACTTACTCACAAGGCATTTTACTTAGCGAGTGTTTTACTCTCATTAGGTTTTAGTTAGCTTGAGAGTATCTGCATTCAGGTAAGTTTTGTATTACCCTGTTGTGAAGTGTAAACACAACCTGACATTTCAGGAATGTTGGATGTCTACCACCAAAGATAAACATGGGTCTATTTTACGGCTTTAAACTAAGAAAATAATTAATCCCCCTTTTTTTTTTCTTTTTTTTTTTAATACTACACAGTTATAGCCAAAAGACCTGTGCCATGACAAGGTCAACAGATTAGAGCACAATTCTGCTCTTTTGTAGCCTTAATCACAAATGAAATGTAACTGTATTACAAAAAAAAAAGGTTTTGCCAGTTGACAGGACTTGCTGTTTCACATATCTAAATTAAGTTGTCACTGTGATTTTCTTTTTCTAAGTTCCTCCACCTCAGCAGACCTTAAATAGTTCCAAACTGAATTGTCCAATTCATGGCAAATTCCTTTCCAGTTGAAATGTGTTGGAGGATCATTTTCTTGGTTTCCTTTTTGATATTCAAAGTGGGGACTTAGTTCAATAGCAAGACTTGACTTAATAAGTGCCACACCACCAACTTTCTCTGGTCCTGGGTGATAAATTCTTCCACTCTCAGGAAGCATGCAGACCTTTTCTGGTTGAAATGGGAATGTAAGTGTTTCTCCGATTCCACTGTAAGTCAAAAGTCCAGGTGATCTACTGCCACCATCTGCATCTTCTATAATGGTGGCAAAAACAACTGGCACATCATCACAACGGATGTAGTTCATTTCAAGACCGCAGGGTGAAATGAATGGGAAGTCTTCCTCAAACCTTGAAGTTTTGTTTTGCTTTAGTCTCTTGAAGAAAAATTTAAGAAACTGCTTGTCTGAAAATTAACAAATTCAAAGTGAGTCAATTGAGAAGAAACAATCCATAATGAACTAAGTAAACAAAGAAGTTAATATGGAAACTTGAATTTCAACCAGACTTTAAAAAAATAACAAAATGAAATGAAGACAAAACAAAACAAAATAAACAGACTGGATCTTGCTATAGTTACCTTTAAAACAGGTGATAAAGTTTTTCACTTTTGTGTCATCAAGAAACAACTGAAAGAGAGCAACAAATCTTTAGTATATTTCACCATAGTTCATGAAGGTTTTATTATACCTTAAGTCAAGGAAAAATTGGTTCATATAACACCTGAACTGGCTGAAGAATGAAAGTGATAATCAATTTCACAACCACACCCCTCTTCGGTCATATTTACTGTATAGGGGAGAGGTTTAAGACGAAATTACTTCAAACAGCTGACATATCTTTTTGTAAATTTCAGCAAAATCTAAGCTCATAAATAAATGAAATCTATGTAAATACAAAAACTAATCCAATTCATATGCATGCAAGTCAACTAATTAACGTTCAACTTCGATCAGTGACCTGAAGTACATTATTTTCTAATGAGTGTCACACAACTGAGTCTGTAGTTTTCGACTGCAGTGTGTTCCACTGATGTAATCTTCATGAGGTATGGTTGGAAGACTTGAATTAAGAGTGAAAATGAAAAAAAGAAAACAGCTTCATGAAAAAAATTGGTAATACCTGCCCCTGATGGTCAATGTAATAAAAGTACTCTCGCACTTTCGGTGAAGGAGATTGACCTTGGACATACGACACAACATGACGTGATACAGCAAACTGACGGTTCCGGAACGCACATCCACGCCTGAACAGGACAAACATCTGGCTGTCAGTTCCTCCTTGGGTGAAGTTCAAGTAAGAGAGTGGTTCAGTTCCGTAAGGCAAGACATACGAGCAATGTTACGTAACTAGCAAGACTTTACTGGGATGTGCAAGCTGTCGTTTTGTTTTGGTTGTGTAGGGATTATAGCGACCGCAAGGCAATGTGGGCGTACGCATGCCTTTGTTTGAACTCGCTGAATATTGCAAGCGCGGGCTCTAAATTTTGAACTTTCTCGTTGAAATTGTCAAGGAAAGTGTAACCGTGTTTCGGTAATATTTCGACAGTTTCCTTGGAGAAAATATCACTTTTATAAGGGATTTGCCTCAATTAACATGTGATAGTGTTGGAAGGGGGCTATGGTTTCGGAAATTGTCGCGTGGAAGCTCTGAAGAAAGTTTGAAAATTATGGCGGCACAACAGAAGCGCTCATGGAAACTTCGTAAGTACATATAGGTGTTCACCGGTACAAAATTTAAAAATGGAGTTTGAGATGTAATTAAAATAATGGGATACTGGGAATTAAGTCATGTACTTTTCTGTACGATTCAAACGTTTTAAAGTTGTGAAATCGAACTCTCCTGCGTCAAAAATTTCGTCTGGCCATTTGTAACGTCATGTCAATTCAAGCACGAGTCAACTCGTAAATTAAGAATGTAAACGAACGCTAGAACAACATGTGTGACAAACAGAACCATTTCTTTGCATTCAGGAAAAGTCGTGGTTTTTTCCTATTTTCATGATTATAGCATCTTTGTGAGACGTCTCATGTTACTTTGTCAAGGGTTCGGAATTTTTGTGAGAAATAGGCTTAGTGTTTCAACGAGGTTGTTTGACGTTCGGCTATAAACGGATTATCGAGGTGATTGTCACCTCCCGCATGTCTATCATCGAGGTTTTTTTCGTGGCTAAATTTTACTTCTCATTAGCGTTTGTTATTAAAACGTGGTTGATTAATTGAGCTAATTATTTTCAAAGAAGTTGAAAATTACTCTCACTGATGTTTTTCTAGAGCGTTCATGCGTCTGAGTACTTGAATGATTTCTGAATTCTACGACGTCAGGGGGTTGGAACTTTTGAAGAGACATTGTTTCTAATTATAAGCTGTGGACAGAAATATTTTGGTTACAAAACAGATCCCTTGATGATTAAGTTTCATTGATTGTAATCCAACAAAGATTTTATATTTCAGCAAGAGGTGTTTCTTGTTAGGCATAGCAGTGTTTTATATTATAAAATGCACAGAATATGTGTAGAGTGGGATGTTTACTCTGACTGAAACTATGTCATTAATAATTTAATTAACAGTTGGCAGGTTTCAAATAAGCTCATTGGTTTCATGATAAGGTACTGTTTTGCTAGCAATAAACATAATTTAGAATCCATTTAGGTAGTTATCCCCCCATGCCAAGCTTGAGAATATTGTCACACAGCTAAAACTCAACAAAAGAAAATTCACAGTGATGTGGAGATTCTTGCCCTGTGTATTTTGAAGTATAAAATTTTTCCAATCAAATTACATAAAACATGCAATACATATTGTTTTTTTCTTTTTAACTTAAAACAGGGGAGTGAACAAATTAAACTAATTCAAAGTCTTTTGGATCTGAAATTTATTTTGAATTATGACATTTAAGTTGTGAATCAAATGTTCTTTAGTTTCAATATTTCCGTGTCAGTTTATTTTGATATTCGTTGGTCCAAGGCCCTTTGAAATTTTGTTACGAAGGGAAATGTTAAGGTGGTCTCAATATCTTTGAAGCAAAGGAAAACTTGAATCACAAAATGTATGGAGCTTCACTATCATGGTGTCAATAACTGCTAGGTTCAAATATGAAGTTGGTATGGATTAGGGAAAGGGAGAGGTAGAGAAAGAACAAAAGTTCTCTTGCCTGATATTGGAGCATAAGTGATTATAATTTTAAAAAAAAAATTTGGTTTTTTAAAATATCCAACCTGAAAGTACACCAAGATATTAATTGACTCCTCAATTATAAGATAGACAGTCCAGGAAAATTTATGAAAGCTTGTTGCAATAAATAATTTACAGAATCAATCCAGATTAAGAGAATTTTTATATCTGTTTTATCAGTTTTTTTTCTCAGCACACTTATTAGCCCTTTGACTTCAAAGATCTCATTAGTAATTCTCTTTACTGTCTGCCATACAGTTCTTGTGATGTTAGTTTGGAGAATTTGGTATTGGATCAACTAAGAATCTCATAATCAATATTTTCCTTTATTCTCATCACTTGTCTGCTTGATATTGTTTTGATATTGTGAGGAGAACTTTGTCTTGGTCACTCATGGGAGTTAAGGGGTTAATTTATTTATCCTAATTAGAGCCAGATTTATTCTTTTTTTTCTTTTTGTGGAGTGAGATGAGATACTATATTTTAATAATCTCTTTAAAATTGGATATTGTTCCAAGACTAACTTTTAGAACAATATTTTTTGCTTGTTATGATAAATTATCCATATTTCTTTTGACCTACAGAGGAGTTTGTAGCTCATGGGTCAAATGTGTCATGTTTGTCTCTGGGCCCAACTTCTGGACGTGTCATGGTGACAGGAGGAGAGGATCGCAAAGTCAACATGTGGGCTGTAGGAAAGCCAAATGTAATCCTGGTAAGAACAAGTGCAATATTTTAAGGTCAAGTACTTTTATCTCGCCTTTGCCAGAGGTACATATTCTAATCAAAGTGAAGTGCCTGATATGAAGGAAATTACAGTCTAACATGATTTTTTCATTGTCATCCCTTGATGCGTTTTTCCTTAACAACTCACAACAGATTACTCTTAATACTGCACAGTGTTGTGATATGGGTCTAATTCACTGCTTTAAGTTTGATTTAAACTTTACAGATTTATTTTTTCAAACTTTAAGTTCAAGAAATGTAGAGCTGTCTCTGTCCTTGATTAACAAAACCTCTGGAAAATCATAAAATTACTGCAATATGATTAATAGGTGATTGATGGTTATTGCTATATGATGATAATAACCATAAGAAGAATGATGATGTTGTCTTTTAAAATTTTTAATTCATACAGACTCTGTCAGGCCACACAAGTCCTGTAGAATATGTCCAGTTTAACAGTGGGGAGGATCTTGTTATTGCAGGATCCCAGTCAGGAACACTGAAGATTTGGGATTTAGAAGCTGCCAAGAGTGAGTTGAAATTTAACACACACATGTTCAGGGTGGTCATCATAAGAGACCTGTCTGCTTTATAAAAGGAATAACAGAAACTGGGGAATGGGCAACATTGTGAGAATTTACATACTGATGTTAGGGTGTTAAGGGTTTACTATGTGGACCCTACTAGCTTGTTGCTAGGGTCACATATCCTGGTTTCTATAGCAATTATTATGACTCGTTGGTACCCACTTTTATTCCCAGGTGAAGAGAAATATTTCAAGAGGGGATTACCTTCCCAAGAACAATTGATTTGTTCAGGGTACAATACTGGACCTCTCAATGCTGAATCAAACATAGTAACCATTAGGCCCTAATATTTCCATCATAGACTTTAACCACATGTTTATTATCTACTCAATCATGTTATGTCTTTTTTTTCAGTTGTCAGAACCCTGACTGGTCACAAGAGTAGTATACGTGGTATAGACTTTCACCCCTATGGTGAATTTGTAGCATCAGGTTCTTTAGACACAAATGTAAAGGTAAGAGTTTTAACCAATATAAGTTGTATATTGAGTAATCCACTGATTAAAAGGTGATATGAGATGCTGTAAAGTTACAAATTTTTATTGGGACTTTATCACCATGATTTCAAAAAAGTAGCAAACTTTAAGTCTCACCAATAAAAACAAAATTATAGCCAAAAATTGACCATTACCCCTCGGTAGAACCTCTCTCTGGAGTTTAGGTGGAGGCATTTCCTGAGTATAAGGAATTAATATACTCTTTGGCCATGATACAATACAGAAACATGTTGGCACAGTTAGATGTGTTATCAAACAAATGCTAGACAAATACTATGATGATAGTTATTTCAAATGGTTGATAAAGGATTAATTTTATGCTTTTAACTTTTGTGGAATTAATTGATGGCAAAGAGTAGGAAGACTAGGGAGCTATTTCTTTGTGTGATGGAAACTTTGCTGTGTATGGTGAAGAAAAACATATGTAGATAGGCCAGTACAATAGAAGAATATTGTCTATTGTGTAAGTATTAAGCAACTGGTGATGAAAGAAAACTTGGAAAATGTGGCAGAAAATAATGAATGACATAATGGGAATGATTTTATTTTCTCTCAGCTTTGGGATGTCAGACGAAAAGGTTGTATAGTCACATTAAAGGTAATTGTTAAAATTGTGCTCTCACTACAATGATTTTTTTTTAATACCAAGTAATATTAATGAAGGCTATTGAAAAGGTCATTTGATCTTATAAATGCATTACCAGTGATGTCCATGCCAAAAGTTATTGAAATTTAACCAAAAAAAAAAATAGTGGCTATAGGTAGGATGGCTAACTTTTAATTCTGTTGTCTCATTAACAGGGTCACACTGATGGAATTAATTTTGTGAGATTTAGTCCAGATGGCCGATGGATTATATCAGCATCTGATGACAACACTGTTAAGGTGATGGAGGCTTCTTAAAATTTTATGCAGTATTTGGCATTAAGAATCTACTTTTTCCTTTTTGCAAAATGAATACAATTCTGCATGAATGTGTGTGATACTGTGAAAACAAAAACCCTTTAAAATGTGCACAACTTTCAACGTGTGGCCTTGTAACTCAGTTGGTAGTAGCTCCCAACAACCATCTGGGAGGCATGGGTTTGAATCTCATTGAATCCTGAATTCTTTCCAGGCTTCAATGACCTGCAAGGATCATGGCTTTATTTGATTTCAATCTGCAGGTCATATGAGATTTATTTCATTACAAGTCAAGTCTGATTATAACATGTTTTTTTGTCTCTGTAGTTGTGGGACTTGACAAGTGGAAAACTCCTTCATGATTTTAAGCAGCACACTGCTGCTGTTAATTGTGTTGAGTTTCATCCAAAGGAATTCCTGTTAGCAACTGCCAGTAATGACAGGTTTGTCAAAAAAACTGATAGATTTGAAGGGTGATGTAGTCCAACTATATGTATTACACTTTTGATTACATATGTGATTGGGGCTTTATGAACCTTCCAGTATTGCAAGAAATGTATTAAGTAGTACCACATCAAAAAAAGGTAATTTAATTTAATAATAAGTTCTTATATAGCGCATTAAAATTGAACTCTATGCGCTTTACAATTACAAATTAACAAAATTTCGATAAAAATCCTATACATGCAATTCGCTACTCTATCTAAACTAATGAATTATTACGTGTTATGCATATGTTTGACAACGTACGATATCAAATAATCTGGTGGCTTAATTTTTGAAAAGATGAGTTTTCAATAAGCGTTTAAAGGAGTCAACAGATTCGGCGTTTTTTATGCATTCAGGTAGTTGGTTCCACAAATACGGTGCTGCGTAGGAGAATGCTCTTTGCCCATACGTTTTAGTTCGAATTGTTGGGACCTCAAGTAGATTCATATTTGATGAACGGAGGTTTCGTGCTGGAATATATCGACTAAGAAGTTCAACAAGATAGGTTGGAGCCATGTCATTTAGTGCTTTGTATGTTATCAACAGTATCTTGAATTGAATTCGTTTTGTGACCGGGAGCCAATGAAGTTTCCTAAGTATAGGTGTTATACTGTCTCTTGATTTGGCACCGACTAACAAGCGGGCAGCTGTGTTTTGGATCCGTTGGAATTTTTCGATGTCACAAATCGGTAGACCGTACAATAGGCTATTACAATAATCAAGTCTCGATGAGATAAAGGCGTGTATCAATCTTTCATTTTGCTGCGTCGAGAGGTATTTACGAACGCGACCAATATTTCTGATTGCTAGAGACGACGATTTACAGATGGAATTTATATGCGAGCGTAAGTTCATCACAGAATCAAGCATGACGCCTAGGTCTCGGACAGTATTAGATAAATTAATGATATCATCTCCAATATTGATATTACAGAAAGGAGGATTTTTTGAGAAGCGTGAGAGGAAATGAATGATTTCTGTTTTGAAGGGTTGCACTGCAATCTGTTTTTCTTGGCCCACCCATGATTGCATTAACACATGATTTCAATCTTTCCATGCCTAGCATTCTGTCAGAGGAGTTTATCTTTATGTAAAGTTGCGAATCATCGGCATATATCATACAGTTTAGGCCATGTTCAGCAACAATGTCTTCTGTAGGCGAGGTATACATTAGAAAGAGTAGTGGACCAAGTACTGATCCCTGGGGTACGCCGTAGGAGATATGTCGAGGCTTAGAGATAGAGTGATTGATCTTCACTGACTGAACACGATGTTCTAGGTATGATTTGAACCATTTTAGTGCGATACCTCTAAATCCGAAACGTTTCTCCATTCTTTCAAGTAATATGTTATGGTCGATCGTGTCGAACGCAGCGGAAAGGTCTAGCAAAACAAGTACTACTTCTTCTTTTTTTGATCTACAGCTCTTAGGATGTCATTTGAGACTTTTATTAAAGCAGTTTCAGTGGAGTAGTATTTGCGGTATGCTGACTGCATCGCTGGAAATAACTGGTTCTCGGACATAAATCTGTATATTTGATTTGCGACCACCCTTTCGATTGTTTTTGAGAGAAAAGATAGATTTGCAATCGGTCTGTAATTTGAGAGACAGTTCGGGTCCAATGAAGGCTTCTTTAAAGATGGACATACCAGGGATTGTTTTAACTGATCAGGAAATTCTCCGTTAGCCATGGAGGCGTTGATAATCTTGGTTATAATTGGCGTCAAGTGTGGAATTGACTTTAGAATTCGTGTTGGAATGGGATCCAGTTGACAAGACTTAGTTGGAGATTGAACAATAAGTTTGTGAACAATATCAGCAGATACAGGTTGAAAAATTTGGAACGACGAGGTGACTGGATAATTGACGTTGATGTCGGGTGCTTGGGCAGTATGGGAGTCCAAATCCGATCTTATTTTCTCAATTTTTTTGATAAAAAAAATCGTTGAACGTTTCGGTCAATGTATCCAATGAATCATTATTAGGGAGTGCAGCAATGTTCTTTGATAAGAATAGGCGAGATACCATCTTGAATAGTTGTGATTGGTCAGAGGAGCTGATCAGAGTCCGATAATAGTTTGTCTTTGTCGCTGTTAGAAGATCATTGTAGTGTTTGCAGGAATCAATAAATATTTCTTGGTGAATTTGAAGACCAGATGAAATATATCTTCTTTCATGACGACGTTTGTCTTGTTTAGCCTTACGAAGTTCATCAGTATACCAAGGAGAATGCGGTCGCAGAGTGACCCATCTCTCGTTCACAGGAGCATGTTGATCAAAGATAGACAAGAGATTAGTATTATATTGTGTAGTCAGCTCAGTTACACAAGACTGTGGATTAGTAATGAGATTAGATTCTTCGATGTCTTTGATCATACTAGCTAAATCGAGCCTTTTGGTGTTTCTGTGTTTAACATGTAGTGTAGAAGGTTTCGGTTTTGTACATTTCACCTTACAAGTAACCAAATTATGATCTGAAATATTGTCGGCTGATAGAATGCGAACATCCGTTATAACATTATTCTCTTCACGAGATAATATCAAGTCCAATGTGTGGCCCAGGCGATGAGTGGATCCAGATACATTTTGAATTAGATCAGTGGACTCAAGGAGATTTAGAAAGGAGGCAGCTTCAGGATTTGATAGATCATCAACATGGTAGTTAAAATCACCGGCAATTATAATGGGCTGCCTTGATAATGTAAGTTCTTCAAGAAAAGATGAGAATTCTTGCAAAAAGCTATTTCCAGTGTTGTTCTTTTTTTGCACAGAGGAGGGCGATAGAGAACAATTAAACGGAATGTCTCACTTTTGTTGGATATGCTCACATCTAAGTACTCAAATGAGCTTGTGTTCATGATGGAATTTTGCAGTACGGTATAACCATCTCAGTATCAACAAAGCGACTCCGCCGCCCTTACGATTCCTTCTTGGTATGTGGTGGAGTTTAAAATGCGGAAGAATGTTGTTGATGTCAGTAATAACATGGTTGTCATCCTCGGTTCCTTTAAGCCAAGTCTCTGTTATGGCCAGGATGTCTAAATGGTGGGAGATGACGAAATCGCATAAATGAGTTGATTTTTTTTACAATCGAACGCACATTGAGGAGAGCAAAATTACTGGTGGATTTGGTTCTCGGTAGATGGCCAACGCGTGTGATAGAGATGACATTGTTGATGTTTCTTGAGTAAATTTTCTTTGATGGTCGTCGATGCGTAGAAACAATGGTTGGAATGTAATAACATTGAGAATCTTCGTTTTGAATAATTAAATCTTCCTTCGGTTGAGAAATTGCTCCAAGGTCAAATTGTGACAATAAGAAACCCATTTCAGGACCAGGGTTAGAAGCAATGGTTCTCGGTAGATGGCCAACGCGTGTGATAGAGATGATATTGTTGATGTTTCTTGAGTAAATTTTCTTTGATGGTCGTCGATGCGTAGAAACAATGGTTGGAATGTAATAACATTGAGAATCTTCGTTTTGAATAATTAAATCTTCCTTCGGTTGAGAAATTGCTCCAAAGTCAAATTGTGACGACAAGAAACCCATTTCAGGACCAGGGTTAGAAGCAACGTCACCAGCCAAAGTAAGACGAGCTTGGTTGAAGGTGGTAGTTGAGTTAGCGTAGTATTTGACTTTGGATGTGTTGTAACCTTTAGGTCGTAGACAAACAAAGCGAGGCCGATTAGTTGTTAAATAACGAGGTAGTAATACAGCAGAAATCCACTTGTTAGGATACAAACAATGATTCTTGCAAATATAATCCAAAGAGGAAATGTTTAGGCAATCCATATGTCGTTTTTCAATTGAAATAATATAAAGAACTGTGAAAAAAATAAAGAAAATCAAGCAGCGATATGAAGCACGTCCGTTACCCATAATTACCATAAAGGTAAACTTCAAGTAAATTTATAAACAATAAACATCTAGTCAAACCTTTGTTACAAGTGGTAATGTTTTTTTTTTAGGACAGTAAAATTCTGGGACTTGGAGACCTTTCAACTGGTGTCTACTATAGATCCAGAAACTAGTGGCATTAGGTGGGTGAATTGTCAATTTGAATATAAGATATGTTGTGACAATTGTACAAATCTGTACTTCTCAGCATTAAAATTCTCTGCAATGAGCTACTGATGAGATGGGAGGATATTCTTTAGTAGTTCTTAGTTAATGGATTACGTGTCTTTATCTTTTTAGAGTCAGCACCAAGGTTTTGGTATAATCACTTTTTTTTTTTTTGCTGCAGTGTAATGACATTAGTATTAGCATTCACAGTCTTTGCCTTGTTATGTGATGTACAACAGATGGTGAAAACTGGCTTTTTTGTCTGATTCACAGATGTGTAGCATTCCACCCTGATGGACATTCATTATTCAGTGGAGCACAAGATTCCATGAGGGTGTATGGTTGGGAGCCAGTTAGATGTTATGACAGCTTTTCTCTTGGATGGGGAAAGGTTGCTGATATTGCAGTTTCATCCAACCAACTTGTAAGTGAACCCTGCATTTTGACTTCCCTGTTCAGTTAAGAGTGACCAAGACAGAATTTCTCCTTACAATATCAATACAATATCAAGCAGACAAGTAATGAGAATAATGAAAAATATAAATTAGGGGATTATAAGTTGATCCAATACCAAATTCTCCATGCTAACATCACAAGAATTGTATGGTAGACAGTAAGGAGAATTACTAATGAGATCTTGGGACTAATAAAGGGTTAAAGTTGTCCAAAATTGATTTTTTATTTCAAAACATCAGTTCTTAATAATTGATTGAGTTCTGCAGTAAAGGCATTTTTTCATTTACGTCCTTGGAAGTGGTATATGTAACAGCTCAATTATTTCTCAACAAATTGTGAATTGCGCCTTGTATCTTTGTAGATTGGAGCATCATATCATCAGACCAATGTATCTGTGTGGGTTGTTGATTTAGAGGTATGTTTTTCATGCATGTATAGCTGTTAAAGGGGTATGTTTGTTTTTCTCATGTTTATCTTAGTGTGTGTTTTCAGTGTTACTGATTATGAATTGTTCTCTCTTGTGTTCAGCATTTAGAAAACCTTATAGCAAAGTATAATGATGAGACAGCTGATGTAGGAAATAATGTAATGGTGAGTAACAGACTTCTTTATTTCTGATGTACAACACTACTATTGGACAACAATGGTAAATTAAAATGTAAATGTTATAAATCTGGGAGTCAATGGCCCTGAAGCTCAAATTCATTCTTCTTGAAGTAATATGACTTGTCCACTTATGGGAAGCTTGTAATGAACAATTTTGTTTGACTGAGACTACTGAATGCATTCAGAATCACAGAGATAGGATAGCATAACTAAGGGGGCCAAAGTCATAAGTGTATCTTGGTAAAGACCATGAGACTTGACTATACACTGGGTTGCAAAAATGTTGACACATGAAATGCATGATTCATGAATGACGAGATCTAAAGGCTTTATGGGAAGTGGTCTTACAGTTGCATAATAAGTGCTTTACTTTTCCATCATTCACGGAAACTTTTTGTTTTTAGGAGGGTTTTTATTATTTACCACATGTTATTGTGGTTATCATGTAAATGTGTACCCATAAAGCCATTGGGCCTCATCCTTCATTGCTAAGACTTTTTAGATGTTAATGTACCTGCAATCAAATGTATCCTGGGGCAAGGAGGGTAACTTAGGATAGAGTAGCATTGTATCCAGAGGGAGAAGCACCTCACTTAGTCACTAAATGCTATTAAAACTTAAAGAGAAGTCAAGCAACTTTGGCAATACTTCACTTTCAGCATTCAGCTTTGGTTTTTGAAACTATGCTAGTTCCAGCAGGCTTAAGATCCTGGAATAATGTTGTTAGTGATACTTTCAATAGGTTTGAATTACCATTAGTGCTTAGAGCTCCTGAAGCTATTTACAACTGAGTTTTCAATCTTTTACACAGGAAGGAGCACCAGGGGAACAGAAACCAGCTAAAGTTGTACCATCTACCAAAACGTAAGTCATTTATTTAAAATCTACTTACACTTCTCAGACCTCTCTTAAATTTTTTCTATTGAGGAAAACAGAATTGTAATTAGATGTGGATCCTTCTGTGATCTTAAAGATTAAAAATTGAATTTGTGTTTTTTGCCTTTACAGACCACCTAGAAAAGCATTTAGCACAGAGAGACCTCAAACAACATCTTCAAAACCCAGGTTTGTATATAACAGTTGGCTGAGGAACATGTTATAAACCCTGAGCTATCTTCCTTGTGGTTTTAATAACCTAGTGTTTGAGCCACTGGTAGTGCATAGACTACACATACCATGACACCTTTTTGGTACAGAAACCAGTTTAAACTCGTGTGGTAGTGGGTGGTAACTCTTCTAAGACTTGATGTTGAACTTAACCTGATCTGGTTTTAGGGTCCTCAAAAGTCTGTTAAATTTTTCAGACCTAAAGCTGAACAACCAGCTGTGCCAGATGAGCCTTCCAGCAAAGAGGAAGAGAAAAATGACAACAAGAACTTGGCAGCTCCTGATGACATATTTTCAGCCAAGAAGAAACTAGGTGAGTGAAGTATTTCTTTGGCCAAAATTATGTAACACTGAGGGAACTTGCTCAGCAACTACCCAGTTAGGGCTAATTAGTAGTCTTTCGCTCCTTCAAATTCCAAATTGAAACACTAAAGATAGGCTTTACATTATGGAACAGAAGGGAAATAGTAAGTTAAGTGGACAATATTCTCTGTGACTCAATTAAAGATAGTTAAGGCCATGGAAATTTCATAAGAGAATTCTCTGATTTCCAATGAGCAAGCCAACCAAAAAGTACTTTTGGAACTTTTTTTTTTGAATCATTAAATATTGCATTTGTGTTACAAAAATTATAAAATATTTATTTTACAGATCGTACACCTCCACGACAAAAACATGAACCATTTCAGCCTCCCCTAGAAGACCCTCTATCACACGGTGAGAGGAACTGTCCAACTGATGCAGTTGTTGATAGCTTTTTTAGTAATGTATCTTCTTATTAAAATTTATTTTTTGTTTAATTTATTTGTTCATGTACAGGTCATTCCAAACAAGTCCCTGTAGTTAAGCCATCTGCCATAGCCCCTGATCCAGTCAAACCATCCAAGGTGAGATTTACTTCATAGCATGAAAGTTTTGGGGGTTTTGATTTTTTCTTAATAAGTTTTGCATGTGATCCTTAATCAGCAAAAGTGACTTCCAGCAGAAAAAATCCAGAATACATGATGATGCAAATATTTACTACCATCAGTCAACTGAAAACAATTAGTTTAGAATAAAGAGTACCAGTACATTCATTTTCATTGTATTTGAACCCAATTGAGATATCTGGGCAGCTCCTCTCTACAAAGTACCATTTTTAGAAAACTTAAAGATATTTTCACTTTCTTTCAGTTGCATTGTTTTCTTACTTGGTTTGAAATTAATTCCCTGAACAAATTTTAGTCATCTTAAACCACAATAATTTACTGTGACTAAACACAAAAAATTGTAATTTGCAAGATAAAACTCACAGTCACATAGTTTTTATTATACACTGTACATTCATTTGCAATATGAAAACTTTCCCATTGCAAATGGTCAAATGCCCCCCATTGATGAAGCAGTGGCAAAGTACATGTAGTTTTGTTCTTTTGGCTGAACTCACAACAAAAGGTCCTATCTTTTTCCTTGTGTCTCCTTAACAAGTTTGGATCTGGTCCTTTGTTTTTTAGCCCACTTCAGTAAATGAAAATCCACAGCACCAACAAATGATACCCTCAGAGAGAGACAAACCAGCTGGACTGCAATTGTCTGACTTTCTTCCAGTAAGTACTCAACAACTTTTGAATAGATTGTTGAATTTTTTATTTTAAGGAAAGGTGATGGTTGAATTTGAAGTCATAAGTTAGGATGATAAAAGGAAGCTTAATTTTCTTGAATAACAGATTAGTTAAAACATCATTGGAGTTAATTTACAGATGTTACATAGTGCATTTGAAGTTTCAAATTCTGTTTCAAGTTCTAGCTTCTGTCTGCTAGTGGGTAATTGATTTAAAATGGAAACTTAAGAAACTTTTCCATTTCTAAAACAAATGCTGACAATTCATTTTTTTTCTTTTTACATAAGAGGAAATATTATTCTACTAGTCATAATATCATAATATTTATTTGTATCTTGTTTTTAATGTTTTAGTCCAGAGCTCCTGCTGTTAATGACCCTTCACAAAACAATGCCAATTTTGATCAACATAAATTTCCGCCAAAGAATCCAGCCATGTCAGAGAAAGATGCCATCTCTGCACTGTCAAAAAGTGAGTTTAGGATACGAAATCATCATGAATGAATGATAATATTAGATTAGAAGATAGGCATAAGATATAGATCCTACATGATGGCTCTGAAGAATTTATTTAACTGATATTTTCTGGTCTTAGTTACAATCATGGTGCTTCTTAGATATAAATGTTTTATTGAGGAAGAGCTCATCAAATGGGTAAATTGAATGTAAATTTGATGGATTGTTGTTTTCAGGTCATGACTCCATAGCAACAATTATGACGGCAAGACTCAAGAATCTGAGTGTTGTTGCGAGACACTGGGGGGATGGTGAAATAAAGGTTAGAGAGAAATGGTATTTGATAAGTTCTGAATTGAGTTGCTATCAATTTTGTTCAAATTGTTTACACCTTTTTGTTTAATGTTCTTTTCCAGACTGCGGTACAAGTTTCAGTAGATATGAATGATCAAGCTATCTTAGTGGACCTGCTCAATGTTCTCTGTTTGAAACAGTATGTTTACCTATCCACATATTACTTTCTTAACCCTTTCACTCCCACAAGTGACCAAGACAGAATTTCTCCTTACAATGTCAATACAATATCAAGCAGGCAGGTGATGAGAATAGAGAAGAATATTAATCATAGGATTATTAGTTGATCCAATACCAAATTCTCTGAACTAACATCATAAGAATTGTATGACAGATAGTAAGGAGAATTACTAATTAGATCTTGGGAGTGAAAGGGTTAATTTTAACTTATTGTGCTGTCAAAGCTCTACAAGGTCAGGCTTTCATGATACAGGAGGAGGTAGATACAGTCAAACCTGTATTTACCCTTTACACCTTAAGATCAGTATGCACATTCTCCATACTGTTCTCTGTACATTTCCTAAGGTGATCACAGGGAGAATTAGCTCAAAGATAAGGAGTTTCTGTAGTTAATGATCATTTCCATTATTCTCATGACCTTAGTGTATGATTCAGGGGTGATATTGTAAGGAGAAATTACATGCTCGTCACTCTAAGGGGTTAAAGGGTTAAGAGGCACAGTATAAAGCAGTCACCTTGCATTAAGTGGTCAGTTGTCAAAGTCCCGAATTTGTTTCCTCTTAATCAGTGTTTAATTTTCACCTGTATTAAGTGGTCATGGTCACATTTGAGTGAGTCCCACCAATCTGTTTGTTTTGTCCCCCACCTGTATTGAACAGTCACTTAAATCAGAACTGCTAAGAAAAAAACTGAGAATGATCTTTCAAGTAAGATTTAATTCATGTTTCTCTCCTGAAATCAATGCTTGTAGTATTTTTAAGTGAGTGTTTTTACATTAGGTGGTCAGTTATGGCATTAAATCATTTTTTTTTATATACATTATCCCTCTTCTGTGGAACCTGTGTAAAGTGGTTAACCTGTATTAAGTGGTCACCTTGCCATTCCCTGTGGATGGCAGCTTAATACAGGTTTGACTGTAACAAACTTTTAATAAACAGTAACATCCATCATCCAAAAAAAAAAAAAAGTGAAATGTCTTTCTTGATTTCTCTTTACAAACTTTTAATAAACAGTAACATCCATTGTCCAAAAAAGAAAACAACCTGTGAAATGTCTTTCTTGATTTCTCTTTACAGGACATTATGGAATCTAGATGTTTGTTCATTGCTGCTTCCTCACCTCAAGGACCTGATAAGTAGCAAGTATGAAAGGTGAGAGAGTGTTTCATGTAGTGGATTAAAAGATATTACAGCTGATGGTGTCAGGCTTGATGCCAGAAATCGTGTCAGTCCTTATTATGAGCACCATCATGAAAAAGTATTTTGTGTTGCCATCATTATCATCATCAACTCATTTAATCAATCTTGATCAAAATACATTTGAATTTCTCTTACAGCTATGTCCAAGCTGGTGCAATGGCAATTAAACTTATTCTGCGAAACTTTGCTCCAGTTATTAAAAGCAACATGGCAGCACCACCGGTGTCTGTAGGAGTTGACCTAGTCAGAGAAGAAAGGTGAGGTTTAACCCTTTATCCCCAAAGAGTGACAAGGATCTAATTTCTCCCTATAGTATCACCCTTGAATCAAACATTAAGGTCACAGGAATAAGGGAATTGATTGTTGAACTGATTCTCCTTGTCAGCACCTTAGGAAATGTACAGGGAACAGTATAGAGACTATGCATACTGATATTAGGGTGTACAGGGTTAAGTGTTTAAACAGAGCAATTTTCAGTTGAATTTTTCCTCCTTTCCCTACCTTTTCATGTAAAATGACAATAGTCGGTTCATAATCAGTATGACCAGTATTTTTTATTTATTTTTTTTTATTGTGTTGATTCTATTGTGTAGTCTTTATTAAAACTTACAGATATTAAGAATGAATCTTATGTCTATGTATATGTGAGTCATGTTTAAATTCACGCAAATTTACCCCTGCAGGTATAACAAGTGTCACAAGTGCTATTCACATTTGCAGTCCGTTCGTGAAGCTCTGTCTAGTAAAACCAACATTTCTGGAAAAATGGGAAGTCTCTTCCGTGAGATGTCGCTTGCATTTTCCAGCTTGGATTAATAGTAAGCAAGTAAGCTATTCTAGAGAAGATATGATGCACACAGGGATTACCATGACTTGTGGAATGTCCACTGCCGCAGTGTAAATTATTTTCATTAAAAAAAATGACAACAAGAGTCTGAGCTGCCTTTGTGTAAGCTAGGAGTGAATTATTTTGAAAAATCACAGATCAGATTTCATACAAAGTAAAATGGAAGGACAAACATCAGTGAAAATCAGATTAAGAGGTACTGAGGGATATCTGTGATGTGACTCATGCGAGCTGGTAATGCTTTAGAAAGATCTCACTGAGTTGGAACATTGCACTTGATTGTGCTTTTGAAGTCAGTATGTTAATTGGAGAAAAAGCAAACAAGTGAAAGTAACCTCATGTTTAAAAGACAAGAAAGAAATCATACCATCTAAAAGAGTTTTTGTAACTCAGGTGTAGAGTGATCAGCAAAGGTTACAGGTGTTTTTGATTGGTACAGTTTTATCATAGAAAATGGTGTGAGTTCAGATAAGAGGTTGGCTCCTAAGATCACTTGCTAATTCCACCATATCTTAAGTTGTGATGTTCTCAAACTCACCTGATCTATTGATTACCAAGCTAAGCAATGTCAGGGAGTTGGAATTATTTAAATGGAATTGGGGAGCTTGATTATTATAATAATTTATTATGTTGTGTTTGAGCTTGGGGATAAGCCTTCTTTCCTTTCAATCAGCACTGGACAAAAGGCTTTCTCTCCAGCAGGTTGTAGTTTTCTACTTTTGTTTTGTTGTGAAAATTAACTGTTAATTTACTAGTAAGAATTATTTCAGTCTTATTGGTATTTAAGTTTAGATAAAGAGTACAAATATTACTTTTGAGGACATATTTACTTAAATTTTGTAAATGAAAACAAATTAGCACTTTTCAAAGTGAAAAGTCAGTATTGTGAATGGATGGTAAATAGAAACGTGTTCCACCATTCAAAGAAGCCCTTTTAAGAGGGAGGGGAGGGTGGTGAGACTCCCATCTCTCATATTCTCTTGTCCTCCCCAGGACTTTTGCTCCCTCAGCCACCTTTCATCTAAGGTCCATTTCTTCCAGACATGTCCACTCCCATATGGTTTAAAAGTAAACAACAAGATCAAAAAGCTCAACTATACAAAGGAAATTGTGAGTCCATTTCAGAGTCCAATGCTCTTTTCAGTCGTAAACTGACAGCATGCTACTCCCAGGTCAATCTTGTAAGTCAAAGCTTTTTCCCTTTTTAAGTCAACTGTTTAAATATCTCTCACCACAATGTTCACACATTTTATGCCAAATTAAAGTGGACATAAGCAATAATTCTTCTTGTGTCCTTGCATTATTGTTTGCTGAATATTGCTTACGAGTTAGTCTGTACATAATGGCTGTCCTTCAAATCGTACTTAGAATGTCAACTCAAGTATGTGTAGTGTGAATATGAACTTATATGCATGTGTTTGTAACTTGATTTCAAGTGACAAATGGTAACATTAAATAAAGTATGTTTATAGAAATCTCATGTGACTGTTCCTATTTTGATAGTTGAATCCAGTTTACACTGACATTTTTTTCTGCAAATGTGTTAAAGCTGTTTTGTTTTTGATTGTTTGGTTTTATGTTTGTTTGTATTCATTTACTGTGTTTATGAGATCTGCATGTGAAAACAAATTGAGAAGTTAACAATATTAGTTTTGTGAACAAGCAGGGAACAGACAAACGAGATTTTGCACTGAAAATTGAACTCATTAACATGTGTTATCTCTTTAAGATATCAATACCAAGCCCTTTAATAAAGAGCTTAAATGCTTTCAATAATAGACCAACTCTTAAAACTGCTGTGTGATGATTTAACTTCAAATTCTGGTGACTTACATATATGGAAATGTGTTGTGAATTGAAGGGAAAAATTTAGATTGCATTGGTTTTGTGACCAGTTGTGACTAAGTCACCCACTTTTCCTGAGCTTCAGGAAGATTACATGTCTTTTACCTCAGCTGTCTTTAGCTCTTGGTGATATTTACCTTTCTTTCCACTGGCCATTTAGATGGCTTTTATTTTGGTTCTATGACATCCAACTAAAATATGCACTGTTCTCCCAAAGATCTGTTTTAATGGAAGATCTTCCCTGCCTTTCCATAAACATCAGTGTTCTCAAATGCTGCATTCTCTTCCCATTCAAGCCATCATCACCATCAAAGCATACTCAACAATACCCATTTAGTATAATTTAACAGAGAACTCCCCTAACAGTTCTTTATCTCTGTTATAAAATTCTTTCTGGAGTTAAGAAAGCAACAGTGAGCAATTATTTGTTTTCCTTCCTGGTTGGGTTGAGGTTGCCTTTTTTTCCCCCTTCCCCCCCTCCTCCATGCAATTTTGAGTTTTCTTTCTATTTAACCACACACTATTGAAGACTGATATTGTTTGAGGGAGAATGAGGCTTCTAATTATTGAATGAGAACTTCTTGAATCAAGGTAATTTGCCAAGGAATTTCCATCAGCATTCAAAGTGCTTTTTACTAATTAGTTTGGGAACTGTGCTTGAGAAATCAGGCTTGACTTCCCTGATAACTGCTGGATGCTATCTACACTGGAAAGTGCCATTCATTCTGGAAAAGAAGCTGTGTTTTAAACCAAACAAATAAAATCCCTCACACCTTCATCAAGAGATAAATTTTTATTCTTGGAATTGCATATATTGCTTAAACAGGTCAATTGCACTGACATCAAACTGAATTTTTACAATAGCTTTTTCATGTAATTACTGATAGCGAGCTTAGTGATTTACGATTCAGTTTTACATGGATTATGGTACTTTGACAAAAACAAAATAATGTCAAATGCGCTTGAATTTATTAATAATACTGCATATTTAAAAGCAGAGTAAATAATCACAGCCTTTACTCTTGAAGAAACTTTTTGCTCTTTAAAGGCTTTAAATAAATGTTAAATAAGCTAAATAAAATTTTTAATTCATATATTATAATTATTAAGGCTCTCTCTTCAGCTGCCAGACTAAAGGGAGAATGCGTGTGAAGCCTGGGTTTCATGTCAGAATAATAACCGATTACTCAGAATAAATTTTTTTCTGGCCATCACAGATTTCTGCAGTGTATGAACTTCAAGATACAGGATGGAAAGATTGTGACAATCCTGGCACAAGAAAACAGGTGTATAAAAGATGTTCCTTCCATCCTTTGAGGATTGCTCTCAGTTCTTTGTTTATAACCCTTTCACTACCAAGATTTAGAAGAAATTCTCCTAAAGGATTACCATGCATTTCTTTGTTGGCTAGTTGTGAGAATTTATATCCAAACAATTTCCTCTAGTTGGTAATTTTCTGAATTCTTGTCACTGGTCTCCTCAACAGTATGCTAAAAACTTCAAGGACAAATCATATACTGATAACTCCTGTGAGTGAAAGGGTTCAAGGCCAAAAAGCTGGGGACAGTTGGGGAATGGTAAAACTTCATTTCATCTGAGACTTTGCCTGACATGAAAACCATGCTTAAACAATGAAGTTGCACCTTTTTAGCGCAACACTTTTTTGTCTTGTCTGGCTTGATTGTAAGAGAAAACCCTCCTCTATTTGAATCTACAGTTTTATAATGAAATACAACAAAGCTGCAGAAATTTGTTAGTGTACACACTTTACAGTTGTACTATCCTAAGAAATTGTAATGATTTTAATAACAAGCTCTTCAGACTAGCTGGGGTATAATTTGAACAGAGGCTGTGATAGAAATGGTTTAGCCATGTGATTAATAATGAGATATACTGTATGAAAACATGCAGTAAATTTAAGACACTTTAGATAAGCTACTTGTAAGGTTCATGACACAAATACTGCTACAAGAAACCCAACAGAAAATTGCAATATTTAGGCTTGACTAAGAGCTGATAATGTTGTTTTAATAAAATAAAAGGATTATCTTGTAATATCCCACATTATCATGCTCAACATGAGTGTGTGATTGTGTTTGCTTCACTCTCACAAAGCAAAACTCAAGAGGTTGTGGTATGAGAAGTCTAAGAGTGACTATATAATGATTCCTTTGGTAACAAGAACTAGATGCAGTAGAATAAAACATCAGTAGAACAGAAAAATTACTAGAGTTTCCAGCAATTACATTGTAGGATTTCTTTTTCTGATAGGAGCATCAATGACCACAGATGTGAGAAGATAAAAAAAGAACAGTTCTACTTTCTCATGTCTGCTAACATTGCTGAGTCTATTGCTTCCAAAACAAAACAAAAAAATCTTTACTACAGGTTACAGTGTTCCAATCTGTTTTTATCTATCAATAGGTTGATTGGCATTAGTAAATGAATCAATAAACATAACTTTGGTTGTGTTATCAACAATCAAATCCAACTTTCTGATCTTTTCATATAGTTCATGGTACCATTAAGGATCCTTGGAAAGTTTCGTTATCATGATAACAGAACTGAATAAGCTATATTTGACTATAAGAACAGCCCTACTTTGCTCTAGAATAGCTTGATCTCTTCCTGCAGGACTTGCCCTTTCATTATATCATAATATGTGTATCTATATATATTCATAATACTTTTACAGAGCCATCTGACCCTAATGTTTCTTGTTATTTTTGAGCCCCTGATGAAGAGTGACCTCTTAGTTTTGTCTAGAACATAGAAAAAGAGTACATCAAATTTCCAGTGTAACAAAAGGAAGTTTCACTGCTTAACCTGTCAATGATTGCAAATTGTATCAATCAAAGTGCAAATTCTCACCACTAGGCTTCAAACATTTTAACACATTCCAGGAGGGAGAATTTGCATAGCTAAAGTAGACAGTAGATCTTCTACATCTAGCACCTAATTTTTGTGGAGTGTGGCTCCAGAAATGTGGCCAGTGTTTGTTTCATGAAACCTAGCGGCTTTTAGAGGCAATTTAAAATTGGAAGAAACATTCAGACATCAGTGCAAAGGAGTGAAAAAAATGTTCTCAAATTCTCATAGTGCATTTTTATCAACTCTTGAACTTCTGAGATCTGACTTGGTAAAATCTCCCTTTTGGCTAATGTACATTTTATTGCAAATCAGTCCTGAGAATTTGGTGCTTCATCCAAGTGACACCCTCTGACTGATGAGTTTTTCACTTTTTGTCACCTTTGTTTTTGAAAGGAGAGGTTACTCAACAATCATTTCTTAGAAATTAAGGGATGTCAATGCAAACTTTTCTTCAGCAGCCTTAAGTTCACTGTTAAAATGAAATGTACTTGTGGGTGCTTTATCATCATAATAGTTAACAGTCATGATAAACATGGCCTTCTATACAGAAGATCTCAGGAATGAAAGGCTTAGGATTGTCTGCAGAGGAGGCTATGATGAACATGGTGATAACTTTTTTTCGATCAAACTAAAATATATTTAAAATTCAATAAGTAAAGAAACAAGAAGAGTACAAACCACTCATCAAGCATTTACCTATAGTTGATACGTTGATGGCTACTTGCCTCAGACTCTTTCCGTTGCTGCTCTTCCCTCCACTGTCTTTGCCTTTCTTCAAATTCAGCCACTCGTCTTTTGGCTTGTTCTAATGTCTCTTTCATTACTTTGTCTTCAGACTAATGTGGCACGGTACAAGGGAGAACAATGAGAGTTAAACAACTGGGCAAGACCTATGCTTTACTTTAGAGTGAGGATTCAGGAAAATTTGTGGTTGAATCTTGAATGTCTCCTGATTTTCTGTTGGTTTTTAATGACTAACTTCTTTGATTAGTCTAGAAGACCCATGTCATTCTCTCAGCCAATAGGATATAATGCATAAAACAATGCACAATTTGTCGCTTATAGTTTCCTCCACGTGGGATCCCAAACTACTTTATCTAACACATTTTTACTATAAAATTTCATACTCAAAAGGACTTTTTCTAATTTGAATGGCAATGGTTTACCATTGCAAGGAATTTGCAGAATGTTGAGTTTCAAACCAACTTAAGCGGCACATTAGATATACTGGTATTGCCCTGCAGATCAGGATACAAAAATATGAAGTAAATAAAATTTTCAGGAATTCGTTAGATAATATATCAAATCATCAAATACAATACCCCACCAACAGCCTTTTGCAATCATTACCTATAGCCCTGCCGATCAGGTTATAGACTACAAAGTCAATCACATTTTCAGGAATTTGTTGGATAATTTGTGAAATCATTGAATACAGCACCCTACTAATCAGCCTTTTGCAATCCTTATGTATTGCGATGCAGATCAGGATATAGACCACACAGTAAATGACATTTTCAGGACTTTGTTGGATAATTTGTCAAATCATCGAATACAATACCCCACTAACAGCCTCTCGCAATCCTTTTATGTTATCCAGCCAATCAAAAAAGACAACAAAGTAAATGACATTTTCAGGAATTTGTTGGATAATTTGTTGGATAATTTGTCAAATCATTGAATACAATACCCCACTGACAGCCTTTCGCAATCCTTATATATTGCCCTATAGAACAGGATATAGACCACACAGTAAATGACATTTTCAGGAGTTTGTTGGATAATTTGTCGCATCATCAGTAACAGCTTTTCAAAATCACATTAGCTCCTCATCTTCTTAAGGAAGACAGCTTGACTTGGAAGTGATGGTAATGAAAGAATTCTCCGACAATGGAAAAAAAAAAATGTGCTGTAGCTGGAATGAGGGGTCTGTTATTATTCTTATCACCCCTAAATTTTAATATCAGTTCTCCACACTGTTTGCTATATATTTTTTTTATAGTTTTAACACTAAAAATTTGCTTTTGAGAAAAGTAATAAGCCACAACTGATTTCCCTCTTTCTTCAAATCACCTTTTCACTTGAAATTATATTAATATATTAATTAAAATCTCCTTTAAGGTTACCACAGAGAGTGAAAAGGTTATACAATTTGCTCTTTTGAAGTGCCATGCAATTTGCATTTTTACCCTTAGTCAACAGATCATATGTGGCCTCTTCAAAAAGTGAAGTGGGGAGGTGGTTTTCAATTTTTTGCATTTCAATTAAAACCCCAGGAGTCCAAAATGTAGAAATGTGGAATGAATTATTTAATAGCTGCTATTAGCAGAGCTTTTTTCAAAGGTAATTGTTTTGTTGTGGGCATGAAAGCAATGATTTATCATTTCTTCAAACAAAAAAATTATTGATTCTTTTCAACTAATCAGACTACTCATGAATAAGAGCCATAATTAGCTTGTGTTATCTGTGTCATCTCTCTCTCAAAAGGAGGTGTATAATTTGTGGGTCTATTTTTAGTGACCTCTTTTCCTGTTTATCGGCCCTTTTGGTCTCCGCATGTGACTTTAGTAAAGACACGCAATGTGATATTTGTGAGAAAGTAACCTTACCAGTATTATGACTGAGATCTTACATCATTTTGAAACCATAAAATCATTTACTTATTAGGAAGGCTCTAAATGACTTTGTAATAAATTTTTGAAAATAACACAATAAGGCAAACACCTGTGTATACAAAGTATTTTACCACATTTTGTTGGAGTACTCCAGGGAACCTTGCAATATTACACTAATTACAGTTAAAAAATTAATAAAAAACCAGAAACATTTGAAAACCAACAAAGCACTTGTCATGAATCTCTTCAACAAGTATCAGTATGAAGTTTCTCCCAACATATTACCAGAAACTGATTTACAAGTGTAATGAGAATTCATGAATAAATCAGGCAACACGCTACTGCATTAATGTGGAATGTCTACTGGTGGGAAAGGAGAATTCGTTTGTTAATATAGGTATTAAAACTTACTTTAGCTTTATCTTCGTCAAATTCCAAATATCCAGCTCCGTCAAGTCTCTGCAAGTCTATCCAGCCTTTCCAAACGACACATACACCATTCATTATAAAACGGCTTTTGATGAAGACCTATCGAGATTGATAGGGAGCATTTATGTGATAACGGAAATTTAACTGATTTACTATGTCACTGATTTAACGGTTAAGTGGTCACAAATTTTTATAGTATATTGTAAATTAGAGCACGTTTTCTGTAAAAATTCTTTCTCCAACACTAAATAGATTTTCACACCTATGGTTAATGATTAAGTGACAAAATCGCGCTCCACGAGATGTTGTCAACCATATGGAATTTCGTTATCTCGCGAATGCGATGTGGAATTTCTGTTATACTCGTCGTTTCAGCCGTGTCATTACTTTGATTAAAATGTCTGGCATAATTAAATAAGTGCTTGCACACGCAAACTTGTATTTGGCATTGTTACCCATAACTTTCGATCAAGAAGGACAAAGTATTCTTGCGAGTTTCTGGTGAAGTTAGGGAGATCATTGATAGACAAAAGCTTTTGCTTCTCGTAATTTGTTTCAGAATATTTTCATTCACTAGCATAATTGCACTTGTGACAGAACTAAACAAGAAAACAATCGGGTTATTATTGCGTCCTATTCAGGAAGAAATCAAATACTTTTACGCCAAATCACACTGAGTGATACACCTGTTTTTAAATTAATTGAAGTCGGAATTTCACACCGCGTTCAACTCAACATGCCGCACTACAAAGAATATTGTTCATGAACAATCTTCTAAAGCGAGCAGCGATCATGCGAACTCGCCGATCCGATCATGAAAAACACTCGGTATTCCGCCTTCATTATTCAAAATATTTTGAAACTTGATATTGTTTAGCTGACAAATTTTCAATTTAGTATGTAGACACAAGTACCTCCAATAGATTTCCTATATTCTACCGCCATAAATCTGTTGTTGTTTGAGATAAAGTTACACTTAGTGGCTAGGGAAGGCCTCGGGGAAATCACGAATGAGTTGAACTTTTCCGACACGAAATATTTAATCGTCTTTAAAGCTACGGAAATAAACAATTTACAAAAGAAAAGTAACTCCTGTAATTCAGTATAATTACCCTGAAAAATAAACTGCCATGATATTAAATATTCTCTCTTTACGTCCGCTTGTCGTTTGCGATCATTCTAGTTATTGATATCGTCCATTCACGCAATCGCGCAATTAATTGCCTCGCTTCGAGCTTTAATCTACCTCTGCAAAATAATTCGAATTACAGTCAAAACGATTATTGTGCGGAAAGCCCACGAGAACAGCCGACCGAAGCAAGTCATCTTGAATAAGAAAGCCATTCAAATGCTGAAATGTTACAGATTGTAAATAATTAATTTGTCAGCACGTGCAATTATCTAGGGTTGCCGACAACCTCCACTTCCCACCTTAATACCTCGGTAAATCTTTTATAAGATTGCTGTTCGATCTCCTCAAGGACTTGCTTCCTAGGCGATCGGAAATTCCGTTTGCCGAAATACGCGTTTGCTGCGATTGTACGTAAAAGCGGAGTTATTTTCAAATGCATAATTAAGTCACAACCTGCTGCAAGTAGCTTTAATAGCCAGATGTTTATACACAAATAAAACTTTCAAAAAGAAATCAAGTCAGTCGCCTACCGATACAAGGGCGCAATTTATTTTTCGTAAAAGGCGTAACTTTCCGACGTTATTCGGCCAGCCCACTCGAAAGGGTTGTGAGAATAATCTGGCGCAATTCCAACCTTGCTGTTAAATTTGACGCTAAAATCGAGCCGAGAGGAAAATCCAAGAAAACATTTAGATTCCACAACATGACGGCGATTATATAACATTAAGTTCTAGTTACGAGATTTTCAGTGCAATTATTAGCTCGTTTTCAAATATTCCTCTTTAAAGCGAAACCTGAAATCATGTTCACTTTCGTTTACCTTTCCTGGTTCCCGATCAAAGTCAAGAAAATCCTTCGGAACTGTTCCATCCTCTCCTTTTGGAAACTGTAGTGTGAAATTCGTCCCAGACGACACGAAAGCCTACATCGTTTAAAAAAATTATTCAAGGGTAATGATTTAATAACACAGAACACAAGAACTCCCTCACGCAAAGAGGGACTGTGATGATCTTTACGAAAGTTTTCGTCAACTTCATCAAGAGTAGTTTTTTTGACAGGCTTACCACGGTGGCATGTCCATCACGAGCTTCTGTTTGAAATCGGACGATGCGTTCCTCGTGCGATCTGTCTCTATAACCGGTATATTTTATCTGAAAATAGATAGAACCGTTTTAATGGCATCGTGCTGCAGTGTCCATGTGAGTTTACAACTTTGTCATGTACGTCGAATTGTCAAATCACCTCCGTCTCCCGTGACATCTTCCGAAATAAGTCGTCATTTTCGAACTTTTGCCTTTGCTCTGGCACTACCCGTGGCATTTTGTCTAGTGACGGGTACGTTATCTGCGGTCTTCGTAACTTTCGAGTCTTGCCGCGCAAATCGAGTGAACTCAGTCAATGCGTGTCCGATTTTCTCGAAATTTCATACCTCTCATGACGGAACTTCCGTTTCGCAGCGCTGAAAACAAACCTCTGCTCAACAAAGAAAGAAACATGACAAGTTATTGTCAACACAATGCACGTTGAAGTAACTCAGCTCCAACGGTGATTGGCTGAAATGGACGCTACAACAATTCTGGCACGCGTAGCCATTCGCCTGTAACTAATTGATCCATATTTGGGAACCCCTGTCATACCGAAAAACAACTGCCCTGAAACAGTGAACTCACCGGGCGTCAACCAAAGCTTGCTTCCTTTCGTTTTAATTTCGTGCTTTACGGTATCAAAAGCTCATTTATCTAACGAAGTGTTCAAAAACTATAACTACTGTGGGTTTATGCTTCATAAATTTATTTGAAGCATTCAAACTTGAGTAAAACTTTAATAGGTGAGGCTGTTATTTTTTTCCGGACGTTACCGGAAGTGGATGTAGACTGAACGTCGTTTCCGGTTTTTTTGAGATGCAGCGATTCAAAAGGCTTTGAATTGCTTTAAGTTTTTATTTTGCTTAAGTCATTCATCTCAGCTGGGGTAAAAAATCCTATTGCTGGAACAGAGTGCTGAAAATATTCAATTTTCTACGTTCGATTGGTCGTACGTGATCGTTATGTGACCCCGTGGTATTATTCACCTGACATTTTTGTCGATGCGTAACGCTTTCTCGTACGAATATACTTTGTGACCCGGCGAGCGGCCGCCTTAAATTCTGAGGAATTTGGGATGTTATTCTTTCGGAGACGGAAGCTACCAAGGGGGCGAAAATTAGTGTGCTGCACTCTTTTAGTTATAGTGATCTTCATTTTTTATCAGATTGTCACTTCTTTCAACGACGAAGATGTGGAGTTTGACAGGCAGTGGACCTGTGAAGAACTTAAAGCGAAAGATCGCTTGGTAAAGCTGGTAAGTATCTTAAGAGCTGCTTTTCAAAGGGAAGTGGTTACAAATATCGAAAATTTAATTACGTTAATGATCGACAACAGGAATGTAGCGTGGTTTCTAAGATAAGTTAATCTAGCATCAATCAAAATCGGTTAGTGGGATAGTGTATTTCATTAAAAACATTCTGGATGAAAATGAGTAATTAAAATCAATGCGGAAGTCAATGTTCACATGATACATTCAAAACTCATCGTTAAACGTTATATCGTCTCTTTCTTTCGTCGCTCAGCAATTATAAATTAATTGGATAGAAGTATTTTTTGTATACATATTTTCTCGAACCACTCCGTTATAATGAAATCCGCGATTCTTTTACGCTAGGACGTGGTTATTAAGCCGTTAATTATCTGCTGTCTTCGTGAATCTTATTTAAGCAATCCACCCTTCCTTTTCCGAACTGTTTTTGCAAATAATCTCCTAACTCTTCTAATGTCCTCTGTCTTTGCAGTCTGATTTATTGTACCTTACCTATTCTAGAATTTTCGGTACCTCCTCTCCATGATTCTGGAGTCTCCCTGGCCTAAAGAAAACATCTACCTGCCCTTTAAGGCCCTGAGAGGTTGATAAAATACTTGCAATAATGTTTTCAAGAAAATGAAGATTTATGTCCAATTCAGTCAACTTATTTTTTTCCCTTTTCAAGTGCAAAGATTTTACCAATGGTAACACTGGGGGAAATCTCTGTCGTGACTTGTGCACAAGTGGTGAACTAGTCATCCAAGACTGTCTAGCACATAAAAACACCACCATTGTATTTTCTGGCACATGGAGAAAAAATGATATTGTGTTCAAGACAAAGAGACGTCCTCATCATGTTGAAAACCTTGAGGATGTACTGTCTATTGGAGTAAGTGGTAAGTCTATTTGATGAATTTCTGACTAAGTCTGTTAAATTTTAGAGACAATTAAATAGTCTAAAAAGTCCAAATAACTTTTCCAGTTGACTTGAAAGGAAAAAAATTATCTGTTTTTAAAGCAAAACAAAAAAATTTTGATAAGTAATTTCTAATTTTATTATTGAGGGCCTCACTAATCCTCATTTACATACCAAAATTTATAATAGTGTGCATGGCTATCTGTAGTGGACCAGAAACCCAACCAGGAGGACTTAACTAAGCATTAACACTCCAAGTGGCATCATCCTGATCAAGACAGAAAAAGGCCCATGGAAATAGTTTTTGGCTGTCAGAAAGAATTAGTAATAGTTTTCATGTAAAACAGTTCAAGTATTATTTAAAACCCAAAAAGGGTTCTGCATGCACTTTCACACTGAATATAGGACCATCTGAGTCTGCCAAGTACACCATTGTAATAACAGAGTACCTTTTTACTTCCTTTTCCTCAGTTCCATCCCATTCTCTTCCCAAACCTCACTCTGATACTAGCACAATCATGCCCTTAGCCTAGTTACTAAGGGAATGCCTGGAACAGGTTACCTCCACCTTCAATCCCCCACCCCTCTCCAATCCATTTTCTCTGCCAGTGATTTTGTGAATTCCAAATTTGAAGTTGAAGTGAGCGTTTGTTTGTCAATCAACAGATGATGAACCTACTGCTGGAGATGAACAAGTGTACAAAAACTTTGTATTTCATGTGTTTGATCATGTACAGAATGAATTATCCTTTTTTAGACTGAAAGACATGATTGGGTCAGAACAACAGGTGCTTGAACTTCTTTGGCATCCACATCCATTAGGAGAGCTTACCTGGGCAGATATGTCAAGTTTGTGGCTGTTAATTCAAAGAGATGAATTCATCAAGTTACAACTATTAAAAGAGATGAAGCACATTCCAAGAGTGTATGGATTCTGTGGCAGCTTTTATGCTGTAGAGAAGGTGGAAACATTAGAAGGATTTTCATTCACCCCATTTAAAAGGCCAATGCCCTGGAAAAAACGATTAAATGCTGCTCTGGACTTGCTAGATCTTTCGAAAGAATTTACAGAGACACCTTTGGGACAACTACATCACTGCGACATACAACCTGGTAATTTTGGTGTTGCCAAAGATAAGAGAGTTGTAGCCCTCGATATTGACTCTATGTTTGCAACAAAACAAATGGAGGATTTCCTGGAACAACCAACTTGTGAAAGTGATGCGCAATGTGACTTTTTTGACTGCGTGTCTGCTTGTAATACAACAGAAAATAAATGCTCAAGAAAAATTCTCACCAATAACCTACAGGTAAGATTTAGCAGACGTGGGTTATAGTGTACTTTATTCTTTATGAATAAAGCTTGGTAGAGTGGAATTGATGATCTGATCAAGGGGCTTGGCAATTAAGTTTTCAATGGGCTGTAACATTACTTCCTCAAACACCAACAAGACCAAGAAGCTTTAGAATGAACTCAACCATTGTAGAGGAAAAGCCAAATGCACATAAATACATGTGTTAATTACTACTAAATTAATGGTTTTCAGTAAAGAGGTTCCAGAAACCATCAAGCTTGGTTTGTGAACTTTTATTTTAAATGAAATTTCAATTACTAGGGCTCTTTAAATTCATTTTTGTTATCATGTTAAAATGCTACTGGAGGAGAACATGCACAGATAAATATTGCATTAAATTTACTCAAGGTTATATTCACCTGCATGATGCACATTAAATATTATGTATTTCCACTTAAACAAATTAATAATTTATAATAATTATATAATTATTTATAATAAATTAATAAATTGCAGATCATCTGTCGGGACATTTTGCTGTCATATTGGGGGCAGCCTGGATTACTGCAGAGAGCTCCCATCCATGCTCAGAACAAACTCTCACCTGTGTTGTCAGACTGTGCGTCAGACAAAATGTTACCATGGAAGCCAGGAAAAATAGAAAGAATATATAGGAAGCTCAAGACAGTTCTCTCAGAAGAACTTGTGTCCAACTAGTATTGGACTGGGACTTCTGTTTTTGTATTTGAATAAACATTTAAATTTTCTATTTAGTGAGGCTAAGAGTTTGGACTTAGGTTGAAGAATTTCAATTAGGTTTATTTAGTCTATATATATATGTTGGGGTATTTATAAAAGAACAATATAGAATGAGCATCTAGGTGCTGTTAAAAATATATATATATATTCACTTGTATATATATATATATATAAAAAAAAAAATATATATATATATATTTACTTGTTTAAAAAAAATCTAGTCCATATTTAAAATATAATTTACATTCTGTAAATAATAATTTTTTGTAAACATTTTTTAGTGCCTTGTCAACTATCTTTGGCTGCTGGTTTACTTTTTTTGCAGTATATCTGTAAACAAGCTCAGAAGTAGCTATAAATGTATGTTAAAGTATCTCACGTTATCTTTGTGTCATATTTGGGAAGCAGTAGTCCATTTTAAATGGACACCATGCCAAACTTGTCCTAAAGATTTCTGTTTGCTTTTTTATGGCTTCTCAAACTCAATGCATTTGGTCATGTAGTATGATTGTCCAAGTGGGAGTAGTCCTGGAGAGGACTGTTGCATTTCAATAACCTTATCAGAGGTTATCATGAGAGGCAACTTGAATCATGGAAATTGCCATTGTCACTTCATTATCAAATATTTCTCCCATGTTCAAACAGTTAACTGTAAAAGGCCCCTCAGTTTTAATTTACTTGAATGTACTGGTAAATGGCAAAGGAAAAGGAAAAAAGTGAAGAATATTGCAAACTCAGAGAACTACACAATTAATAGACCACCATACAACTAGTGTTGCTTTTAATGATGGAAGAGAAAGTTCTTTAAGATAAAAACATGTTTAACAAATTTATAAGTCAATCATTGGGCCATTGGATATGACCTGATAAAAGAGAAAGCCAAGTACACATTAAGGTTAAAAGACTCTAAAAATAAATATTACGATAACCTTTTCCTAAAGAACAAATTACAACAAAATAATAGTTAACACTGATGATAATTCCATAATTAAAAAGAGGTAATTTCCTAACTTTGTCTCACACTGTATGGTACTGAAACTAAATTTCAAAGGCAATTGAATGTTTCAAGAATGAAAGACTGCATATTGAATTTTTGAGCATTTATAACAAAAAATTTCTTTCAATGATTGTTGTTGTCTGTAAATTATTTTAAAATTGCAGCCCACCATACATTTGTATAAATAGCAGGAAAAATTGTCAGCACCTCTTATAACATCAACAATTGGCTTATGGTAGTACTGGTAACTTTCCTATGGGAAAGAGGATGGTAAACAATTTGACTCAACCAACATATCACTCATCAGTTGACTGAAGGCCAATTGTCAGTGGTGACATGTTGGAGTTACATCTGTGGCAAGTAGGTAGCTTACTGGAGGAAAATTTTTAACAAAATGTTTTCAATATCTTTTTAGTGTGGGTTCAATCAAACTTGTCCCCAATGCCCACCAATGAAGATGTAGTCCATTAGTGAAATAATGTTCAGAGGAATATAGAACCAGCTCAGTTGAAAATACTGTAATGCTGACCAGATGACAACAGAACTTTGAAAAAGTTTCATAAAAATGCCCCAAAATTGAGCGATGGTTAGCATTGTGTCCTCTTCCTGAGAGATTCGTTAAGTGACAACATCTTGTAAAAAGATTAGCAGGTATTCCACTCTGTGTTACTGAATTTCTTTTGTAATGATTTTGTTTATCACATTGTTCACATCAGCAGTCTTGTTGATCTTGATATAGGCACATTTCCTAACTGTGAGAAGTGAGATCCATTCTGGTACAAGCTGAGACATGAATCTGATGTGTTCTTCAACTTGGACTACATGGAAAATGACAGAGAGCTTGTCAAGAACAAATCTAGACTACTGTAATACTAAAGAAATGGTTTAAATCACTATCACTAACAAATGCCCTATTCAGGGCCACATATCCTTGACTTCATCAGATCTTTCAATCAAATCCAGAAAATAAAAAAAAATTTTATTAAATGATGCAGTTCTCAGAATACCTGAAGACAGAGATGTCTTGTAGCTGTCTGACAGTTTCACTGTTGCATCCTCCAGGGGTATAGCAGCCTTGCGCTCAGCAGAGAAGTAACTAATAATAGTTAAGGGTATATTTAATTGTTTGTTTGCATAAGGCAAAACTAAACAACAATGATAACAAAGCCTTAGAAAGTGATACACAGATTCCCCCAAACAATAGTTGGGCTAGCAACCCTAGGATCAAGGGTGATTTCTGTGAGCCAACTCTGGTCAAAAAGTCATTAATGCCCTACTTTTCCAGAGGAAAAAAGTAGCTGTTGTTTGAAAAAAAATGTCACTTCTCTGATTAAAAAGCAAGGATACGCTTTGAGTATTCTGCATAGTTCAGGAAGACGTTCCTTCATGGCAAGCTTCTTGTCAACTAAGGGATCTCGCATCAGGCTTTCTTCTATTTTCTTTGCCTCTTTCTGCCTAATCTTTGAATAAGATATCAAAACAAAAGATAAAACACAGAAACCAGGATTCAAATCAAATAAAAAAAATTGATCAAGTACGAGCTCATTCACTAGTAGGGACTAAAAAATACTATAAATATTATTAAAATTCATTTACAGTTAAGATGTTTCAATGTTCTTATTGGTATGACAGTTTGACAGGGCCACTTACCACTGATCTTGAACAACAAGAAAGGTTGATTTACATTTAGTTTTCAGTTGTTAACATACCTGTTTGTATATGATGTAGGGATGGACATTTTCCCTCTATTATTAGGAGGCTTTCATTTTAGGATTTCATTTTGAGTGCACTTATTAATATCAATCTTACTTAACATGCAATACCTTGTTCAGTAGATCTTGTGAGATTCCCTTCAAGGCAGCTTTATTCTTTAAATTATTTTTGCTTTGCATCTCTTCTGTAGACTTTGTCACCTCTTTCTTTTCTGGTAAGTTTTTGTTCTTGTTTGCTGATGTCAACTCCTCTCCCTCTTGTTCTTTCAAAGCAACTGCCTTTAGTGCTTTCTCAACCTACAGGAAAGAAAACTTAACCCTTTAACTCCCAAGATCTCATTAGTAATTCTCCTTACTGTCTGCCATATAATTCTTAAGAAGTCAATTTGGGGAATTTGGTATTGGATGAACTAATAATCCCCTAATTGATAGTTTACTTTATTCTCATCACTTCTATGCTTGATATTGTGGGAAAAATTTTGCCTTTGTCACTCATGGGAGTTAAAGGGTTAAGCTATACACTGCCTAACATCTCTTGGGGATGCATAACTTTTTCTGACCTTTTTACAACCACTGCACATGACTGCACATGGCCTACATACAGAGATAGAAAGATGGCCTGAAGGAAAGCACTGGTCCTACCAAGCCAATTAAACAACATTTCTCTTCTACTTACTGTAACCCTTACACCCTAATACAAGTATCAGTATGCACATTTTATTTTGTATTGTTCTTGCTACATTTCCTAAGGTGCTGACAGGGACAATTCCTTTAACAAACAAAAGCTTCTTTATTTGAAGATCATTTCCTTTATTCTCATGACCTTCATGTTTGATTCAGGGGTGATATTGTAGGGAGAAATAAGATGCCAGTCATTCCTAGATGTCATGTCAAATAATTAATTCTTTAGAAGCTGAATGGTTGTCAAAAAGACAAAAACTGTAATGTTATGACATACCCTTGGTGCTATCATGTCACGTGCTTTTTCCAAGACGTCATTGGCGCTACTGTAGGTCTTTACCACTGGAGGCTGAGGGAGCTTGCCTTCCTCTACATCTGGCACTTCATCAAGGTGAAACTTTGGATGCCAGCGCATGATTTTGTTATCATCAACTGACAAAGATGGGCTGAGGTTGGAGAGGAAATCCTTTAAACAAAGAATGTTTGTAACAAAGTTAACAATGAAGATGACAGTGATCTTTTCAGTAATGAACACTAATTAAACAGAAGTGAATGTAAGGCCTCAAAAAAATTCAGGCCTGTATGGGAGTTGAACCCATGACCACTGCAATACTGGTGCAGTGCTCTGTACCAACTGAGCTGACAGGCTAACAATGTGCTGGTCATTTTGTTGGTTTGTATTAAACTTGTGAGGTAATAAATGAATAACTGTGTATATAGGAATATAATGTGTTTTAACCACAGTTCAAATACATTATATATAATGTTCATATAATCAGTCATTCAAAAGTTGACAATATTGTTGGTTGACCACAACATCAAAATGAAAATGGAAAAAAAGATTTGTGTACATTACAGCCATTTCAATGACAACCTGGTTACCAGTCTATCACTGTCTGTAATACCTCTCTGAATTACCTGTTTAGCCTGCAAGCAGGCTTTTGTGTTTGGCACAGCTGCCTATCACACCAATGATAACTGTTTGTCAAAAAAGTTACTGAAACCACCGACATTATGGGTTCTTGGATAATAACACACACTATGAAGTACTATACAACTAACTAGGTAACCTATACAACAGTTTTCCTCAAAAAGTACTGTCTGCATGTGAGTAAAAACACAGTTAATTTGTTTCTAGAGAAAGACATTCTTCTTTGTGGTCTTTGGACTGATATATAGCTTACATCACCAGACACTTAACAACCTAAGAAGACTACTGTATAACAGGGGTAATTTAGTATTATCAACTAAGTTGATAATGTAAATTGGCCACCGTAAAAGAGATTAAAAGCTGACATTTGGAGTGTTAGCCCTTCATCAGAGTGATTGGACTCGGTATTGTAAACTTAGTTGATAATACCAAATTTAATACCCCTTTATACTTTCCCACCAATGTAGCACCACAATTTCTTTCGAAACATTAGAAGACAACTACAGACTAGTAACAAACTCCATTGTTGTGTAAGATAAAATTTCCAGACAAATGCTCGCATAAAAATACCTGATGATGCCTCTTAGTTGTCTGTAGCAGATTCTTCTGGAAGGTATCCCTTCTTACCAACAGCTCAGTGGCTGTCAGTGTAAGTTTGCTGAGTGCTTCCTCAGTTTTTCCAAACTCAATAATCAACTCAAATGATGAAGACTTGCCCAGACATTTGTCTTGATGGAATTCAAGGGCTCCTGGATAAACTGTTTTCATTTGTGCCAGATGCTTCTTCTCAAATCGCCTGCGAAAAATCCAAATTAAGCAGCAACATCAGCAAATATTTTTTATTTCAGGCTTACTTTAAAGCTTATTGCATGATGAACTGACCACCAAGGTTCTTACTTTCTTGACATCTGCTGCACTGCATCCCGGAGTTTAGTAAATGTACACTTCTCCTTTCGCTGCCCCAGCAAATTCAGGATGGTGTCAGTACAGCGGAACATCTCAGCCAGCACCTTGTACTTATAGGGGAGGGGTAGAGTTGTAGAGGAAGCCTCTGATGGAGTAGGCTGAGCCAAGGCATGAAATCTTTGATAGGCTGGAGCATCTTTCAAACTATAAATTAATAATTATTAAAAAAATTGATCCAATGAAAACAGAAACATAGTTGACATTCCATAATACAGCCGTGTCTGTAAGAAATAAAAGGAACAAATTTAGGCTGCCCTCAGGTGAGGCCCCCTCCCTAAAAAAAGGGACCATCCAAGAGTAGCAACAAGAAAATTAAATTGTGGTCATACAGATCAGGTGATCTAGTGGCCAAAGCTTGGTCATACAGCACTACTCTACTGCATGCAGAAGAAGTATTAAGGTCCAAAAAAAAAATATCCCTTAAAAGTGAATCCATTTTCTCAATAAGAAATTCTGAGGACCCAATTAGCCAGACAGAGCAGGCATTTGGCCACTTGAGCAATGATACATTAGACTCTCTCCTCAGACAATTGGTGATAAAGGATAGACTGCAGAATCATGGCCAAAGTCTGTGGTCCCTTTCACATGTTGATTGGTTCAAGAAAGGTCTTACCTTGTTGAAAAAACCATAACTATTGATAGATTTGCCCTTTTTATCATTATCACTACCAAATTTTCATGGCTTAACATAACATTTTCACATACCAATGTGATTTTTCTGTCTCATTATTCTTTTTAGCCATCTGATGAAGCCTTAATCCTTTATCTTCAGTACAAGACAGTGATGATTTGGGAACACTTTTCTCCAATGATCTCATGCTCCTAATCAGTTTTCTTGCCTTGGCTAGATCCTCTTGAGCCTTCTTCATTGTGATTTTGGAGTTTTCCACTGAAAGAAAAGTAAATATATATTTAAAAAAGTTTATTCCACCTGTGAACTGAATTTTACCCCATCTTTCCTCCCCCCCCCCCCAAAAAAAAAAAAAAAACCAAACAAACAGACAAAACAACATGACACTTTGGTGTCATGTTTTTTCCTTAGCTTCTGATAGCTATGTTAATCAACTCCAGAGACTTACAACGGCAAGGGAAGCCTATGTAGGCAAAGTTACATATGAAACAAAGTTTGTTTGTGAAGTTCTGCATTTTGGGGTGGTTTCTCCCTTCCTCTCAAGATATCGAAACACGAATCTGGCTTGCTTGAATGACTAAAGCAGGTTATTTTACCACCCAATATTCACCTGAACAACTTTTCTCAGTCGCACCAGCCTGCTGCTTGACATCTTCCTTGCCTCTTCTTCTCTGGCTTAAATTTACCGCTGCTCTTCCACGGCTATGGACCATTTTGGCCTGTTCTGCGATCCAGGGATCCGCTTTAAGACCGCTACCGACTTTTCTCACAGCTGGAGGCGTTTTCGAAGGAGATACCATTGTTTCCTTCTTCTCAGGAGCGTCCATTCCAAACGACTTCCCGTCACTGGACGATTCTTCCTTCGATTGAGAAGGATTGCAATTGACTAACTCCGCAGCGTCGAGATCAGTGGATTTCTCACCATTTATTGACCGCTCTGTTGTTTTAGAATATTTCGCAATTCTTCGCCTAATCTTTGGCCTAGATTCATTGTCGCTCTCGCTTATTTGCCCCTGCAAACCTTCTTCCGAGCTATTTTCTTTGGGAGCGCTCGTAATGGCGTCGTCTCTTTGTCTCGAGGACGCCACCATCTTGCGCTTTCTCTGCGCATAGGTCAGTTTCCCGATCAAAGCTTCTGCAAAAGCGTGATCATCGAACAAAGAGGTAGAATCGCTCCTCTCTTTGGCTGGAGTCTGTACACTCTTCTCCTTCAGGATTACCTTCGCATTTCTCTTAGAAGCTTTGGATGATCGTGTACTGATCTTGCTCTGAAAGGACGCCGCTTGTTTCTTTGATCTTTCACTGCGTCTGACCGCAACTTCGCCCTCAACTCCACTCATATCTACTTTTCTTCGCTTTGCAGGGTGGACATCTTCCAGGCCTTTTCTTTGAGTGAAATACTGGCCTAAATTTGCCTGCTCTACCGCTGTCGATGTCATGCCGCCGCTTTCCTCCAAAGTGAACTTCCTAATTGATTTTGGCGCGAAATCTTTCATATGGTGTTTACAATGCACTGCGCATGACGATTTTCTTTATTGCGGGCTCAGTATATCATGTGATAAGACGCGTGACCGCACATGATCATTCGGCATGATTTCGTGACAAATGTATCGTTACGATATTACTGAAGACCACATTTACGTCCTCTCGTTCATGCACTCAAGCTTAAAAATGTAAATATTTTATGACCCTGATGTAGAATCACATCATACTAATAGGCGAATAAATCGTTATTGTGCGCCCATTTGCGCGCTTCATTGACTTCGTACCACGATTGAAAGCGTCCATAAATTATAGTTCCCTAATTTGGAGAAAAGAACAAAAGGGGCGGATTTACGCAAAACACGATGGTCTGGCAGTTTGTCGGTGACGTGAACTTAGCCTGAAGGGAAAATATTCCCGAACTCTTCGTTACGTGGTACTTCGTTACTTCTCTTTCTTGCCTTGCTTTGAAATTTGTCGTTCGTCGTTCTTCCCAACGATCTGCATCGTGTGGACAAGTTTGTGATTATCTTTTCCCAGTTAGACAAGGAAACTAAGACTTTCAGGAATCATGGGGCACACGGAATGGGCAATGTGGGGTAACGAACAAGGAGTGATTACCAGTGTCGGTAAGTTTGAATTTTGAGAGATTTTTCCATCTTTCAGTCGATGTTGATATTGAAAGTTTTTTGTATAGACACATTCCTGAGTTGAATGTTGTCTCGACTTTCTTCAGCGTGATGTCAATAGTCGAGGTAGAAGGAAGCCGAATGTGTGTTCTCATCAAACTTTTGCCAGAGGTGTTAACTTTTGAAAGTATTTTATTTTAAATTTCAGTCTAGTTTAACCTTGTTGTATATTCAAAGTTGTATTTTGAACGTCTCAGTTAAAGCCTGTCGTTGCCAGCTGTTCATGAAGACAGGCTGTCATAGTGTTTTGCGTGTGAAACTATGTATATTACCGCCTGAGGGAACTTCCTTTTCAACACATTTAACTTTCGATCTAAATTTGGAACATTCAAGCTCTCAGTTCGCCTTTTTTTCCTTTTTCAGTGTTATTAATGGGTGGAATCCTTGGAACAGCAGCCCAGTTTAATAAGTGGTATTTTGGTCTGTACTCTCTGTATCTTTTTTATCTGCTGTGTACAGAAGTTTAGAGGAATATTTAGATGTTGTGCTAATCAAATTCCCATTTGACGCAAATCCACCCCCTCTGTATACCTTGATTCTTGATTCTTAGCTTAAACACTTAAACTTGTTTTTTGTGCCAAGAAATCTCAAATGTTTTCATTTTCGTCAATAGACGTGCACTGTTGTTGATCAAAGTTTGGTTAATTACGAGCGAATAAGCAACCATACTGATGATTGACTCGCTGAAATGTGTGATCCACTTTATAAATTTATTTATTATTGTTGTTAGTCATTTGAGAGTTAACATGTTAAGTTAAGAAAATCCAGAAAAATTGGGAACACAATGTTGACGTAGTTATTTACGTGAAGACATTGTCATGATTACATAACTTTGTAATTTTTTCTAATTCAGTCATTGGTTCGCCAAACTTTTTCAAAGTGATTTTATAGGCAGGCAATTTTGGCAAATGGTTAGCCTTCTTTAACTTGTTGTCAGAATTCTAGGATTTCTTGTTTTGTTGATTGAATATCCCAGAGGCAAGAGAGATAAAGGAAAGAAGACTTTAGAAAGATGGTAAGATTGCTGTACCATGTAATTGTGAATCAGCACTTTGTGTGGGGTTATGATAGCATGCTGATATTGTCACATGGATGTGATATAGAGTACACAATCATGCAATAAATCTTGTAGATGAGGTTACGTAATACATAGCTTAGGACATCAACAAATCAGTTGTTAGATATATTGCTGATTACTATCATGGCAACCAAAAAGAGTTTAGTTGAGTTTTCTTCCATCAAACAGTATAGGAATATTTTCATTCAAACAAAGTACTCTGTTGCCTAAAAATATGTGTTGTATCTGAAAATCTGTTTGGATGAAAGGCCTGAATGAGTTTTTTGTGAGAGACCCCAATTATATCCAAAGTGGCCAACATACTCCTTAACACATTTGAAAAATTTTGAAACAAGTCTCAGAGGTTTTGACATGACTTTCTCTCCAGTTCTCACCTTTCTGGAGATAGGATTTAGGGAAAAGCCCAGTCAGCAACATACCACGTTGACTTGCATTTATATGAGGTGTGAAAAAAAAAACTATGAATTTCTTTGGGGTAAAAACTCAAGGTTTGTTTGTACGCAAGTTACCTCTACTTAAACAAATAAATAGGTTATGTAGATTTGTTGGCTTTTCATGAAAACTGGGTGGAATTTTTGTTGGTTATTAATGCACAAAAGTGTGCGAGGAACAAGATTCAAAATATTTCTTTTGTAACATCCTGGAGCATGACAGTGGCCAAAATATTTTTTATGGTCCACTTCAAAATAAATTTTTAAGGAACCATTAAGAATGTCCAAAAAGCCTCACACACTTTGTTAGCTTATTATGTGCTGAGTAATACCGATTAGTTAGTTTCGTGGTCTGTAGTAACATGGAGACCAATAATTCAGTAAAGATAGCACAAGTTTTGCACCCACTGTCAAATACTGTTTTCTTAATCTCTATGGTTTCTTTAAAAATAATGCATGGTGGTGGATTTTACTGAAAGGCACCCTATTTTATTGACAGCAACCTTAAGTGACCCAATAGTCCTGAGTTTTTTTAATCATAGAAAACATATTTTGAGTAAATAATTTTTTCATGCCTTGTTAGGATGCAGAAACCTTTTACACAGTTTGTTCAGTTCTTTGGAATCTTTGGAAGGAACTACTGGTTTCGATTTATATTCTACATTCTGTAAGTACTGGTATTTAATTATCATGAGTAGATAACTACTCCACAAGCATTTCCTTTAACTTGCACCAGCTCAACTTGGGTGAAAAAATTCAATGTTTTAGCTTGCTAGATGGGAGGAAACTCCAAGCTGGGAAAAGGGAACTCTCTGTACATAGTGCACATGTCTGAAGTACTTCATATGGATTTATCCTTGTTTTCCTGTGGTTAACAACACTCTGGTATTCATTGGGTCATTTATTGTCAAGTTTTATTTCTAGAAATTTGGAATTGTCAACAGTTTTTCTGAATTATTTTTTTTCTTCAAATAACTCCTTGTTTAAGTGTATCAACAAAGTAACTTGCATTGCTGACGATTAGCTCATCCTGGCATGAAGAGGGATAGGGTGTGGCACCACTTGACTTGGATGAGAGCTATCCCTTACAGGATAACCCCCTCTCCCAGCATTTGCCACATTTCTCAGATGTTTTCCTGCTATCAATTCATAATCTTTGGTAGAGAGTGGCACTGGGGAAGTGAAATGTCATGCTGAAGAACATAACAAATTAATTGTTTTCACCATGGCTAGTTTTTTTGTAACTCTCGTGAGTGACCAAGACAGAATTTCTCCTTACATTATGAATACCATATCAAGCAGACAGGCAATGAGAATAAAGAACAATATCAATTAGGGGATTATTAGTTGATCCAGTACCAAATTCTCTGAACTAACAACAAAAGAATTATATGGAAGATAGTAAGGAGAATTACTAATGAGATCTTGGGAGTTAAAGGGTTAAACTTACTTGAAGGGCTATTTTCCTTCCACAAGATAACCAGCAGGGTGAAAAAAATGCTTTATAGGTCTTGTATGTCTGAAATCAGATGTTATCAGATCAAAGACAACAAGCCTCGACATCTAATGTTGGTTTTCCCAACCTTGCTTTCTGTAGTTCTGCTGTTCCACCATGCTTCTTTCTATCAACAATCCTTGGTGGAGCAAGCCTGGTATTTACAAGCTTGATTTATCTGCGAGCAGCAATATCAGGAGAGACATGGAAGCCTTGCCTACCAGAAGAGAAGGCAACACAAACCACACAGCAAAGTGAACCACCAAAGCAACCCCCTCCTAGAGGACCACGGTCTCGGAGTCTCGACAATCTGGCAATGGAGCCTGAAGAAGAAGGAAATCCCAACAGAGTGTAATTCAAATAATTTAATGATAAGAATAGCATTACAATGAACAGTCACTTAATTACTTAGGCACCACTGATATTACAGTACTTCTGTTTTTTCTCAGTATGCAATGACATTTACCAGTATTGCTTAACCCTTTCATGCCAGGCATGATCAGCATACAAACTCTCCTTACAACCTGGAAACTTTGAGAAGCAATTAACTTTTTCTTTAGCCAAAATTGATAAAACATGAAATTATGACCTAAGCTTTATTTTCAAAGAAGTAACAAGTCTGAATCTCACGCTTCAATCCACCTTATTCAGCTTCAATTTTTTTAAAATTGTTTTTACATATGGTAACATCAAGTTCTGTGCACATAATGAATCAGCCTTTTGATATTGGGAGGGAAATTGTTAAAGCAGAAGATCTGTGGTTATTGCCAGCTTATTGCAATGTTCAAGGTTATTTATTTGACAGATAAGTTTCTTTATGGAAAGAAAGCAGTGGGTTTTCCATGGTGGCATTTTAGGTACAAAATGCCTGGTATTCAATCATTGATAACTGGGCTGAACAAAATTTGCAAAAAAATACTTTTTTTATGTCATTTTTAATTAATTCTTATATCAGAGAAAGTCAGAGAATTAGCAAGAGATTTTTTGATGACTGATGAGTCCCTGGAAATAATTTAAACAAATCCTTAACATGAGAACCATAGCAGAAATGTTTTTGGATCACCTCCTTTTTATTAATAGCAACTGTATCATTTCTTCATCTATCAGTAAACATACCACTCCATTAGTCTCAATTGGTAGAATTATCAAGATCTGGCAATCCTTTTAGTAATTGGATTCCATTGTTTTCACTACAGTTTCTCTACCTGTTCATTACCCTACCTATTCAGCACCCGGATTTAGGAAACTGAAAATTATTTGCAAAAGCTTCTTGAATAAATATCACCTTGCTACATGTTTCAAGAAGCACAGAATAATTTTTTTCAATGTAGTTGGGTATTGACATGTAGTAAAATTATTAGTTTCACCATATGTATATATGATGAGTGTAAATTTTATAACAAAACAAGATGTAGGAAGTCATTCCAGGGTTATTTTGTTTTGTAAGTAAACAAGGTGTACCATTTTGGAGATCTGCAATTTTGTGATAGAAGTAAAACTTTTTTTATCTAAATTGTCTTGTAAATTTTTGTTGCTAGACATTTGACAGTGTTGATGACTTCCTTCTTGTGTTAGTCCACTCCAAATTTTCCTCAAATACCATTCCTATTGGCTAAACTCATTCCCATCTGCTTCAATCCCATTTTCAGTGTTAAGAATGGCAAATCCTCATGCAAAGGAATTGAAACCCAAAACAGGGAGGGAGGATGGGAGAGGGTCCCACGTTACGAGTGACCCCCTCGTTGTAAAGAGAAAGGAAAATTGTTTTCAATTTTGAAACAATTCAGCATGTCCTATGCTACACGTAAGCGACAAATATAGATCTTCCGCTACCTTCCTGTTTCTCAGCAGGTTTGATCTTACCCCAAGGAGGCACGTCGTTGATGTTTGTTTTTGTTTTCAATTTTCAAAGATAGCAGGTTACGAACTGCTCGTATCCAACGTCCATCCGTAGAATAGAAAAAAATTCAATTGAACCCAGACAAGGTCGTTGATATGCTATTTTAAGCTTCTGTATTTAGCGATATATCACGTGTGTTTACAATGTTATCGCGTACTGAGGTCACCCATGTGATTTCAAAAAGTTTCACTTTCTTTGACTTTAGAAGATGTCGAGTTGTGAAGGTAACTAAGCGCAAATAATCGGCTTAGGCGGTCGAAGACGTGTGGAAAGGAAATCTTTGAAATTGGAATTTATTTGGATCTGAATGGTGTGACTCGGCGGAAGGTGTTTCTGATGTCGACGATTTCCAGATCAAGGGAAAATGTCGCGTGACTGAGGTATTGGCAGCAGAACGTTATCGGATGAATTAAAACTGCAAGGTATGGTTTATAGGAATCGCGGTCTTTCTAATTTACTCAGTGACCAATTACAATTAGCTAATCTTAAAGTGTTTCAGTGCAGTTCCATTTCAACTTAGACTGGCGGAAATAAGGTGAATCTAAACGCGACTTTGTTTTCGCTTTGGATAATTGAACACAATTGAAAGCCTTGCATCCCGGAAAGTAATAGTTTAGTCAGTTTAAGCAAATTTTGAAATCAACGCGAATTGTGTTCTACCAGGTTTAGAGTGGGTTCGAGAATAAACAAAAATGCCAAAAATAGTGCCCAGTAATAATTAAGGTTGGCTGTTTAATGATGCATGAACGCGAGCAAAAAGCTCACTTTTTGCTCAACTCCTGAACAACATTAACAGGAAGTTGTTATCAAGAAGTGAAATATTGACACGAAAGGAACTTGATTTTACATCAGAGCTCTCGAAAAATGATAATGATAATAATAATGATAATATCAATAATAATGATAATAATTATTATAATAATAATAATGATAATAAAAATGATGATTTAGATACATGTAGATCAGTTCAGTTACAAAGAATTCAAAATATTGGCGGGGGAAGTTTTATTCAAAAGCTAGCACAGTATGTTTTAATGTTTCCAATGTTTCTGAGAGAAAACCGTGCGCAGCATGAAAAGAAGATCTTGTTGTTAGTGAGTAACAGAAAAGTAAAATGACAGTTTCAATTCCCTTGTTTCCGGTCCTTAAAGTTAATCGCTGAATGCCGACAGGTCTGAGAGGCTATAAAAATAGAGAATATATTATGAGAAAAAAACTGTTAACGTAAATAAGGAAAGAAGAGGTTAGAAAAGGTGGAAGAGGGAACAAAGCAGGCGAAGGTATGGGAAAAAGTGAAATAAGTAAACGTATATGTACTCTATCGGTCTGTAATAATTTGAAAGAAAATTCCAAGAAGACTTCGCTGCTACGTAACGAAGTGAGTACGTATACACGTGCAATTCGAGTATTTTGTCAAGGTCCTGGACAATCTCATCAGGTGTCAGACACATTTCGTTGCGTATTCGTCCGTCGAAGAGAGATGGAGGGGGCTGTGGGGGGAGGGGACAGTGGACAATTTATTAGAGAAGGAATTTTTACCTTAAAGCTACACATGAGTTTTTTCCTTACTGTGGGCTTTTGCAAGGTATTTCTTACCCGTCAAACACGGACTGACTCAGCAGAAAATGGCCGATATTGACTCCATTTGCAGGCATTTTTCGTTTTTAAACGCGTAAATTGCGCGCATGCGCAAGAGTGAGTTTTAGATATGATGTGGAGAATGGCACTTGCTCGCTCGCTCGATTGGTCGATTCCTGTAAACTTTTCTTCGATTTTAGGCTTTTGAGTGCATTTGATAGTTTTTGGCGAGTAATAGACAAACGAAATGTCATGAATGTTTTTATTAAGACAATATTGCCTTGATTTTCCAATATCTACAATGATAGACAGTAAATTTCACTTTTCACCCACATTTACTTCCCACATTTTCTTTTGAACCAGAAACAAAAATAATGTATGTTTAAAACACATGACATCATCCACCCTTGTCAAATGTAATTAATAGCATGATCATTTCAATTGTAATGCCTTCTTATCCCAACGTTACTTTGTTTCTTTGCTACATTAGCGAACACTGAACTACTGCTCGTACTCTAGATATGACAATCAACCACAAAATTCCCTAAACCAGATAACATTAAACATTATCCAAAAAATCATGTAAGTCATCTATCAATTCACGAGTTTGCTCACAGAGCACTTTGATTTTGTTCTGTTTGTTTGTTTTTTGAGGTCAGTTTTCTATAAGATTGGTATTTATTCGTAATTACATTAACTAATCCATCTTCCCTAACCTTTTGAAACTTAAGAGCGACTAGCATCTAATTTCTCCTCATAACATCACCCCTGAATCAAACATGAATTAAGGTCTCGAGAATAAAGTGATCACATACCAAAGAAGCTGTTTTTTTTTTTTGGGAATTTCTCCTTGTCAGCACCTTGAGAAATGTATGAGGAACACTATGGAGAATATACATACTGATGTTAAGGTTTAAAGCGTTAAGATAGAATGGTCTCAGTCTTTTTTTTGTGAGTGCTCCGTAAGCAACGACAGAAGAACTCAACTTATTGTTTTTATTGTGCTTTTCAGAACATATTTCGTCATACCAAGAAAAAATTCTGGGATTATATTCTCTTGCTCATTTCAAGTCATTGCTGAGACGAAGGGCTAACGCTCGAAACGTCAGCTTTGAAACTGTTCACGGTGGCCAATTCACATTATCAACTTAGTTGATAAAACCACATTATCTTGTTGCACTCCCTCACTTTAGAAACTTACCCCCTTTATCAATTTTCTATTAGGGTTAGTCAAGTTTGGAGGGAAGAAATATGGGAAACGCGCAAGCTGAGTTGTTGTATCCAACAAAGGATCTCGAAAATGGTGAGTTGAAAAAACCACAGGACACCCATACACTCTTGACATGTATGGAATTAGGGTTTCTGTGATAGTATAGGGACCCTCACTTATTTATCAGATATCATTACCAACGAATTTGCCTTTTTTCCCTTTACCCAGTAATAGACAGAATGTACATTTAAACTGCGATTTTGTAACTGAACTGAGAAATGAATTCATGAATTTAACAGGATTTTATAAACCTATCATAAAACCTAACATTGAGCCCATTGTCGTTGAGAGTAAGTGGACTTTATTTTCCTGTGAAAAAAGATGGAATTAAATTTGTTCCATCCCAAATTAATGATAAAATTTGATGAATTTATGAATTTATTTTCCTATCTGAAATCAGCCATGAGAGCTGGGTCTCGGTTCAAAACTCGGTTGCTGGAATCAAATGTTATTGAAATATTCAGTGACTTCACCCAAGGCCTGAGTAAACAGTTTTTAGGCCCTGCAGAGTGATTTGTTTTTCACTTTTTTTTTGCTTCAGTTTTGCCCAATATCCTTGTAAAAGTCCTCCAGACTCTGGCCTTAACATGCCCTTTTATTTCAACCAAGGGAAACCAAAACCAAATTAAAATAAATCCTGGTTGAGTGCAACTTAAACATCTTTCGAAAGATGTTCCGACAATCTGACTCCTTTGAATCTAAAAAAGATTAGTTTGGACAGGATTTGACAGTATCAGCGTGTACGGTTTGAGCTTACTCATCCGGTACGAAAAACAAATCGATATGCGCATTTGGTGTACTGACGTCTTTCGCTGTTCTGTTCCATCATCAATTCGTCTTTTCGTATTTCCGATATCTCCCACTTTGAACCTTATAAGGTAAATAAAAAGAATGAGGGCAGTAAGAAAATGAAATAGAAAATAAATGTTTGTTTTAGGGGTTGCATGTGATCCCACGCAAGGGCTACTCCCTGAGTAGGCTCCTGACCGGAGGTAGTGTCACATCCCACTCAAATTTCCGAATGGGAAGTGCTTTTAAGGATACCAGTTATTGTGATAGGTAGTTCGTGATGAAATATGTAACAGTAACTTGCACCTTAAAATCAAGGCTAATTTCAATATCGATCTAAATTGCTTTGATTTCCAGTTTATTAAAATACGGTCTCTTACAAGTCATTCCCTGAAGATGATCAGTAATGCCTAAACGCTTGAAAAACATTCCCCACTATATTTGAAAATATAACAATGTACTTGAGCTAAAAGCTCTCGAGGTTAAAGAGCTCATAGTTTCTTTTCTATCGTTGAAAGCCTCTCTAATTTGCTAATGTGTAACGAGATGAACTCTTAAAGCTTTAGAGATTACCAGGATTGACGTAATCAGCTTGGTAACCGCGTATGTTATGACTGTGTTGCACGTTAAATGATCAAAGGTTTTGGATTTAGCATGTTGCTGCAACATTTCCTTGAAATTTGACGAAGTCCTTGCGGACAGTTTATGATATATAAAAGCTGTCGAAAATGTCTAATATGAAGCAAGGCGAGCCTTGCGCTCAAGAGAGCAGTGATTATGCGATGATCACGGACGTGCAGCCATCTTCAACAGGTTTGAATGTGAGCGGACCTCAGCATTTACAGGCATTTGCAAGTCCCCGTACATCCAAGAAGCGAAATTTTTTGGCTTCTCTGAGCAAGGGAACCCAGAGAAAAGGAACAATCATTACGCGGCCCATGAATCAAGATTCTATGCCCGAGGAAATGGAGGTTAGTGTATGTTTCTGATTTTAGTTCTAGAATCATTGATCATTATACAAGGGGTGGAAGTAGAACTCAACGCTAAACTTGTTTAAAATTAGAAAAATCCATCAGGTTGCTAATGTAACAAATAGGAACGTGACCAAAGTAGATTGAACTTTGTATATCTCCTCGTGAGTTGATCTCACCTTTACATGTTTAGGCACTTGATATTAAATCAGCTGTTGTAAATGGTGACACGAAAGTACTGTACAGGCGAACTTAAAACAAAGGACAACTGTAAGACGAGCTCATCATTTCTTTACTCAGCACCTTCTTCACTACTGAAATACAAGCGTTTTGTTTTTGCAATGCCGCTGTAGTCGAGCAAAAGACCCCATTATTGCAATCTGTTTCCAGTCGATGACGCTCTCTCTCAGCTGATTTTTATTGCATGATCTTATTATGATCACGAATATTCAGAATTAATTAAATACTAGTACATTCTCAAGAGGAAATAGAAACAGGTTGCCTTGAAGGGTTTTTCTTTCAACAAAATTTGCATCTGCAGCACAAACCTGAAATTGCAGTTTAAAGTGTTTTGTGTGGACAAGTAATTTTTTTCATATTGAGCAGAGAAATAGATTTTAAATGTGGAGAGTTTCTCACTCCACTTGATGTTTTAGATTATAAACATGAAATTTGGTGATAAAATGTTCAAGAATCTTCTTTGAACTTGTAGAGCAACTAAGTGCCAATAGTGCGTTTGATCCACTTGTGTCTGTCCTTTGCTATTAAAAAGAGGTCCCAAAAACATAGAACAACTGTGATTACTATCTGGATTGGTGCCTCTATATAATAATGAGTTTCCTAAGGTGGTTCGTTTTGTAAAGTAATTCATTATTCTTTGTTTATTCCTTTTTGGGATCTGTGATGTACTGTTTGAATTAACAAAGAATTAGGAAAGATATTTTTGGGTTTTATATGAACAAAGACCATTCATGTGACTCCAAACAACATGGGCCTTTTTTTTTTTTAGATAAATTGGAAAGGAAGCTTCAGACTGAGAGATTTTTGTTAAATTTTGATGAGATTTTTGTTACATTACTATTATATTTCTGGCTATATGAATGAACAAGGTGAAGCAATCCTGTGTTCTGATTGATTACCTGATTGGACAAGATTTTCAACCATGTTCAGATGCATGAGAAGAAACTGCTTGTAACTTTTTCACACAGAAAGAAGGTTTTTATAGTAATCAATCTGAAAAACATAAGACTGGTACCACTTAGTTTGGTCATTATAGAAATGTCATTGCTGCAGAATTCTCCACTGCATTAAGGAAAATCTCAGCAATCAATAGGACTGTATCTTTCTGATTTCTGGTGTTTATTTCTGATCCATACAATATCCATACTTTCTACATTTAACTCTTTAACTCCTCGCTCAAATTTGTACCTCTCCTTATTGTTAACCATGCAATTCTTATAGTGTTAGTTGAGAGAATTTTGTATTGGATCAACTAATTATCCCCAAATTGATATTTTTCTTTATTCTCATGACTTATCTGGTTGGTATTTTATTGATATTGGAAGGAGAAATTCTGACCTGGTCACTCATGGGAGTTCAAGGGTTAATTGATTTTGATCTTCTTTTACAAGATAGTGATTATTTATCTGCTATTACAACAGAAATACACACCTAGACTATGTAAAACCAAGATTGACATTATTTGTGATTTACTAAAATCCTAAGCTATTTCCTGATGATTTGATTTTAACAGCTGTTCCCTTTCCAAATATTCCTAAAATTCCCAAAATTCCCAGAAATTCCTAGGAATTTTTTAGATTTACAACTGAATTTGGTTCTCTGAGTTGGAATTCAGTTTTCTATAAACTTGGAATTTCTAGGAATTCTGGGAAAAATTTCCCAGATTTTCCTAGGAATTCCTAGGAATTCCAGTCCGAATATACCGTGAAAATTCACCCTTTATTCCTAGGAATTCTAGGGGAAGTTATTTCAAAAACCATTTCATAAAGGGTTATGCTCCGATCAACACTTCAGTAATTTATACCCACATGCACGCACTATTTGCAGCATGAATGACACGCGCATGCACAATTTCCCTAGACAACTCCTTATCTAATTATTTTAGACCATTATTGATTTTCTATATCACCTATGCAGAGTGCAATTTAAATATTCTAGCTACAAGTCTGTCATTACCATGCTACGCTCAATTATACATCTAAATCTTAGGTAACCTAACTGTCATCAAAGCCTAAGCTCAATTACTAAATTAGGTAATAGGGTGTCATGCAATACACTTATAAGATTGTTGCGACAGTCATTAACCAAGCCTTTTTTGGTCAAAATAGACAGATATTGTTCCTCCTTATTCTGTCCATGTTTTTTGTAGTTCATGCCTTTGTCTTGCTCCACCAATCCGTTTATTCCTAAGAGTGATAAGTATCTAATTTCTCCCAACAATATCACCCCTGAATCAATTGTTAAAGTCATGAGAATAAACGAAATGATAGTGAACTCAAGAAGCTCTTGATTGCTAGACAAATTCTCCTTTTAAGTTTCTTTGGAAATGTACAGAGAACAGTATGGAGAATTTGCATACTAATGTAAAGGCAAAAAGGGTTAAGACACCAGAAAAGGATTAATATCCAGTCATGAACAGTCCACTAGACTAGATATGTAAAGGAATATCTAAGCAGTTTAATTATAAGACAATATTCTCTCCCATATACAGGAAGGCAAGGAGGGTGATGCTGAAAGAATACGGATCATGAACATGGTGAAGGTATGTTTAAGTTGTGGCTCTTACTGTATTTTTAAACCTTTAAACTTTTGCTCTCATTAATTGCATTTAGTTTGCTGCCATTCACTGCCCTGTATGAATGCAATGATTTATTTTGAACTGGTAAAAAAAGGGATTTTCCCTGTAGGCTGAAATAGTGACAAAATTGCTTTAATGAGGACCACAATTTAGGTTGTCAATAGGGTTTAAGTGATCTCAGTAAGCCAGGACCACAGGAACAAGGCTGATAATTTTTTAATAAACATTAAAAAAAAATCAATTTCTTACTGTGGCATTGGCTCAAACAATATTAAATTAATTTAATTAATATTTTTATTAGGAAGGGATATGGTCTGTTGAAGAAGCTATGAAGGAGGCAAAAACTCTTGGAGTGATTACTTCTCCTGAACCAACAAATGATGATGGGAATGGGGAAGAGAAGATCTTTAATTTTGGAGTGTACAAGTATGGCAGGGACAAGACAGGTCTATCTCGGAGAATTTTACAGGTTTGACTTGCTAAAACAAGTTTACAGCTCTTAATCCTTTAACTCCCAGAAGTGATTACCATGAAACAGGGCGTGAAATTAACTTTTTTACCTGATAGCCACTTGGCTCCTAAATTCTTCAAAGTGGTAGCCAATTCAAAAAAAGTTGGTCGCCATTTTCAAAGACAAACAAAATCTTTCTTTACGCTGTCAGCGTTCTAGATAGACCCTCCAAAATTAAGTTAGGGAAAAGATCTTTAACGTGCTACGAAGTGGACACTAGGATGGATGATAAACAACGTTCAGGCTCATCTAAATCCAAGATGGTGTCTAGTTATCAATCGAGATGCATGTGCTACGTTTTGGAAACAAACTTAACAAGGAAGTTTGCCGCGGATTTATCTTTGCAAATCTTTTTAATTCACTATATCTCTTGGTAAGGTTATGATGAAACGTTGTAGTCACCAATTTGGCAACTAACTTTCAGGATTTGGTCGCCAAAGTGAAAAATTTAGTTGCATTGGCGCCTGTATCAGGCGCAATTTCACGCCCTGTGAAACTTCTCCTTATAATATCCATGCAACTTATCCAGCAAACAGGTAATGAGAACATTCAAACTTATCAAGTAGAAGTTGTGATCTTGATCTAACACCAAATTCTTATAACTAGTTTGCAAGGGAATGTGTGGTAGCTAGAGGGGAGAATTAACAATCAGATCTTGGGAATTAAAGGGTTAACTTATGTTTTAATATATCTTTTGTTTTTATTTGTTTTTCTTTCATCTCATTTCTTCCTTTCTTTGTTCTTTTTATCTTTGTTACCTTTTTTGCTTGTTTGCTTGTACACTCTTGCTCATTTGCTCATTTGTGTCTTTGTTTTACCTTTTATTCAGTCTTAAGTAGAGCTCTCAAGTCTCATGCATCAAGCGTAAGACTGATGCAAACAAATTTAATCTGACTTATGCTTTCGTGGTAAATTTATTTCTAACTCATTTAAGGTTTCAGATTTATTCTGTTGATTTTGATATGGCGAACTGTTGTTTTCATTAAATACTCTGATTGTCTGTCTTAATATAATTTACTCCTTGTTTCTTATGTGCATGCCTCTAACACTTTTCAGCAGTAGAATTTCTTGCTCTGATTGAAGGAATGCACTTTGCTGCTTCATTTTTTCTCAATGTTCCAGGGGAACATGCTTCCATACCCTACCTCCCCCCCCCTCTACCCTAAATAGGTGATACCCATGGCATCTCACTCTTTGCCAGCAAAAGGACTTGAGAGTGCTGCTACTCATTCTGCCTATAAATCACTTAAAGTTTTTGATGGAATCAACTTGTTCATCCATTGTTAATCTGCCTGTTTATCTCTTTGTTGTATTTGTTTTTTTTTTTTAATGTTAGGCATTCAGGAAGGAAGGCAGTCAGTCAGATTTTTCAGGTTTCAATTGTTCAATTTTTAAAAAATTTTTGCTTTTTTTCCAGTTTGATTTTCAAGAGAAGGTGCTGTGTATCATTCAGAAAGGAAACAGAAACAAGAAATTTGCATTCACTGATATCAAAGGGTTTGACAGTGAGGTGAGTTTTGCATCATGCAGTGACAAGTTATAAATATCTGTTAACTTGATAAAATTTCTTGATTACTGTTAAAACAACAATGTGCAACTTTTTAATTCTAGGATGGTGTGAGATTTTACATTTATCTTGAAAGTGATTATGAACTTGATGCTGACAGTATTGAGGAGAAAAACAAGGTTGGTACATGTTTATTGATTTTCTTATCTGAAAACTGTGGAGATAACAAGATGAAATTTATTTTAATTAATTATGTTATGATTTTCATGTAAATTTTATGTGACTTTTTGACCATGAATAGTTTAGCAGTTTTCTGTTGCATGTGGACTTGTATTGTAGGTGAGAGATTATGAAACATGGTTATTGTTTAAAATGTGAGTTCCCTGACAATTTTTTGTTTTGCAAGATTGAGGTAAAGGTGGCCAAGAGTTATCCATTAGTACTTTTGTAAAGTTGTTGCATAGCACTATGATGACAAATTAAAAGTGTATCAGGCACATGCATTAGTGAAAAGAAATTGCTGAACTGAAGAGTTAGCAATGAAAATGGTACTAACAGTGACAAAGACCATGACAGCAACTATGACCATGACGATATTGAGGATGACAACAAAAAGGACAACAAAAATAACAACAACAACAACAACAACCACAACAACAACAACAACAACCACAACAACAACAACACTACAGAGACAATAACAACAATAGATTGAAAGGAGTTGAACTAGAATTGCAGCATTTGCAGAGAGAGGCAAGAAGAATAGTCATTGCCCAATCTATAAATAATTTACTCTTCAAAATCAGGTGTATCAGAAATGTTTCATCTTAATTTCTTAAACAGATTTGTCATCTACTGGATTCTATCGTGACACAGAGCAGAGGAGATGAACCAGATGGTAAATCTTTCATTCTATGATATGCTCATTACCGAAAAAACAGTTCACTTCAGTTGGATTCAAAATGTTTCCAAATAAATTACCAAATTAATCTTGTATCAAGCTAGTCAGAGGATTGAAGAATAGTGCATTCTATGATATAGAGAGAAATCCCATAAGGAGAGTTCTAAGGATAATGATGTTAACAAGGAATAGCACATGGCAGTGATGAAAGCTATGTTGCATGTTTCCTCAAATAAGCAACTGTGTGCTTGTTTAAAATTTTGGCTAAAAGGAGGGGCATTTAGTGAATAGAAGGCACTTAATTGAGGGGAGGGGGAATACTATTATTTTCATTACTGATTCTTCTTTAGTTGAAGCTGCAAAAGTTATAAATAAAGTGGAAGTAGAAACAGGTTTTCCTTGTATCCCTATTCAATTAAGAAAGTGAGGGGGAAGGGGGGGTGCTTATTTGAGAGGAGTGCTTGTTTGACATTATGGCAGGAGGGTGGGTACTGATTGGGGGAAATACTGTATTCTTGTACTTTGTGATTGACAACAGTCTTGGGCTCATCACTTTCTTGTTGACTTTGCCCTTCTTATTTTGACATACCTGTTTCACAACAGTAATCAATTGTTTTCATTTACTGAATAGGGGAATTTGAAGCACCATCACTTGACACTACAAAAGTTATCAAAGAAGGCCAGATCGAGAAGAAAGGTCACAGTGCAGCGTTTATGATGTGGCCAAGGTAAGAAGAAGCTGTTGGACCACCTAGTTAATTGGAGGGGCCATTGTAGTGCTAATGGCTACAGGGAGCAGGTCCATGGCAGGAAGACAATGATGGTTAGCAATGAAATTCAGAACTGTCAACTAGAGCAGAGAGTTGGCCAAAACAGCTCACTATTTTCAACAGCCATTCTCCAGTTTTGAGTGGAAGTGAATGCATGATTTACCAGCAACATGTTTACATGTGTGAATCACTTCCGCTTTAAGAATTTGCTTCAAGTTTTGGGCAAACTTTGTTGAACCCATGGAATGATTTTGACCTAATAGTACTCACTCTTGCTTGAAATGTGATGAATTAATATGGCATCCATGATAACTTGGCCACCTACCACTAAACCCTTTCAAACTTTCCACTTTCAAACTTATTGACAGCCCTTGGACAAGAAAAGAAGCAAATTATGCCTTCACAAGTCATTTTCTCCTTTAAAAAAAAATAGACCTTCCCATTTATCAACTTGTAAGGAGTTTTGCTAAATTTACAATATATAATAGAAATGTTACTTGAAGTTTTTTCAGAAGCAATGGTTTGGGCAATGTCTTTTTGTTCTTTTTCTCACCATTAATAAGTGATATGAACTACATCCCACAAGCATTCTGAGAAGCAGGAAGTGGATTTGTTATGTGACAAGATTCTTATGTTATTTATTTTGTAGGCGATGGCTGCGCATCCAGCAAGGAGAATTATCATATTTTAAGTTGGGAGAGGAAAGCCAGGTGGGTTTGTTTACAGCAGTAGTTAGTTGTACAAAGTGAACATAGGCTTGTACTATGTTCTTGATCAACGTCCTTTGAGAAATTGCATTGTAAATGGGGCTGTGAGTGGGCAAGGGGGAACCTGGGCTACTATGGAGCAGTGGCTATGGATGAGGGAGTTGTCACCACTTTGCCTTGGCGTCAAGCCACATATCAACTCTGCTTTATCGTATATATCTCTACTACATCCTGAGGTACTTTTTTCAGTCGATTGGACCACATGGGGTGCTTATCAATAGTTGGAACTGACCACCCAGACTGACCTATTCAAAATGCAGGGGTTATTTTTTAGAGTTCTCTGCAACTTTTCTTCCCCTAAAATTGTGCACACATAGCAATGATTTAAAAAAAAAACTAGGTGATATAGACAGACAATTTGAATGTCTAACGAAATTCCTTCTTTAATGAATGGACCTGTAAGTTAATTTACCTTTACCTTGTTTATATTTGTGTGCAGGCTGCTTTGAACATTGTTAAGCTTGGTCCTGGGCTGGCGGAAGTCAAGAGTGTGGATCATAATGCTTTCATTATCATCACAAGCAAGAAGGAGTATAGGTATGATGATAAAACCAGTGCTTCTCATTTCATATACCCCAGATATGATGGCATAATGGTCAGAGTGCTAAACACTGGATTTAGAGAGTGAGAGTCAAACCAGGGGCCCAATTGTTGAAGATCCTGATAAAGTGTTCTTGGCCAGAGGTCTGGAAGGATCTCTCCGTGACCCATCTCAAATCTTCCTACGGATTGAAAAACGCACGTTCTGCAGCATTAACGATTAGGGCCTGCTTGCAAGCTACCCTTCAAGGCCATTTTATTTACCAACAATTCAAAAAAAAAATTGAAATTCTTGACAAACTTTTTTTGTTTACTGCATCTTTATCGTGCTATATTTTAAAGTTGTATTATCATTCATTCATTCATTAACGGTAACTAACCAGTTACTTATCCAAATCAAATAACATCTACATGTAAATTGTGTTGTACATATGTGGTTATTTCCATCTTTCAGTTTCCGTGTGTTAAATCTGAACAATGCGGGCGATAGTGCTGTTGAGAAAGAAAGAGACTCATGGATTGAGGTTTATTGCATGCAGTAGATGCAGCGTTATTCATTTCATAAGTATCGTGATACTAATTGCTTATAAATAATACATGCACCGTCCATTGCTTTAATTTCATTTAGAATAACCATTATGTCCATTTTTGCGTCAATGCCCGTTTACACTTTGGACAGTCCCAATGTATTTGGGCAATCTTTTTTAGATCGTTAATCCATTAATAGCACGGTAGAAATATCATTTGATTTGGCGCTTTCCTTGAGAGATGATATTATTCAGTAAATAACACAGACAAACTCGGAGAAAAAGAACTTAGAGTGCTCCCAACAGGAGCCGGACCTACGACCTTCCATTGAGTCGTTCGGATGCCTTATCGCTGAACTATAGGGGAATCGTGGGAGGCTAGGCCGTTTAATTAAACAAAACACGTCTCCGTTTCAGAACTCTTTTGTCGTTAGGTCACCTTATCGAGAGTTTTCTCCTTAGCCTGGGAAGACAATATATATATAAGCAAAACAATTTTCACAAACAACATGATGTGACAGTTATGCACATTCTAGTTGGTGACAACTTGTAAATTTGAATTTTCAGGCTATAACTACAGCTTCCCAAATAAGTTTCCGTCAATCAAGAGCAGTATCGTCAGTTCCTGATGAAGCAGGTTACGTACCTTGATAGTTGTTTCAAAATGATGAAAAGTATCACAGGAATTTAACATTTACTGTTGTTTTTCATTTTATTTCAGCCATTGCATCCTCTGTAGTAGAACAGGAAAAGTATCTTAAAGATGTTGTCAGAACACTTCAGAGAGTATGTCTTCTTTTTTTTAACGTATTTCTTTGATAGAACGCGGCAGGTTTTTTGTTTAATCTTCTTCGCGCTCTCTATGCGGGATTTATTCCAAAGTAAAATCTTATTTTATAAATTACCGAAAGATTTGTTCGAAACATGGTCAATCCAAATTTAAATTTCGTGGTAATATGTGATTTTGTATGTAGCTATTAGGGGATAAATGTTAATCTGGTTTTTAAAACTTAACCCTAGCTTGACAAAATGATTCATACATAATTTACAACTATGGTCGTCGTCGCTGGTGTTGTTTTTGTTTCTTAAACATACATGACAATTTTTTATACTCACATTTTGTTTCGTTTTAGGAGTTGGAGCAGTTAGGTTCTGTGTTGTCTGTGGTCAACGCACCTATTCAAGCTACTGTGCAGGTAAATTAGAATTATATTGATCAAGAAACTTAAATGCCTGAGAGTGATTGTTGTGGACCATAAATCCAAAACCGAGTGGCAATCGCAACGAAGAACAATTTAGCGCTTTTCGATTGAGTGTCGTAAGATCGAAACCAAAACAATTACAACAGCCAATCATAGCAAGGAAAATATCACCAGGGAACCAATGAGAATGAAAGTGAAACAAGCAAACTTCCTGAAGCGCGGGAAAAACGCGAGAGTCCCAAGGCACGATTGGTTTTAGTTTTAAATTTGATTGATTAAGAAGAAGGCGCGAGCTTTTTGAACCAATCATAGAGCAAAGTTAAGTAACTCCAAAATTGCTCTATCACACGGGGCTCGTGATCACTTATTGTAAAACAAGGAAATTACTTGAATTGCGAGAAATCTTAAGTAATAAAGTGTCGGATGTTTCTGATTTGAAGAGAGCTTTCCGATGAATGAAAGGGGGGCAGAAGGAGTAAAGTACTGAAAAATACACCCCCAAACTTTCCTTGTTATTTTTGACATTCATTTTCAAATTGCGTTAACGAGGTTACCTTTATTTATTATATCCACTGACAATAGTGATTATCGTTAACTCAAGACGTTATTTTTCGCTACAAAAAATGCTGATTGTATATTTGTCAGAGCATCATCATCATCACAGGAGTTTCTTTTACTCAGTATCACGTCAAACCCTCACTCACGCGGTAGAATGTTTTTTTTAGGTCAAGAAGGTGAAAGATGTTGTGCGCAATTTGGATTCACAAGTCAAAACAGGCGTGTTGTCATGGACAATGTAAGAAAATTTTTGAATTTTTGAGTGTTGTTTGTGCATAAATCCCAACCCAAAAAAAGCTACTTATGCATGGTATAATAATAAATCTTCATGTATTGAGGTCTGAAAATCACCCTCCCATACCTTTCTTAGACAATCAAAGGTTCACGTATGATTGGCCTTTTGTTTGTAGGAAATGCAAACGTTCAAATTTTCACGGAGCTAAGGTTCGAGTCTTGGCGTCCTAGAGAATTGCTTATACAATGTACCAAACCTTGAAATAATAGTGTGCTGTTCTAGCTTTGACAAATGGATTTCCATGTTGCCATCATCTGTGATTTATTACTGCACAGACTCACGGAAGCATGGAATCTGTTCGTTTAATTTCACGAAAAAGCAAAATTGAGTTGGTGATGACGTCATCAATGTGTCTGCCCTCCATTAGATCAAAAGAAAGAACGAGTCAAAATGCACGCAAAATTTACCTTCTAGTGTCAAAACGCTGTACAGATGAGAAAGCAACAGAAAAGAACGAGAGTGATTAATGATGGAGAAAATTGACACGATTTTTTTTAGTTGCGAATAAGGCAACTTTTGCAAGGTGTACACAATGTAACTTGGCCCCTCTAAGGCTTACGTTGTTCTCTCTTTGTTAGGAGACAAGTACTTCAATCCAGGAAAGATTCTAACAAAGATGGAGTCGTGGTCTTACCACAACGCAGAAAAGATTCTTTAAAAGACAGCAGCACACGCGCACCTCAATTCAACAATACTTCGCCTCCGAGAAGAAAAGACAGCGACAGGCTACCCAGCTTGCCATCTCAACCTGAAGATGGTTACGAAAAAGTTGAACCTCCACAACGGACGAAAAAACCTTCACCAGTTTCGCCCCTCACAGGTGTTGATCAGTCGTCACATGTCAGCGGTGGCCCCCCTCCACGGCCTCATAAACCTTCTGAACTATCAAACACACTAGTTAGTGACATTGGTCCATGTACGCCTCAACAAATCGTCCCACCTGTGAGGCCTTCACGGAGTAGCAGTTCTTCTTCAAGTCCCTACGAAACTGTTGAAATCGTTTCTCGAAAACGTGAAGGTTCGAAAGGAGGTAGTGTAGGTGAACGCACACCACCAAGGCCACCTAAACCTGGTAGTGGTGTGATTGAAGATGACAGCTCAAGTATTTATATGCAGCCACCTATACCAGTGAGTGTCATAAGCCCGATAGATGACTCCGATATTTACGATAATGTCCACATCAAAAACATTCCGTTAGGAGCGAAAGGTGGTCTGCATGGTGTTTCTACTCTAGGAGCGAAGGATGGTGTTGCTGAGGCTTGTACTGGAGAGACGAATGAACCTATTGTCCTTGGTGGTTCTGCTGGGGAGAGAAAAGAATCTGTTGACATCGGAAATGAAATAGCTTCATCAGGGACTCAGGAGACGAAGGGTGACGCCACGAATATCACAGAACGTGAATCAACGGATGGCAACCTTGAAATCGATTCTGGGGGGATGGGATGCGAGAGTCTCGCGCAGGCAATCGAAGAGCGACGGCAGGTTTTGCAGGAGGAAGAAGCTAAAGAAGGTGTGGTGTTACTTTCTAAACAGATGCTGAACGAGAAAGGTTCTGATCTGAGTCATACCTATGGTATGTGATTTAGCTGTTTAAAAGGCATGCGCAACTGTTCATTCACATCTTTCACTCATCTCACACTTTGCAAAAGCTCTCTTCATCTCTCTTTGCGTGTCTTTGTCAGTCAGTAACACTCCCACGGTTGCAAGATTATAGATTATATGGCTCAAGAAATTCCACCAGTTGCAACTCTTAGATACATTAGGGCGTTATTGACCAGGTGGGTTTGGTCAAAAAAGCTGGATTTTGGCGAAGATCGCCGCTTTGCAGTTAAAAACCATAGTTGGTTAGAGCGGTGTTGCTAAAGCCCAATAGTTTTTGTTTTGTTTTGTTACTTGTAATTTATATGAGTTTAGGACTCGACCGTTCTCAATGTTTTGTCGTATTATAAAATTGTTGAGCCAAATGACAAATATGAATATTCTATCACTTAATTCATTCCTATCGTGACACAAAAACAGAAGATTGTGCGCGTTCTTGGACTTCTCCATCTAATGTGCGGCATCGTTGTTTTCATCTTGACCTTTTCCGGCTCTTACAACCATTCTCCTAAACTTATCATCTAAAAACACCGACAGGAAGCGAATTACATATTTGGCAATCATTTAGATTGCAAACCTGCCTCATATGGCAGGTTTGCAAGGACTGACAAAGTCACGGGACTCTTAATGTTTTCGAAGAACTGCAAGAGGTTTTTCATACCTTTTATACCTCACTCATCCATTGGAGAATCAGTCTGGCAACTAACACCGCTCATTTGAAAAAAGTTGCTGAACTTCTGATGGATGTAACTTTAATTTCCTCTCTCTATTCTGAAGGCAAGTGGAAAGGGAAAACCTCAAAATGAATCCATTAAATCTGTTTATGCATCACTAACGTGCATATAACATCTTGCAGGAGGAAACATAGGGTCTAATCTCGTATTCTTATCTTATTTTGTTCAGCAAAAAGGTGGGTAAGTATCTGCTGTTCGGTAAATCGAAAAGGAGTGAAGACTGAGCACTGCAGTGGCTATGGTCTCCTTTAATCATAATGCTTACACAATTCTTACTCGTGCAAAGCCTCACTGTTTATAACTGGCCGGTTGTTAATTCTTTGAAGCGTTGCTGCTGATAACAGCATTTTATATTCATTTTTACTTCTCTGCATCTGTCATCATATCTCTCAATTTTCGTTGAGTCGTACGTGTATCTATTTATATTGGATTGTAGAAATCAATAGTTCGAAAGGTCGATAAAAAATCGAATTGTAGTCAGTAGTCAAACGAGTACAACCTCAATCAGCAAATTTTTGATTGAGTCGTTAGAATTCTAAAAATGTTAGATTCATAAATCGAAAGCAGTTCCCCTATTCAGGACAATCTTATTTGAGTTTACTTTAGACAAACAAATATTACGTGCAGAAAACTTGCAACTAATGTTCCCTTTGTCTTTTTTCCTCCAAAGCTGCTGAAGAGATTGGAGATAATAGACCTATTGGAGATAATAGACCTACTTCGGGCAGCAATCCACCGCCTCCTCCTCCTCCCCTCCCTCCAGGAGTGCCCCCACCTCCTCCCCTATTAGGAGGTGGCCTTCCTGGAAAATCTTGTGCAGTCCAGGCCAGAGTTAAACTTCGACCTTTTTTTTGGATGCCAGTGCCGATGCAAATGGTTAGTAGAATATTTTTTGCACTAGAGCAGATGTTTCCAGATACATGACCATCCAGATACATGACCAATCAGGGACATTTTGGTTATGGATTCGTTTTGCCGTTTACGCATCATTCATTTTGAAGCCCCTCGCTCTGATTTATGGTGTATGACATAGAAACTACGTACAGTCCCAGGCTCCCGAAGAAATTTTTTTTAAGTCAGTCGGTCAGTTGGTCAACTTACGGTACTTAGTCTTACAGCCAATAACATCCCGGCAAAACTGACCAATTTGTGTACACGAATCTGACGCCGGCTGCTAACCAACAAAAACTATCTCTTGACTCCGATGATGACTTCTGTCAAGGTTTTCAAAACGTCAGTCACTATCACCGACAGCATTCCTTCCTAAGACTACTCTCACCAGGACGATCAGACTACACGAACGAATGTTACCTTCGGGTGTAAATCATTTGCAGTGGTGCGAGTTAATATAGAGTATCTAATTTTTTCTTATTTAGGTGTCCAACTCCATGTGGATGCAAGCCGCTGATCGCACAAAGAGCATAAACTTGGATTTGCTGGAAGAAATGTTCCAGATAGAGGAGAAGGAAAAACCCATACCTACTGGTGGGTTTGATTCATTAGGAAGAAAAACATGAAGCATACATCCTTTCTTAGTTTATTGGGAACTGTTTTTAACAATGTATCGCATTATTTTTCCACAGCCCCCGCTAAACCCACGGTGAAGACGTTACTGGATCCAAAACGAGCACAGAATCTTGGTGCGTGATAGTCCTCGCTACCTCAACGAATTGTTTGTCATCAGAGAAGTTCAGTTTTCAATTGAGTATCGAAAGCTATCTAGGATTGCCTCGTTTTTGCTTTAATTCGCTCTGTGGTTGGTCGAGCAAAGTTGCGCCACCATCGCAACCAATCAAATCAAGAACTAAAATCAATTCTAATTTGGTCACTCGCGTTTTCCCGCGCTTCAAGCAGGTTGCCTCTTTTTACTTTGAGTTCTCATTGGTTAATGATGATGTTCTGATTGGTGGTTGTGATAACTTTGGTTTTTCGACACTCAACTGAAAACTACGATTGAATTGTGCTATCTGGGTTTGCGTGTGCTTTACTTTGAAGACCGCCTGAACTTTCACTTCTCTTCATCTCTTGAGAATATGTGCCTTTGTTCTGATTGGCCATAGAAATTACTTCGGCTTGGTTTCTACAACACTACGTTGAATAATTCTCTAAATTGACTTGTGTCAAAAAGTTGATTGAAAACAAAGTCTTCGTATTCTAAAGTCATTCTTATATTACTGTGTTTCGTGGTATAAACTCACACCCGCACTTTGAAATAAAGATTTTAGAGCGTTGGTGAGCGTTTTATTTTTCCATCTTGAGAACTGACTTGTTTCGTCTGACACCGTAAGGATGCATAGAAGCGGTGGAGCTTATAGAAGAATTGCGTTAAATATAACATTTCACTTCTCTAAAATCCTTTATAACATAGCCAGTAAATTTGTCTAATCAAATACAATTGCGCGAGCGTGCTTCATATTCCTATTGTGCACGCTCATGACGTCAGCAAACAAATCCCTCGCAAAAAAAAATTTTCCACCGGGTTGAAAATGTTATCAACCAATTGGTTCATACATCAGCTGTGTGTTCATCGTGATATGAAGCACTTGGGAAGTTTAGGGAGCACTCAAGAAGCTAGAGTTGTTCTCGGCTACGCCTCTTACGCATCTTTCGTGCTCTCCAAACTTCCCGCGTGCTTCATATCTCGATGAACGCACGCTGACGTATGAACCAATTGTTAAAAAAAGCTGGCGCCTAGTCTCTAATAATTGTAATTTTTTTTCCCCTAGGAATTTTCCTGAGTGGATTCAAATTGAGCACCAAGGAGATTGACGAGAAGCTGAGTGTGTTCAGAGAAGAAGATGGCGCCCTACCTATGGATCAGGTGATCGCTTTGAAAAGGTAACAAAATGATAATCTTGTACAGGTGATTGCTGTGTAGTTGTTGGATTAAATTGATTTATTTCAATCATTAGGTTTCTTCCATCAGCTGAAGAATTTGAGATGTACAAGAACTACAAGGAAGATCCCAGCACATTGGTGCCAGCGGATCAATTTATGAAGAAGGTAACAACAGAAGACACTATTTGAATAACATTTGGCGTCTCTAACGAATTATGCGAAGTTCTGATTTTAATTTGATGGCAAATAAGGTCTTGCTTCGCAGTTGTAGGGAAGGACTCGGGTGTAGAGTGCTTTTAGAGACCAGGAACTCGTCTCTCGAAAGTCCCGGTAAGGGGCCCGAAACTATATTTTAAAATCAATATTTAAACAATAGCAGTTTCTGGCACCTTAACCCTTAACCCTTCTCTTGAATGAAAACAGAATAGTTTTACGGGCCCATCAAGTTACCCTCGAGTAACAGAGAGAAACGGGCCTCGGTAACCTAAAAAGTTTTGAATTATATAATAAAACTTTCATCCAAAGAAACAAATGGACTGGTTAGGGTGCCAGAAACTGCTTCTCTATTGTTTTTAAATTTTGATTTTAAAATATGGTTTTGGGCCTGTTAAGTTATCGGGACTTTCGTGAAACGGACCCTAGGGTAAGGCTGCTCGAAGGGGGTTAATCAATCTAGGATTAAAAGGTGATCATGGCTATTATTTGTCATGGAAAAGAGCGTTTAAGGTTTTGTTTGGTTTTATTTCAATATAACACGGAACAAGGTGGGAAAAAATTCCAAACGAAAATCCCTTTGCAGAGCTCTAAAACTGAATTTAAAATTTACACTAACCTTGGGCTAATGTAATCGTGTTTTTAACAACCCAGCCCTGAAAGGCAAAGGAATCATTGAAGATATGTTTTCCTCCCCCCAAACGTTATACGTAATATTTTTCAAGAGTTATGGGTTTTTTATATCGAATTTTTCTTTGGTCTCTTTCTTCTTGATAAGCTTTGTGAGATAAAAGACCTGGAGAAACGTCTGGATTTATTGCTTGTCATCATGGAGTTTCCCCAACAGTTTGAAGATCTTGCACCGGTAAGTATCTTTACTATGGCTTAGAAATCTGATGCAAGCGAGAACAACTACACACGTCTGCAGATGGTAAGTAGGTTTTTAAACAATTCAAAAACACGTGTTACTCCTGAAGTGAAACAAAGACTTCAGAATGAGTCATTCTTTATCGCCGAGGGGTTGGAAGGGGCGGCGCGGAAGATTTTCGGGGGGGTCAGATATGAATATTGCAGAGCCTTAGGAGGGGATCAGGTGAATTTAATAGTGCCACAACCAAAATCCTCCGATCCTACCAGGCGATAAACTGACCGGTTCCTTAGAACGCCTGTGAGTATTCACAACAACCAAGAATAAGAACAAAGGAAATATCACAGGACGCCAGTCAGTGAGAACTCGGGTTTTTTTTATAGGAAAGTGGTTTTGTTGCTACACCCCAAGATAACACTGTACACTTTTCAGTTGAAACTTTTCGACAAACGTGGTCAATGTTAAATTTACTATTGATCAATTTTTTTATTTTTCAGAATGTGAATAATCTTTTGCAAGCTTGCAGTGAACTTTACAACAGCAAAAACTTTCAGCTCATGTTGGAATACGTGTTGTCAGTTGGAAACATTCTGAACACGGGAAGTACCAGAGGAGGTGCATATGGGTTTAGGCTTCATTCCTTACCAAAGGTAACCTGTTACTAGGGCGACTCACCAGTGGTCAGAATTGGCCCGTCAAACTTAACACTGTTCCTATTACCAGCAGAACTGGTCTTGTCATTTGGTTTTGGCCGGTGGATTATCTTGCTCTAGCACGTAGTACTCGCGAAATGCGCGCCGCGAGAATTTTGAAAGCCATTGGTTTATAGCAGACTCTTTAAATCACGCGGGATAGCGCAGCCATAGACTCCTTTTTCTTAAATGGCTAGCCCCATTGTTGTCTTTTTATATTCATGAAAGTCAGCTTTTTTGGCCACGACAAAACTGAGGCTAAAGAGCTAATTTTCAAGCTCATCAAAGACTCCTGGATTCTGAGCTCTTGAGTTTTTGTGTTACATTCGCAGATGGCAGATATCCGCGGAAATAACAAGAAGTACAACCTCCTCAAGTTCCTTATCCTTCAACTACAGCAGTCCAATCCAGAAGCGTTGAATTTCACGGACGAATTGAAAACCGTTCAGAAAGCTGCTACGTGTGAGTTAAAATATTGAAAATTTAACTCTTATGAAAATATCGGTTAATGTGCAAGCAAGGTTAAGAGAAAATTATCTGGTTTAAACTAAGCGGGGTGGAAACAGGGAAATCTTGAGCCTAGGGAGAGGGAGGATATCCTCTTGCTTCTTCTCCGTTACTTCCTCTAGCCGATGAAGATCGTATGGTAGAAGACCAATTTGATGGGATCTCTCTGCAACAATCGCATCTGAGTATTTAAGGACTTACTATTTTTCTTTTCTTACTTTTTTTCTCGACACTAGGTTCATCTAAAGCCCTGTTTGCTGAAGTAGAAGGTTTGTTAAGTCTATTTTATGTTTCAATCCGCGCATCTTTAACGCAGCACTTCATGTTTGGTCAAGTTTACACAACATAATTTAATTGAAACAGCGGTGTCTTCTTACTTTTCTGTGACTCCTACTCCTGGACTAGTTCCGCTCAATAAATTGTTTGATTCTACAGAAGAAAGTGTCAGGCCTTAGTGATTATTTCCTTTTTACTATGCAGTGATGAAGAAGGACCTGATTAAAATCAAGAAACACTCGAGTGAACTGTTTTTGAAGCGTAACCAGACAAATCCAAAGGATGTCAAACTGCACAACGATGTGGAAGTATCCTTTGCGTTAAGTTTAAACTAAAAAGTATCATCTTTACATATCTAAAAGCTTCCAGAACGAGTGTCTCGGTCACGCACACTTCGGTCACGATTTGTCTACACTTGGTAACTCTTTGTGACGCTTGGTCACGATTTTCTCCGCCGTCACCATGGAGGTCAGCCTTTGTGGACAAATATAAATTGACCTTAAAGTAACAGTTTTAAATAACTTTTAAAACTCACGAGGAATGTGTGGGGGTTGTATATGAGCTAACAAGTCAATAAACCGAAACCTATACAGGTTCTTTAACTGAAGGGCCTCGAAAAGGATGGTTACCCCCCCCCCCCAACTACTGAAGCAGAGGCATCAAATGGACCAGACCAAAGCTCAGTGCATGTTCCATTTCAGAGAAATGAGCATTAGATTAACAGTTACGATTTCAAAGACTTCACCATCTAAATTGGTTTTGTTGTCCTGCGAATTCGAGTTGCTATGTAAGTTGTGGCCTCCTGTGCTATAAAGACGTATTTCAATGCCCTTGTATGGTTTCTCTTTAACAATCTACCCTCAGTCCTTTGTGAATGAATATGAGCAGAAGCTAAATGATTTGTGTGATCAGTGCAAGCAGATGAAACAGATTTACAACAAGGTTTTGGTAAGAAAATCTAAATGAAAATGCAAGTTAATTGGCTAAATCAATTATGCGCATGCCTTGGAGAACACCAATGGAGAAGCTTTTAAAACCTGCTCCTTTCTTTACTGGCTGCTGTTGGGTCTTAGACCCATAAGGATTTGTCTCTGTGCAGTACCCTTCGACACCTAACTGTTATTTTTTTTTCTCTGTACAATATCACCCTTGAATTACACATTAAGGTCACTGGAAGAGAGGAAATGATCACCAACTAAAGAAGGTCTTGATTGTTAAACAAATTCTCCTTGTCAGCATCGAAGGGAAGTATAGGGAGCAGTATGGAGAATATGTATACCGATGTTAGGTTAAAGGGGTTAGCACAACGTTACGCCAACTGATGGCAGTTTACTCTTGTCTTAACAGGTTTCTTTTGGTGAGTCTCAGAGCAGTGATTCAGAGGAAATTTTTGGACCTATCAGCACTTTTATGACACAATTCAAAAAAGCGTTGAAAGAACAGAATCAGGGCAGTAAGCGCATCAAGGGTATCAAACTGGAGTGCCTCAGGTGAGATGTGATGTAAGGTACCTGTTTTATGTGAATTGAGGCCAACGAAAACGTTTTCAGTTGTGTGAACATGTAAGGCGCGAGGGTTGAACGGAGGGGCACTGGTGCGGCAAAGTTACCAAACTTAGAAGAAATTATTTTTTTGTGTGATGTACCAATTTGCAACGAAAAGTAAAAACATTTATGAAGGCTGATGCTGTTCTGTGCAATCTTGGCATTGAGATCTATTATGTTTCAACCAATTTATCCTTAATTGATATAGAGGTAGCTTGTTAATCGATAAGTGAACGCAAAACGTTCGAAATCGCTGCGTTTGAGTAATGCAAGTCTCACACGAAGGTCACGCAAGGAAGAATTGAGGGAGAGGGGTCCTCTCTGCGATATGGTCAGTTGTGGTTTTGCCAGACTTATCCAATGCGGAGAATTAACGCCAGCAATGCAGTTCTTGCCTATTGCACTAGAATAGCGGTAGAGTTATCTTGATTCTTCTCATTGTTTTTCAGTGAAGCCATCGCACAGTTGCCGAAGTCGATCGGTGTAAGTGTTTTTTTTATCATTCTATGCTAAACGACGTTTTACTCATTGTCTTCTTAATTCCTCGCGAAAGCTTCCACCTAGGACTTGTGTTTTCTCATAAATAGCATTGAAATATAAATATTAATTTTGTGAAGTGTGAGTTCTGTCTTGAGGCAAAACTGGATCATCGCTTACTTTTTGCGCTTTTTCTAGGACTCAACTTCAGTGGCCTCTATGAGTTCTTTTTCGACAACATCAACTACCTCCGGTCATGACAATATTGATGGAAACAAAACCAGTCGGAATGGTGAGGTGAGCAAGCAGGTTTAATAAATTAGTTATGTTAATCCTTTGTTCGTGTTCATGTTTATTCAACAGAAAAATAGTTTAAAAGAGCATTTTAAAAACTCTTTGAAATACTCAATCGTAGCTTATTTTGTTGAGGCACGTTTTATACAACTGTTGTTTCAGTAAGATGAATAAAATAACGACTGCCATACGCACCGAATGTAAAGTACCCGACAGCCCTCCCTCACTCGGGTCTCGTGACACTCACAATTAGTTACAATTGTAACCAACCTGCATTTGGGAGTATACGGACGAATACAGTCGAAATAAAACTGAACAGTCACAGTTTTGGAACTTCACACTGGTCCATTACCGTTGAGGGTAAACTAACCGATTAGTCTCGTGGACTGAACAGAACACCGTCAAATGACCGAAAAGTTCCCGCTCCCGCTGTCTTCGGGTTGTATTTTTTTTCAAGAAAATATCTCTGCTTTTTCTTTCAGAACAGAGACTTATTTCTTGAAAGGAAGCCGTCAAATAAAGATACAAACACTTCTCCTCATGCACCACTCCCTGTCATCCATAAACAGGTAATCATATTTTCTTAGAGGAGAGCGGTTTTTGTTTTAAGTGATGAGGTTAGAAAAACTTCATAATCCTTTAACTCCTAGAGGTGATTAACATGTAACTTCTACTTATAACGTCCATACGCTATCCAGTAAATAGATCATGAGAATATTTAAATTGATCAGATAAAAGTTGCTCCATTTATCCAACACCAAATTATCTTAAACTAATTTACAAGGAAGTGTGTAGCAGCCAGAGGTTAGAATTAACAATCAGATCTTTGGGGTTAAGGACTAACCTTAGTGGAAACTAAAATTTATTACCAGACCCCGGATTAGAAAAGTGGTAAAACCATCCACTGAAGTAGTAATCGTCTGCCGTTTTTTTTTGTTTTGTTTTGTTTTTTTTTCGGACACTTGGCGCTGGGTGGAGTTTTATTTGTTGGTCTTGGATGTTTTCCTCATTACATGCAATGTTGTCTCACAAGATATGATGATAATTTTATAATATTTTATCACTGTTCGTAACAGTGTGCGGAGTTTTTAAAGGATATTTTATTGTTTGATATTCCTTTGGGTTTGAATGTATAACTAACTTTCTTTTTCAGTTGAGTATCAAATTGCCGCCAAAACCACAAGGGAGAGCAAATCCCAAACCCACACGGAGCGGTTTCCTTGGCAAGCTCAGCGGAGGAAAACATCTTACTCCAAAATGGGACAACAGATATTTCGAGCTCACAGACACAGGATATCTTAATTATTACAAAAAAGCTGATGGCGGGAAACCTATCAATTCCATCTATTTGAGAGGCTGCCCCTTAGAAATAGACCCTAACGATCCTCTAATAGTTCTCATTAAAACCGACGATAGAGACTGGAGCTTGAGAGCGGCAACTGCTGAGGAGGCCTGCGCATGGAAAGAAGCCATGTCATTTTACACTGACAAACGGAACTGAAGGCTCACAAATAACTTGGGGATAAATTTTTGTAAGAGCATGCGATGAATCAGGCTAATTTCACGACTTGAGACCGAGATTAATTCTGGTCCTGCTTTTTGGTAATGGGGATGATCCAAGATTTAGATCCAATCAGAGATTATTTCGCTCAGTGTGATTTCAAGCTTGAGAATTACACAAAGTGGGAAGAAATAAAGAGGAAACGAAAATAACATTCTGAAATTAAATTTGACGACAGTCTTGGATTTCATCATGAGACTTGTTCAAACAACTGGGGCCAGGCCACGCGCCGATTTTTAAATATCAAATTTACACTAGAGCTATCCTCTTTTCTTTGAAATAGAAATTCTAACTTTAATTGGAAATTTTGCTTCAGTTGAAGAGGCTCTTCATTCTGTGTGAATTATTTATTGATCTACATAGTAACTGGCGTACCATGCATTCGTGTATGTTACTTGGCATAAACTCTTCTCAAAGTGTCGCGTATTGTTATTATTATAAAACCATGCAATTATTAATATAAACGAATGAAAGGAAGAAAATACGGATTAAAAATGAAAAAGATACTTAAAATTCATGAAAATGGTTTACATCTGCATCATTCAGGCTATTCCCAAGATTGTGCCGGTATAATTATTGATTCAAGTTAAATGTTTATTAATTCATTATTTTGTTAGAGCGTCTTTTCATAGACATGAAAGAGAGATTTCACGCAATCTGCTTAACTGTTATGTTTGTACAATGTAACCGTATGTCTCTTACCACACATGCTACTTGGAAGACCTCAGCGTCAGTCGTAGCTTTGCCCCTCAGCATCTTTCCTCAACTTTTATCTTTTGGAGTTTCTCTCCTAAGACCTCTCTTAAGAGAACTGATGGTAATATAAATTATTTTGAACGACTCATGCGATGTAAAGGAACTTGCGAAATATTACGACAATATTATGAATTATAATCATGCATCATTGTAATAAACATTTTAGTCCAAGTTGTTTGTTTTCTTTCGCAATCTACTCTCTTTTGTGAGGTTGGTTGAATTTCGTGACGCGTACGTGACATTCTGAAATAACATTTGTACCGTGACTGCCCAGTTTTAAATGATTCAGACTTGACGGTGGAAAACGGAAAATTTTGATTGTTGGGTGAATGAAATTGCTAGTTATCACATCAAACTCAAACTGATGAGCAATGGTGATGATTAAGCGTAAAAATTAAATTAATTGGATTAACAAAATTAACAAATGAACCAGTTCATAAATGAATAAAGGGGGTAAGTTTCTGAAGAAACTGTGGGAGAGTATAGCAGGTAATTTAGTGTTAACGACTGAGTTGGCCACTGTGAAGGGCCACCGTAAAGGGTAAAAAAGCTGACGTTTCGAGCGTTAGCCCTTCGTCGGAGCGATTGGAGGAATTGTGGGTTGTGTGTGGGTTTACATGCAGAAAGTAGAGCTACGCTATTAGTGGGAATATGGTGACGAAAAAACAGAAATAAATAAATCTACCCAGTTCTCCTGTTTACCTCTCCCTTTAATTCATTGTTGCCTTACTCACGCTATCGCATTAGTACTTTTGGGAACCAACCAAACGCCGGGTAGGAGATTAACGATTAGCGCTGGCATTGCAAAAAAAAATTGCTGACATTTTGCGAAAGTTGAATGGACAGAGTGTCCAATTAGAGCTCATTCGTGATGTTACGTCAGTCGTAAGAAGCTTCCTCTTGACCTATCAGCATGCAGCAATGTTTTTTACCCTACTTCGCCATGTGTCCATTATTCACAGGTCACAGATGACGTCAACATCGGGTAGGGGGTAATTGCGAACCTTATAGGCTTTTCCTGATTCCGGTGTCAGGAAAACACTTTGACTGATAGATTTCTCGAAGCAACTATTGTCTTTTCGCTTGAAAATAGCTTCCGACGAAGGGTCTTTACTAGTTAATTTCGTAAAGAAAAACTTCGCAAACTGTGCACCGTAGTTAACAGTTGTTCGCCTCTTTATATAAACAAATATTGTAAAAAGCCACGAGACTTCGTCGTATCCAATCAGGGGGAAAGATAAGATAACTGGAAAATTATCCATCGATTTTTTTGTTTGAAAAACAGGTAATATATTTCATTTACCCAATCAGACATTTGAAGATTTTTTCTTCGTTTATCTTAGTCAGAACCGCATCCACAAAAGTAACGTGAATTTTAACACTTATATCTTGTTTAAGAAAGATGTCACTTAATTCTCACACGACGCATAATATTTACAAACCTTTTAATATTTCTCCGATACAATCTATTGGTTTTTAACTAATCAGAGTGGTTCTGTTATCTCCGTTATTTTATGAATTAAAGTATTTCTGCGCTGAACCGTTTGGCATCGATATGACTCTTAATTATTTCAATTTACTGGCCTATTCACTCTGGAAATATATTACACCTTTTTCAATTTTACGTCCTTGAAAAACCTTAACCGGAAGTCGTTGGCGTGACTCAGAATTCATAACAATGCTTACACTCCTTAATATTACCAATTTGGGTTGTAATGTTTAAATAGAATCTACATCAAGACTCAGTCACTTCCGTGATCACTGAACCAGTCACCAGTTCAACATTGGTGATTAGACAATTTCGAAATTACCAAACTACTTAATAAAGGGGTTGAATTTCTAAAGGAACTGTAGTTCTGCGTCGGTGGAGGAGTATAACAAGGTAAATTGGTATTGTCAGCTGAATTGAAAACATAAAGAGTTTTGAAGATGACATTTCGAGCGTTAGCCCTTCGGCATTCGCTCTGACGAACAGTTTTGAAACTCTTTACGGTGACCAATTTGCGTCATCAACTCAGTTGATACTGATACCAAATTACCACATCTGAACTACGGTTATCTGAAATTTTCATTTTACGAAAAAAGTGTTTGATCATCTGTATTCAAAGTGCTTGATTTCAAATTATAGCCGTTATTCTTGAAACTATTGACTCGTCCATAGCCTGCCAGACTACCTAGATAATTTCATGTCTCTTTGGTAGTCAACATTTCTGTTACGCTCACCCATTTACAAACTTGACCCTAATTGGAGCACAGAACAGTAATCAGAGATATCTGAAAAGCTCGTTCAAAGTGGAGATTTCGCTAACCAAGAAAATATTTGCGCGGCGACGATAGAGATTTGAGATGCGAGAGATGAGATCGGAAGCAAATGCCAGCTACAAGGTGTACGCATTCCAAGAGATGTTTCCTCGGGGGGGGGGGGCCAAAAAAAAAATGTGCACGTGAAAGGAGAAGGGGAAAATATGAGAATGGGAAAAAGAAAAGAGAATACCTCTAAAACCAGAGTTTAAGAATAATATTAAAGCTAAAAATTTGGTCTTCATTGCGGAAAATGATGGGATCAGGGAGAGGAAAAGCTCCGGGTAAGTTTGTCGTTTTTCAGGCTATTCAACAGGAAGTTTCAAAACTCTTTTGTTTCAGCGCGTGGAAAAAAAACCCTTGTCTGTTTGACCTTTATTTACGTAAGTGGCATGAAATTACGGTTATTGTACGCTAATATCTTGTTGAAGAAACAAAAATTCACGCGACATTTGAGCTGGTTTAGTGTTGTTTTCTCAGAAATCTGGAAACCTGAACGATAGCGCCGATATCCTACCCTGTGGGGTAGTGAGGGTGAAGTTGACAAATTAGCCTATATACTTTTCTTCGATCAGCTGATGGCATATTTTAGACTATCACCGTAAAATATTGTTTTACGAGTCAATTTTTTAGACAAATTATTCGAAATCTTCAGAAACAGATTTATTTTTTCTTTTCAAAGAAGACCTGTAATTGGCGGATTTATTTATATCACTGACGTAATGTTCATAGTAACGCAAAGGCCAGGGTTGATCAAGGGGAGGTTTTACGTCTAAGTGAAATTTTTTTTCCTGTTGCAAGAGAATCACCACCTCATTGGCTTATCTTTTCGAAGTTGAAGTCAATGTAGGGAGGTAATAGTTAGCATCGAAAGGTATTCGTCCAAAGGAAAAGCGGAAAAGCGGAAAAGCAGAGGAAAGGTGGTTAAGTCCTCTGAAAGTCAAAATGGCTGCAAGTGCTTTGGGCATTAGTGCTCCAAACTTGTCCTGCTCAGCTGGTAGGTAAACTCGATATCCTAATTACTCTCGGGGTATTCATTCCCATTTCAGTTAACTAAAGGCGCAATAATTGTAAAGGTGCTGAGAATAAAAGATAAAATACGAGAAGTTTGTTTACGAACTTCGCTCGACGGATGCGGGAATCAAAACCGCGAAGTTTACCCACACAAACCGATTCGCAAATGCATGCGGTTACGTTGGAAGAAATTTTTGCGTCATACGGATGATGTTTGAACTTTTTATCCTAGAAAAGCGGCCCAAGTTTTCTAGAGATAAAATTCGAAGTATCTGAGATCCACAATGAACGCTTGTCGATCGGTGTTTTCGTTGAAGTGAATTTCACTTTGGGCGTGAGTACTCTGGGGTTATGATTCCTTGTTTCAACTTGAAAATCTAATAATCGTCAATTGTCTTTTGGACGCAGCTATCATGGTATTAGTTGGGGTACTTTGATTAATTCGTTCAATTCAGATTCATGCCCTTGAGTTTTGCCTTTTTATTTGCTCATGAAAATGCATATTTATCAGCTGTAATTGGACAGAAAATCATATGTTTTTCTGTCGCGCATATTTTCATTTCTATCTATACAGCTCGTAGGAAATTTTAGTTTGATTTGTTGCTCTAACCCGGTGGAAGGTTAGATGTTGTGTTTGTAATTTACTTATTTTATCGCATTATCTGTAGTAATTGCCGATAAAGCGTATTTGAAACAGCGAACAATATCAAATCGGAATTAGTTCTACAGGCTTATGCAAGTAATTGTGTCAGACGCGAATCGTGTAAGCCAGTTTTTCGACCTGTTATAAATTTTTCAATCTCTTAATTGAGTGAAAATGAGTTTTTTTGCGGAAGTATTACCAATTTACTGTCTTTGCGTGACCTTGGCCAAATTCTGATCTTTTGCTGTCCAGCTCCTGCTCAGCCTAAAAATAATAATTCCTAATTTGGATCATGAAGCATGCTGCTGAGTCATGATACGGAGAAAAACAAAGACAGATATACTGTTTTTTTTTTTTTTTTTTTTTTTTTTTCGTAGTGATAACAGAAGGAAACATATGGGTGTAACCTTTGAGTGTTTTTATAACGTTTCTATAGAACTTGAGGGAAAACACTTTTAGATCAGGGAAAATATTTGATTGTTAGTTTTGCAAGTGCTATTGTTAAATTACAATCCCATTAGTTTCTAGATCAAGTTACCTCAGGCCTCATTTTGATGAAAATTGAGACTATATGATTTTATGGTGAATTAACTAGTAAACTATTTCTTTTTGTATTTAAATGATGTTATTGTTTCCTAATAAATTATGGGTAATATACTTGTTGTCAAGCAACACCAGTAAATAAATTTGAAAACAAAATAGCAAATTGGTAGACATGACTTCCTGTTGATTAACTTAATTAATAGTTGCCCTTGCTTGACTAGAAAAATCCATATTCTTATATCAAAAGGTAAAAATTATCAGCCATTGAAACATATAAACCCTCTATCTTCCTTTCTAACAAATGATTAAATATTATTTAAAAATGAGGAAACTACAAACTGCATTATTTTTTTCAGGTGCTGAAGATGTCTTTGATGGTGAAATGAGGTTGCAAAAGATAAACTTTATGATGCCATACCTACCACTGACACAGTCTCGTTCACGGCGACCTCTCTCTGTAGATGATTGTGTTGTTGCTGAAGAATATTTGACCAAGTCTCCTCATTCCTGGGACTCTGGCGTTTTCTCACCATTATCACTGTCATCCAGTTCACTTTCCAGTAGTGATCAAACTTGGATGTCACCACCTCCTTCATCACGACTTACCAGCTCACCAAAGCCAAAAGCAAAGAAACAATTGTTTTCATTCCCAGCAGGTATGTGTGGAGAGTTTTAAGAAACATTTTAAACATTGTGTAAGCAATGTTGTGGTTATATTAAATTTTGAATGTTTTTCTTGGTGCAATGTAGTGCTATAGTGTGTATCTTTCTTTTGCTGTTTAGGTGCTTTAATATGTACTTGTTGATAGTTATTATCATTATATGGCAAGGTAGACCTGTAGTAAATCAGAGCACTCTGACTGGTTGTTACTTGGTTGGGATTTTGCCATACAGACTGTTCCCTGGTAATAGTCATTAGCAATTTAATTTTTGTGTGCAAAAGCTAGCAAACTTAAAATAAGGGAGTTTTGTCTGAGTGCCATGTAAAAGACTACTTACACTCACAGTACCCTAGTGAGGTTATTTGGCCCTCAGTTGTATTTGACTTGTACAAACCTGGCTGCAGTCAGTCTGTATTAGTACAGCTCAGACCAATATTCCTCAGTATCACCCTTATACTATATTAGCAAAAATTTTCATTAAGAGAATGTGTGTGTACTTGAAACTGAAATGAAGAAAAAAAATGATTGTTAAAAAGGATTGCACTAACTTTGTGTTTTTTCTTTAGCCCTATACCAGGATGTTTTTTCTGACCCTTCCATGGAATCTATATTTGGTGATATACATGAAGATATTGGTGTGTCTTGGAAAATACTTGGACGCTATATGCTGAAAAGAGAATGCATTCTCAATAACATTGATGAAGATTACAAGGGTGTTGGAGAGAAAGCATACCAGTTTCTTTTGAAGTGGAAAGCAGAGGTTGGGGAAGCTGCCACTCCTCAAAAGCTGTTTCTGTCAGTGTTGCATATTAAGCGCACAGATGTTGCCAAGAAGTTGATGACTTTAGTTCCTTCGCTTCAAGGCTTGTCAGATCTAGTGATAGACAGTGCTATTACAAGTGAAAGTATCCTATATAACTGGAAGGAAGAACCTGAGAATTTAAAAGTAGAGAGGGTGTTGAGTGAAGATAAAAAGGTAATGATGCAAAAAGAATTGCAATAAAATAATTAAGTGGCCAATATGAATGGTTCATCAAATGCTAGTATTAATCAAAACAAAGTCTTCATTATTTATGGGAGATCATAAAATTCTCAGGCTATCAGGCAGAATTCTTAGGTAAATTTTTATGGCCTGGTTTTTTTTCCGACTGAGACATTTAGAAGTCTCTCCTGTTGCTTAACATGATTCTCTTGCTGAAACAATAAAGCAGCTTAATACAAAAGCACTTGGATTCATTTGTATAGGTAATCACATGACACTAAACACCACTTTTTCCAAACCGACAACTCAGAAAGCAGTGCTTTTTACAGTGTTTTTGTTGTTAGAGCTGTTTTTCAGCCACTTTATTGTTGTTGAGGTGAGCCGCTATATTGTTGTTGCAGTGGCGAAAGAAAACCTACTTGATACGCCAGCCATTGTTTTGCTCGCAAATTTTCAGTGCATCTAAATGTTGTGACATCCAAGGCTTGCACTTAATTAGCTCTCTGTTAGTTTCTTTGATTATTGACCAATGAGAATATCTGGTTTGGTACTTCTTTGCACTGAATTAACCCTCTTCTGCACTGAATTACCTTAAAACTGCATTAACTTAACCAATCAGAACTGAGTAATTTTTTCATGCATATTATTATGCATGTAACTTATTTGTTTTACATGAACACTTACTGGAAACAGTCAAAATGGCCTTGTTCCATGGTTTTATGATTTGATGCATCTTATCCCCCCTTAAAATAATTTCATACAAGCTTGCAAGTGATTGACATGTAACTTCTCCTGATAGTATCCATAAATTATCCTGCAAACAGGCAACCAGAATAAGTTGTTATCTTGATCTGACACCAAATTCTTGTAACTAAGTTAAAAGGGAATGTGTAGCAGCTAGAGGGGAGAATTAACAGTCAGATCTGGGTAATTACAGGGTTAATAAATATTAATTTATCAAATGCAGTAGTTCAGATGAAGGCAAGATTTTAATGCTTGGAACATCTGAATCAAGCTGTGTACTAACAGGCATTGTCTTATCTCTGACCTTTTTAAAGGTTCTTGTGTGTTTAAGCACAGTGACATCCCAAAGGTTGGTCCTCAAACAAGAAGAAGGTGAAGTGGAGGCTTATGCTGTGAGAAAGGTGAGGCCAACATACACTGTACTTTGTATATTGTCCATATGCATTTTCTACTAATCAACTGAATTAATGCTAAAGCTACTAATTTTATGTGGCAAAATGGGTGTAAGACTATGGGATGAGTATAAAAAAAAATTCACTTTATTAATATTGTCAGAGACAAGCTTTTGGTAATGATTTAATTGTTGAAAGTGGCATTAGGGTATTTTTTTCCAGAAATCACCTTTAGTTTTACAATCTCTTGTATTATTCTCTGTTTGTAACTCTGAACAGTTCAGGGTAATGTGTTCTCCAACCTGTAGATGTACTTATGTACTTATTTCATGATCTGGGTGGAAAGATTCCCTCATAAGATTGACAGTAATTAGCAATTAAAATTTTTAACCTGTCATTCCCTTATTACTTTTCAACAGTGCATAGATTGTCAGGTGCTAAGAAAACAAAGCCAGCGTTTGCGCAAAACTGAAGAATTTCTCAAGGACTTAGAAATGAAGCAAAAGATGATACAAAATCTGCTTGCTGTCATCAAACAACTCCAGAACCACCTGCTGAATCAGCATCAGTACATCTCTGGACAAAAATTCAGCTGTCAAAACTGTGAACTGTACACATTGAAACAAGACCTTGTCCAAAAAGAGTTGACTCTTTTACACTATGAACTGGAAAGGATGAGCCAAACCAGAAACAGGCGAATCTCAATCAGTGGTATTCCCTCTGAAAGAATCTTCAACTTAGCAACTAGGACATATTCAGTATGCGAAGAGCATCAGGAAATGCACTTGGATAGTAAGAGACGACAAAGCATGTGTCAGCATTCTGAAGAGACAATGGACTCTGATGACAATGATCACATTGAAGGACCACTGATGGTAAAATCTTTTATTTTTAGTTTTCAAATAACTATTGATTGCATTGGAACCAAGTTTACACTGATTTTTGTCAATTCCCTCCAAACTCACAATGTACTTTTCCTTCCTACCTGCAGTGTGCATTGAATGTGATAATTGGTATTGGTAGAAGACGAAAAGTTACTCAGTCTTTGAAAAGCAAAAAGACCACTTCTGGGGCCAAGAAGAAGGTATTTACAAATTAATTGCCCTTTTTTAGTTATGAATTAGGCAGGGCTTGTTTTTTTGCACTTCATCATGCAAAAATAATAATTATGTAAATGGTATTTCAATATTGGGAGAAGAAATAGAGTCTACCTCAGAAATGGAACAAAGGGGGTAAGTTTTTAAAGAAACTGAGGTACTGCATCAGTGGAAGAGTATAACAGGGTAATTAAGTATTATCAACTGAGTTGATAGCGTAAATTGGCCACTGTAAAGAGTTTTAAAACTGACATTTTAAGCATGAGCCCTTTGTCATTTGCTCCAACAAAACTCTTTACAGTGGCCAATTTACATTATTAACTCAGTCGATAATAATAAATTACCCTTGTATACCTCAGAAAGAGGTTCACTTACTTTGCAAAGACAAATTGGTCATCATGGCTAAAACCACTGCTCAATTTCTGTCTAAAGGAAAGTGGAGGTGACAGCAGAAGAAGGTGTCCAATCTACTAATGTCAGAATAACATCTGATGGCCATATTTGTGATTTCTCTGCAGCTAGGGAAGGCCAACAGTAATCCTATTTCATCATCATCATCATTGTCGTCATCATCATCATCATCCTCAAGACAAAGCTACTTACTAGCACAAGAAAACCCCATATTTATGCCAAGTTTTGTTCACTCGCTTGACTGGTCAGGTGTCCCAGCATTTAAGGTTAGTTGGTGTGAAGGTGGATGGTATGAGTGGAGTTTTTTGTGTTTTCCTGAAACAAATTGCAAAAAATTAAGGTATTGATGCCTAGGGAGACATAATAGATGCATGTGTGATTGAGCTAACTGCAGTCATGACTGTGGATCAAGAATTCTTGGTTCAAGCTTTGGGTTAAGTCATTTTTTTGTGTGTGAGCAAGTCTCACAGACTGCACTCCATATCCTATAATAATAATAATAATAATAATAATATTATTATTATTATTATTATTATTATAACAAATGATATTAATAGTTATAATATGCAAATTCTTTCACATGTTCAATTGCTTGAGGTAGAAATAAGGTATTGTCCCATCATGGAGAAGACAGTGGCTATCCATCCCCCAGTCTTTACTCAATAATAAAACTAGGAGAAGCTTGCTGGGGAGCTATATTATTAGGCTTGTGTCAATCAACATAAGCCGATTTAAATGCTTGTTTGCTTTTGTTCTGTAGATGTCATCTGACTTCAAGAGTCCTGTATCTGGTGGGAACTCCAGGCACCAGGAGCAGCCCAACCACAAGAAAGCTTATGCAAACCTTGCTGTAACTTCACACAGTGATGATAATGATCAGTTCCTCCCTCTTAAGTGGCACAATGGTGAGTATTCCCAGAGGAATTGTTTATGTAAAAAATTCCCCCTCGATAAATTCACTGCAATTATTTTATGAGAGAAATTACTTGGATAGATAATAGTTTGATTTGGTGGCCTGCTTGTTGGTCATCCAGGTGTAACTTGAACCACTCATAATTCTGTAGACAACTTTGGGTTCTTACTTTTGTCTTTACTCCGGTCAACTCTTGGCAATTAAGTAACCAGGGAGGATAATTAATGGTTGTCTGGATCTGTCAGAATATTTATTGTATCTCTTTTCTTCCCCCAGTAATTTGTTGTTTTGTAGGCCGCCATTAGTTTTATTATAAACTGAGTCAATAAGACTACAACTCTGTTGTTGTATGGAGATTTGTTATGACTTCTATCATAAAAGACAGATAGCAGGCCGGTATTATTGCTCCAACTGAGAAGAAAGTGCTCATTGAAGTGACTTTTCTTGCAGGATGTATGCCATATTCCACTTGTAGTACAGAAAAAAAACTGCTTTTTCTTGTTTATTGATGTATTGTTTTGGTCATGTTTCAGATCCAGACACAGAAGAGATGATTATATAGGTGGCTCATGGAAGTGAAATCTTTGTCCTCAACAACATCAGCTGTAAAAACTCACACTTTGCACGTATAATATCTACATGGACTATTAACTGTGGTACATATCTTTGTTTCTGTGTGGTTATGATATGCAATGCTATGTAATAATAGTGTTTGGCAGATACTTGTTGCATTAGTTTAGTCAGTGTTTTTCTGTTTAGGTACATGTAAATAGATGAAGATTTTCTCTAGTTTTGTATCAAAAGTTTTTTTAATCTTTTGTAGGAGCTTAGAAATATCTTTAGTTCGGCTTTTTTCGTCTCGCTAGGGCATGACATTGCAAATTTGTTCTAAAGTTTTAAGTAGCAGTAATGAACTGAAGAGCAATAGCAACAATATTAGTACGCTGCATAAAATGTACGTTTCATACACGATCGATTTCTGTGTGAAATTCGGTCTGTCCAATGACTTGACTCTAAAATTATTACATTTATCGACCACAATATCGTATGGCAAAAATTATGACCGTAAATCTGTGCGTAAAAAAACCAAGGAAAACTAATTTAGAATTTTATCGTTATTTTTTGTTGTACCTATGCAATTCCGCCAATTTCAGTGAGCACTTAACGCAATGTTTCCTTCTTAAAAGACATTTTTAAATGCACTTTTTACCGCTAACCTGTACGTGCAGTCAAAGAAAAGTTTTACCAAGCTGGGTTGAACCCAGCGATCCCCGCAGGCGGACAAAATAGTGTCATCTAGCAGTACGGGTTATTCAGAAAGTTGTTTGTTATCTTTTTGTGAAAGGGTAGAAACTAACAATAGTTCATTTTCACGTGTTTCGTTCTATTTGTACGTATCGTCTAGAAAATAGTTGAAATAAGTTCCAAGCTCCGAGACTGCGCAATAAAAGACATACACTGTATGGCTAACACTCGTGATCGCCATAAATGAAACAAAAAAAAAAGTTGACAAAAATCATATTTTTACCAAGTGTAAAAATAATGGTTGCACTTTTTAAAAGCTAAGACCCGAAACAGCTGAAATCAGTTACGGCATTATAACCATTGTTCAGTAGTTGTGTCTGAAACTGAAGTTTGGGTAGCTAAGTGGTAGTTGCGTAAAATGTTCGTCTTTTGGTAGTTAAAGAAAACGCTGCATGACGCTAAAGATTACTTAATTCGCACACGTCTGAATGTATATCTTTTATTTTTTTGTTATTTATGTTACAGTGTCCCCAATTAGCAACACCATGCTAAAGTTACACGACACTTGAATAAAGTTAATTTATTTGTTTTTATTTTTATTTACACTATCGATAGCTCACCCCATTTAAATTGAAACTGACGTTGTTATTGACGTTGCCTTTTTTTAGTTATGAGTCAGTTGATCCCTGTGAAATAGGATCTATTTATTGTCTTTTCTTCCGTGGTGTTAAAAATTTATTAAAGGATGTAGCCGTCACTTTGATAAAGACGAAGAATTCGTATTTCTAGATAGAATATGTCACAAGAGGCTGGTCCTCGCCAGCACAATAGTTATGAACATTATTATTTTTAATGTTTCCATTTTTTAATAAAACAATTAAGAATTGTGTTTGTTTGGTATGGTAACTTGAGTTGAAAGGGGAATTTTGCAAAAAGCATTTGTATAGGAACGCGCGGTATTAGGTGTGCGGTGTTCTCTGTTGGGAGCCTGATACCCAGTTCTTTCCTCGGTATCAAATCTTACCCAGGCCTTATTTGGTATGCTTCGCGCTCCCTATGCCCCCCTTGCGTGTAACCTTCGTGTGAAAAGAGAAAGCCTTAGGAATATTCTGAGAATTGGGTTGAGTGCAATAGCGATTGCATTTTCACTATCCCATTGCCTGTGGCTTCTCTACTTCACTTAATCCGCATTGCAGTTGCATTCAGACTTCTCGGCTACGTCTGATTTCCCTCTGTAACCAGCCGTCAATTATAGCCACGAAAAGATCGAGCAGGAAACAATGAGAATCTAAGAAACGATGCAATGGTCTTTCCAGCTCAACATGTGCCAGCTTGAATCTTCTTACTGATAATTAAACAATGGTAGTGAAGTGCAAGTAAAGCAGTTTTCTTCAAGAAAGGAAATGAAAGTAATGCGATGAATCAGCGATTCACTAGTGACATACCTCCATGGTTACTAAGCACACCGTACACTGAAACGAGGTGAAATAGATTTGACATATATTTGGCAGAATGTCTTTGCATACATACATATAATTGGAAGACACAATGACTCCATCGATGCATAAGAAACGATCCACCTATGAGAGAATTGTTCTCATGCCAACTTTCTCCAAAACACTGTTTTGCTTACTTGTCTTAAATTGTGTGTGCGAAAGTTTCGCTTGTATTCCACAAATCTAAAGCTGAGGTTTTCTCGATCCCGGCTTGGAATTTACAGTTATCTTCTTGCAAGGGAACCAGGCCTTTGCTTTGCTTCTGGGAGTTTCCCCTGAGTTATTTCCGTCTTTATTTAGTAATAGTAAATACTAGCTTGTTTAAATTACGCCGCCGTTGTGTTTCGCTTCAGGCCTAAAAAGCCATTGATCAACTTCGGGAAAACACCGACAACAAATCACAACATTGCACTTTCAATTCCTTCACTGCTCCAGAATGGCCCCATCTTCTCCGCTCCTTAACACTCGCCAATTTCGTACTCCTGTCCAGTTATAGCAGCTGTGGATAAGGGTGATAAATTTGTTAATTTGAAGGAATTCGTGAATCGAACGACGCCATCAAGGAAATACTTGTGCACTTGCCCGACGTCTAACTGCAGGTAATCAGGTACGCATATTGGCATTTAACGGTATCTATGTTTATATTTAAACGACTATACTACGCTAATTTGACGTCAATTACGAAACTACACTCCAAAATTGTCAATTTGCTCGCTTTGATCGTCATAACTGACATGAGAGTGAACGCCGGGCATCTTCCATGGGATGTCCATTTTCTACCTACGGAAAGACAAACCCGAGACAGACCGCACACAGTTCATGGGAGGAGTTCTTCTGAGCAAGAAAATTGTCTAAAAATTTAGTTCAGAATAGAGACTATCGTAAAATTATTTGAGTACAACATGTATTTCCGCATGAGGAAGGCATGGCTTGGGTAGGGTAGGGAGTTGTAGACTTCGGGGGGGAGGGGAGGGTTCCAACAAACTCTTCTCTGACAAACCAATCAGTCCGAAGCACGGAAATGAATAAATCCAACATGACTATGTAACGAGCCAGTCAGTTTGATTGGTAAAAAATTTCAAGTTCTCAAATCAGTGCATGTCTGGGCTTAGTTTCTTGCGCAGCGAAATTTCCTAACGAACAAACCGTTTGAAAGTAGCAGAAGTTTTTCTTTGGTTTTGTTAAGATGTCATGCATGTTCCCTTTAGGTCAATAGATCGAAATTTCTGTTATCATAGAACAACAGAAGTAAATGGTTCATCAGTCAACAGAGCTTATCTCAGTCAGAACTGACTCTGAATTCAGTGAAAGGTCACTTTAGACTAGCGTGACAAAGATGGCCTGAATTTGTGATCTAGCCTTGAATCTTAGGAGACAGTAGATATATAAATAGTATATAAATATAAATGGATAAAGGGGGTAATTTTCTACATAAACTCTGGTGCTGCGTCGGTGGGAGAGTATAACAGGGTAGTTTAGTATTATTAAATGGGTTGATAACGTGAATTGGCCACCGCAAAGAGTTTATAAGCTGACGCTTCGAGTGTTAGCCCTTCGTCAGAGCGACTGCGGTACTTACTTGAGGGTGCTTACTTCGCTCTGACGAAGGGCTAACGCTCGAAACGTCGGCCTTTAAACTCTTTATATACGGTGGCCAATTTACGTATAAACTCAGTTGATAATACTAAAGCACCATGTAAATAGTCCGGCACACAATTCATTTGAAGTCATGCTTCGTTGACGGCTTCTTCGTGGCTTTCAATTCTTTAAGCATCTGTTTAACTTCGCTTCTCCGGTACGTTCTAAGAACTACTTGATTCCCATAATCCTCGTATCTATGTAAAGTTGGTTCAATTGCGTTTGTTTTTCTTAAAGAGGTGAAACTGACCCCTCACCAGGAATAGGTGTCTATTTTGCCGTATCTTGCATTTTGTCGTAGATTATGTTACCGCATTGAATTCTTCAAAGCTAAACGTTACTTTCTAGGTCCAAAATTCGGCCTAAAAGTTAAGATTAAGAAAATGAAGGGCTCGTCGCTCTCTGGTAGTTTTCCTGCATGATTACTTTTTCAGTGTTATGGATATGAAAATTTATTGGTAACTTGACAGTTATATACTGAGGTCATTATGGATTACTAAGTATGTTGACAGGACGTGCCGGCTCTCTTTGGGAAGCCCTTGATTTCATTCGCTCAGAGCTTATAATTAATGGTTATTACTGCATACCACTATCGTGGGACAAACCCCAACTTCCCTTATGAGAGTAATACGGAAATTGCATGAAAAGTCTCTTCAGCGCGCCGTTTTTTCGCCGTTCCTCAGCTTTTTTGTTCTAGTTTCCTACTTCTGTTGCATTGGAGCAGCAGTTGATCGAAGGAAAGAGGTAATAATTTTGTTCACAATGATTTAAAGGAGTTGATTGAAACAGCACTAGGAATCGAAACACGTCATCGAGAGGACACTTGCCCATTTGCCTTTTCCGACTGAAGTCAGTGGTACAAAAACTGCATTTATTTGATCAAGTTTGGTACATGAAGAACTGAACAGCGCTAAGTTAACAGTAATTAAGAACTTAGAATTGAAGCGTGTTATTTCGTCCATTTAATCTGACATAACTGACCATTCAAAGCATTCTATTTTAGGAAATAGCGCGGGACTTCCTCCAAACAGACCACGAAAAGATCTGAGGAATTGTTATTAGCTAGAGGAATGGCTCAAATACCGGGTAAGCATGGAGCTTATCACAAAATCAAATATTCGCTTAATTTATTTCCGCAACGGCAAAAGGGTCTGCTGTGGGTTGGGGAAGGAAGCTTAGGTGTTTAATAACGGTGGAGAGGGAGGGGGAGAGGGGGGGATGGTGCGTCGAAACTTGTCCCGAGCGTCAACAGACTAAGCTGTCTGAAGCGTGGAAATTAAAACACCTTACGTCACAACATCACTGGTCAGCCAGTATTACTGGTCTTAATGTTCATAAATCATTGCGTGTCAAGGCCCAGGTTCTCTAGCTGTGGTAATTATTTGTGAGTCAATATTTCATCACACACCTTTGTTATAAACAGGGAAGGTTTTTTTTTTCATGGCACTTGCACTTTCGTTTTTAGAAAGTAATCGGATCTTTTTAATGGGGATTCAATGGAATTCAATGATTCATCATCTTTAAATACTCGTAACCAATGTGCTTTGCCAACTCACCCGGAAGCTATAAGTCGTAACGTAAAAAAGTGAATTTTGGCAAAGAATCACATAACTAGCTTCACAAAGGTAGTTTTATTTCGTAATCTAGCCTTGAACTGCGAGCAAAGAAATTTGTTTGAGCAAAATCTTAAGCCTAGACATATTTACATATTTAAGCATGTTTATTTTGATCGTGTAAGTTTAGTTTACACATCACAGCTGTCGACCTCATCGCATTCCTTTAAATATTATCAAAACGAACATCACGCACAGGCAATCTACATTGCTTTTCACGGAAATAAGCAGTCCCGCATAGCTCATGTGAAGTCGTTTTTTTCTGCGTCTATCTTAATCATTCCCTCCTTTTACATTATAATGTCGCGTAATAATTCGACAGCTTACATTGAAATTGTCACGCATGAATGTTCGAGGCGACACAAGATTATATTTATTTTTATGATGATCCTTTTATCAAGAGTGGTGCCAGATATCTGTTGCGTTTTACATCATTTAGGAAATTCTTTTGTGTCACTGGATCCCTTACAACCTTTAACCGAGGCTCTCGTTCACGAACGCAACCTTCACGAGGATATTGGAAGCAGATGGAAAGAATTGGCCCGAAATTTGGGTTTTAAGAGGGTGGTAGTGGAAGCCATTCAGAATGAAAATCAAAAAGAAAGTGAACGTTCCTTCCATCTTTTGGTGCGATGGATAGAGAGGGAAGGCCAAGAAGGTGCCACTGCCGGAAAATTAGCTGATGCATTGAAAAAAACCGAACTGAAAAATCTGGCTGAAAGATTGATTGGTATGTGCCATAAAGAGAGCTAACCCCTTCCGTCAAAGCACCCTTCTTCAGTAAGCCCCTTTCAAAGTAAGGGAGCCTAAATCTACAAAGTCCTTTTTTGATGAAGCAACCAACCCCTGGCCCTTTTTGTGCTGAAATTACCTTCTTCTGTCTGTTTGATAATAAATTGAATTTGCGAAGAAAAGTTTAGCCTGAGCTGGTTCTAATTTCTACGCCGCGACACAATAATTTCTTAGGCAGCGAGAAAGTCTGATTCCTTGAGTAAAGCAAGCCAGCACGAGGGTTTGCAAGGGATTTGGTATTAACTATATGATAATTAGTGCCAGTCCTCCGGCAGACCTCTCTCCGACTCGTCATAAATCTCCTCACGCGCCGCGGGCGAAGAAACGCTCGTCCGGCAGCGCAAATAATAAAGGCATGCTGGCAAATTAGGGAAAGTTACATGTTAGTCATTCATTTTTTACAGGTCCTTCCAATGGTAGAAGAACGATATTGATTGAAATTACTGGGACCTTTGAACTTGATGATGGCAACGAGGTTTGTTTGTGTTCATGTAAACATTTTCCTGTTCTCCCTACCAGAGTCTTATCTCAGAATTCGCTGAACTTATTCTTTGACTTTCTCAGGTGATGTTGGGTATTGACTGCTTTGGAAAAACTATATATTTCATGTGGCCGGAGAGTGAGGGAAAAGAATTTAAGACATCCCCCGAGGTAACCATCAATTTTACAGATCCGCATTCTCTCTTAAAACAGTTATCTCTTTCGACATTTTCGATCGAAGGTGAAATCGACGACAGTTCTTCATGGTTTATAAAGCATTATTTAAAATGGTGCATCAGCAGGTTTTTCTGGTGGCATTTCTATGTTATTCGGTATAATAAAAGAGAAAAACCATGTGAATGACGAACAAATATCAAAAGTTTTATGAAATTGGTATCTGATGGTTGTTGATTTATTTTATACTGCGCTGTAGGAACTGAAGAAGTGCGTTGACGCTAGCAGCCACATTGCTGCTGAAACTGTTGAAATTACAGGCGAAGTGGGTGCATCGGCAGAAAAGGCGAACAATGATTTTACCGAAGAGGAGCAAAGAATTTTCAGCGATTTGAAAGATCTCCAAGGAAAGCTAATGGACATTGTGAAGAGTTTGGAGATATCCGAACTAAAGGAAGATAATTTTGCTAGGACCAACAAGCTAGATTTCATCGAGAAACATAGCCGAACTTTACAGGAGCTGTACACTAAAGTAACCGGAATGACAAGGGAGGCTTGTTATTGTAACCATATTCTTAGAAGAACTTTCTACGACTTTACCTACCACAGCCTGAGATCAGTGCATAATGATCTTAGCGCTCGTCTGCAGGACCTAGAGGCGGAAGAAGATGACATGTCAAAGGAGGAGAAAAGAAATCTGAAAAACCTAATATCGTACCAAAACGGCAGGAAAAATCAAATTATGCAGCTGGAGAAACTTTGGATACGGCTTTTCTCTCCGGTATGTTATCAAGGAAAAAATTATCTACGTCACTCTGTAAGAATTTTTTAAATGCTTAGATATTCATTTTTAATTTAGTATGGATGGGTCATTGATAAGTTTGGGCTTTCGAAAACTAGAAGTCAAAGTACTGAAAATTAGTAGACCAAAGAAAACTTTACTCGATGACTTACAATTAATACGAGAGGATATTTTGCTCATTGCTCGCATTTTTATAGTGAAAATGTCCATCCGTTTCATATGATAAACTATCGAATAGGGTATTTTGGGTAATGCACTGTATTTTCGTCGTTGTAAACTATTTACGAGCTTTAGAAACATCGAGTATGTGTGGGTGCTCGCATTTTTCCTCGGCCTTACGGGGCAAAATGTTGGCCCGTTCTATACATTTGAAACCATGGAATAAGTTATTTAGGTAATGCATTGTATTTTCGTCGTTATGAACTGTTTACGAACGTTAGAAACATCGCTTACATAGACGAAAAGTGTTATGCTAGATTTAGCAATGCACTATGCTATCGCCTGATGATGTTTTTTTCATCCCTATTTTGTTCTTTTCAATTTACAGGGAGATCAGTTGAAGAAGTCTGAAACATCTCCTTCTCAGAGACAAACTCCGATACCATTTCAGGTGTTTAAAATGTTTCCTGTTTTTATGCATACTTTTATTTTCGATAGTATTCTCGACACTCTAAAGATTGTGATTCCTTCCTTTGCAGTTTTTTCTCAATGGCAGATTGCACGAGCGTCTGCTCGAGTTTCAATTCGTTTTGACTGATCTATTTTTAGGAAAAAAAGTTCCTCTGACTGATAAAAGTGGATCTGTTGTTGACTGGCTTCAATTTCCTTTTGAACAGAGCGAAAAAGGGAGGGAATCACTGTATAACAAGATGAATCTACGAACCGTTCCCTGCCCTCTGCGAGGTTATTTGGAAATGACTGTGTTGTAATGTGTATTCAATTTTCTCTTTTGAACAGAAACCCAGATCAAGTACAGAAGGGGCCCGGCCAAAAGAGTTTATAACAAAGGTAGGAGATTTTTTTTATCCATGTATAGAATCAAAGCACCCCTTAACAAAGCCGTTAGACAACTTGAGTTACACCTGTGCAACAAATGTTGTGATTACTGATTTTATCTTTTAACAAACATTAACTTCCCCTAACCATAATTCAAAAGTAAACGAGAGTAGGATATGAGTTTATCGTGATGGGTCGACTCAACATTCACCAACCAGAGCGTGATAATTAATGATAATGATTCATGTATAGAAATGACCCACGCACGTGAGCTGCAATTGAAGCCTTTGCAGAAAAGAAGTCGGCCAAAAATTTCGGGCTTCGATGGGAATCGAACCCAGGCCTCCCAGATACTAGGTGGGCGCTACTACCAGCTAAGCTATAAAGCCATATTTTGGGAGCAAGCAAATTTTGGTGCATTCCTCCTTCCCACAGAGGAATCTGATCACTACTTAGATAAAATGAAGTAATGTAAATTGAAAAAGAGGTTATCTAAACTCTAAACTCTCTTAAACCCTTCTACGAGGATCATTTCTTCACTCAAATTTCAGCCCCAGCTCAAAGACGAATTTATTTAATTAAGACCATGAATAACAATAATGAAAATGAGTAATGATTTGGAAAGCAAAATTTTCCTGTGTCAAACGAAAGATACTCGCATTGCATTAAGGGAATTATCAACAGAAGCATATTTCTTTGAGCCTACAAAATTAAAAGATGTTCGAGGATCCATAAAAATGCTCCTATCAAAATCCTTTTATGTTATGATAACTGGACTTTCGTGCCGCGTTGTAAGAAAGTACAAGTGTAACTGTCTTTTTCTTGAATAGGTGCAGTCAAGGATCCCCTGGAAAAAGAAGAAGATACAAGACAAAGAATCTTGTGTTCTTATGTCTTATCAAGATAAGAAATCTGAGGACGAGAAATAATTAATTGGCTGTTGTCGTTAATCTGAGATAGGTTTATTATCTTGCTTGAAGAGAACACTCCGGAAATAGATTTTCACTTGATAGACTAGTTATCTTGTGATTAGTTCTACTTCCCTTGTTAGCTGGTGGTGCTCAGTAAGTGGCATGGCCAGAAGTTAAGACCAAAGGGTTGAGGTATTGATGTGCCACTAAACAAGATGTTTTACACGATGGGTAGTTAAGATAAACCACAACGCCTCAGCTTTGCTTTGTAAACAGTCAACTGAACTGGTTCACCATCCTGCCCCCCCCCTCACCCCTCCACCCTTCTCCCCCCTTCCTCGGTGGTATTTAACCATCAAAGGATTACAGTCTCAACAACTGAACAAGTGCAGAGGCTTTAGATATATCTCATTTAAGTTTTTTTGTAGAGGAGCGCTCCACAATCTCTATATGGACGAATCAAATGAAAATAACGAGTCCCAATGTAACAACTGGCAGGGGTCAGGTAGAGTTTAAATTTTTCACCTTTTATAATATATTTTATTGAATGTTAACCACAGTACTTTTGCGATGTAACAGGTTGATAAGATATAATGTATTGACTTTTTTTTACATTAAGCATTAAGTTAAGATTTTAAATCAAAGTCAGATTTTATTGGGTTACAGCTGTGAAGTTGAGTTTCTCAACTTTAATGTTCTTGTCTAACGTCCATTAATAATTTCCATTAATGGAGGTGCTGTTCGTCAGCTGACCTTGTCTAGGTGTACATTTATGTTCTTGGTTTGGCTTTTGCACTCAAAATTTGATTGTTTTATCGGAAGCATTTAATAATATTTCGTTCATCCGTGAGATCCTCGTGAAAGTGCCCAGGTTAGGGTTCTGTTGACGATCGATGAATGTTTAATCTTCCAAGGTCAGTTGGCCTGTATGCTTACTCATGCCTGCCGATAGCGAATTATAAAGTTAAGTTAATCAGAGTCAGTCAGAATCAGAGTTGTTAAACCGAACAGAGGTGAGAAATGTTAATCCGCTGCTAGCAGAATTGTGGCGGAGCAAAGAGAATGATAAAAATGATAGACTCTTTCCAGAACTGTTCACCCTTTAATCATTAAATTTCGTCAAAGATAAACATTGTGGTTAACAGGTTGTACTTGCAGCCCAAGAAGAACTTTACAAAGAACTTACTGGGTTAGACCCAGCGATCCTGCGGGCGGACAAGTCAATGTGATCTCGCAGTACGAATTGTTTAGAAAATGTGTAATTATCCTGAAACTGATAAGCCGTCATTTTTATTGTTGATCATCTTCATTCTATGTGATCCTTTACCATTCTCGTTCTTTTTGCTTCATTTTACCTCTTTGTTATGTTTGTTCAATCTCTCAAACGATTATTTATAAGTCTAATTGTAATAAAAGACAATTTCGTATATGACGCTTAAGATTACCCTCAATATCTTGAGTCGTCCCTTCTACAATGTGAAGCCATTTTTTTCTTCTATTTTTTCAGTATTTGATTAAAGTCTGTAAGTTCCTGTAAAACAGGGTCTATTTATCATCCCTAGTTCCCGAGTTTTTTTTAATCAACAGAGGATATACTTTTCATTTTGATCAAGACTAGGAATTCGCCTTTCTAGATAAAAATCGACACGAGAGGCTGATCCTCGCTAGCACATTAGTTATTATTACTATTATTTTTGTTAATAAAATAATTGAGAACTGAGTTTGTTTGTTAGTGTAACTTTAATTGATATTTGCAAAAAGAATTGAACATCAGTTGATGAGAGATTGGAGCACGTTGAATTTGTGTGTGCAGTGTCCGGCAGTAATCCCTTTTAGGAGCCTGGCACCCGGTTCTTTCCTCGGCATCAAATCTTACACAGGCTTCTTGGGTATGCTTCGCGCTCTCTATGTGCACTGAAACGTATGAAGTTAAAATATGAATTGGTAGAGAAAAGGTTGCTAATTTAACGCATGGTTGGTTGTGCTTCCGTTTGGAAACTACCCTAACATCGTATTCACAGTCGTAAATCGGCATTTTTACTTCAAATTTTTGAACTTGTTTACGTTGGAAAGACACTCATAATTCATGATAACCCCTGCACTTGCTTAATACGGAAATTACCTTACTTAATTCGCATTGTATGCAATTGCATTCAGACATCTGCCTGGCTTTGTCTGATTTTCCCGCTGTAAGCAGCTGTCCATTGACATTAGAGCCACGAAAAGATCGAGGAGGACAGAATGAGAACTGGGGAAACCATACAACGGTCTCTCCAGTTCGACATGTGCCTGGTTTAATCTTCATACTGACTTATTAAAATATAAGGATGATTTAGCAATTGCTGTAAAGTGCATGTAAAGCAGGTTTTAAAATAAAGAACTGAAAGTGAAAGTAAAGAGAAAATCAGCGATTTCTAAGAAACTAGAAATTAAAGAAAAGGCAATGTTCTCATGCCAAAGTTCTCCAAAACACTGCTTTGCTTGTTTTTTTCCAATTTGTGTTTCCGCCTGTATCCCTCAAATCTAAAGCTGTGTTTTTAATCTCGGCTTGAAGTTTACAGTTATGTTCTTACAAGGGGATTTAGCGTTCGCTTGCTGACTGGGAGTTTTCCCTGATTTATTTCCGTCCTGACCAGTAAATATTGAAGGGAGGGGTCATCGGAGAACAATGAAGGCATCCCAAGAATGATATTTTTAAAGAATTTTGCCGGCTTTTTCTCTCTCTCAGGGCTAGAGTAGAGCGACATTCGCGAGCAAGTTTTAACCTCGGGAAAAACACCGACATCATGACATTGCAATTTCAATTCGTTCGCCGCTCCAGAATAAGCCCATCTTCCCCGCTTCTTAACATTCGCCAATTTCATACTCCTACTTAGTTGTAGTAGCCGTTGAAAAAGGTGATAAGTTGATTGATTGGATGCGATTCTTGAATCGAACGACGCCATCAAGGAAACTTGAGCGACGTCTAGGTGCGGGTAATCAGGTACGTATATTGGCATTTACCGGATCAAAGTTGTTATAAAAACAACGCATAGCGCTAATTTCACATCAAGTAAGTGCTTAAAATCAAAAGTTGATGATTCCTTCGTTTTCATCTGATATAAATGGCTGTTGGAAAAGTTCTCTCTTCAGGAGAGAAAGACTAGACGTAAAGCCCCCTCCATTTCGCATTTTCTGCCTAAGAGAAGACAGACCCGCGATCAATTCCTTAGGACTTGTTGTGAGATGGAAGAATTTCTCCAAACTCTGGAAGCATAGGAGTGAAGATAATCGCAAAATTAAATATTTGCTGAACGTATTTCCGCATGGGCAAAGCGCATGGTAAGGTGTGTAGGGTAGGGACGTGAGGAGTAAAAGGAGGGGGGAGGTGTGCGTACAAACTAATCCCGTCAAATTGCTCTCGGAAGGGCGGAAATCAAGTGACTAAATCTCACATCAAAACACAATAATTCAATCAATATGATTAGTTAAAATTTCCTCAAAGCAGTGAATTTCTATAGGCTCAGTTTCTCTTGGTATATGATCTTTTGTGAGGCAATGTATCCTAATCAATTGTGTTTGACATTATCAGTTGTGTCTATTCCTATGTCACAATGGTAACGCCACGCATATCACAACACTCCGAAACCGTTTACTGCGTTGCCCTAGATTATTTCCTCTACCCTTTTCCTCAAAACCAGAGCTGACTTTTCTGCTTTAAACTTTGAGTCATCACATTGAAACGTTTCCTTCATTACGGGAATTTTCCCTGACTTATTGCTCAGTGCTTATGACTATAAAAATTCATTGGTGACTAAATAATAGGGAGGTCATCACGGATCAGTAAGAAGTTTGATAGATAATCTGTTTCCGTGGTAAGCGTCCGTTTTCATTCGATCATAGAAGGTCATTATCGTAAGCCTAAGTAGTGGGACAAACACCGATCTCCACTTCAGCGTATTGAACGAGGAAGTTACCCTTAAAATCTCTTTAGTATGTCTTGAAGAAAGGTTCTTCGCCGTTTCTTAATTGGTGTTTCCCAATTTCATACTCCAGTAGCGGCGGGGCTGTCGTTGATCGAAGGGAAAAGGTAATCATTTTGTTAAATTTAAAGGGGTTGAAACAGCATTATGAATCGATACACGTCATCAAGGAGATACTTGGACATTTGCCTCTTCCAACTGCGGGCAGTGGTTAAAAACTGGTATTATTGAATTAAGTATGGTACATAAAGGACTGTACTACGCTAATTTAACAGTAATTACAAACGTAGAATTGAAATGCGTTTTTCGTCTCTTTAACCTAACATAAATAACCATTTAAACCATTCCTTTTCAGGAAAGAACGAGTCACTTCCGCCGCGAATTTACCGACAGTACGCCACAAATTCTGAGGAATTGTTGTAAACTAGAAGAATGGCTCAAAAGTTATGTCACGGTAAGGATGGAAATTGTTGCAAAATTAGATGCTCGGTAAAGTCATTTTCTTATGAGCCAAAAGCTTGTAGCAGGTATGGTAGGGAGTTGAGATATTGACAGGGGAAAGAGGAGAAGGATGCGTTTAAACTTGTTTCGGACGAACTAGGCTGTCTGAAGCGTTGAATTTAATACATTAAGCATCATAACATCACAATTCAATCGTTATGCTCGGTCAAACTTTTCTCAAATAAATGCATGTTTAAACTTAGTTTCTCTCGCTGAGGTCATTACTCGTGTTTTTTATACATTTTGTTGTTTTGTTGTTTGAAACGTTTTGTCGAATCACGAGTGCTTTTAGCAAACAGATCGGAATTTCCTTATCATTAGACAAAGTAATTGAATGGTTCGTTGCTTTACTGAATAAATTTGAGCCAAAACCACCAAAAACAACTTTAAATACTTAAAAGCAATGTACTCTGTTAACCCACCCGGAAGCTATTAGCCGTCAAACTAAAAATTGAAGTCGGGAAAAGGAAAGTTAAACATATTTTGCATTCGTAATCTAGCCTTAGATTGTGAATAAATGCCTCGAGTAAAACCTTCAGCTTTGGCATTTTACCGATTTAATCATGTTTAATTAACCTTATTATTGTGCCTGACGTCTTGCGGCTTTCGACATTATGTAATGCTTTTAGAAACTGTTAAATCACTCAACACACACCAGAAATCTACTACTTTTAGTGTGTCTTTTACGAACATTTACGTATTGACTCGAATACGAATTGCTGCATCGACCATATGACGCAGTTCTTTCGGCGTCCAACTCAATCGCTCTATCGTTTAAGTGATCTTCATGACTGCTGTTTTTCATGCTTGCGTTTTAAATCTAAATCCTCGTTCAAACGGCCATGATAGTCGATGATAGTCGATATTTT